AGTCCCTATTTTGGGCCCAAATCCCTCTGTCCCTCTTTTTTACCCAATGTCCCTCTTTCCTAGGAGCTCCGTATTATTGTTGTGTTTGATGGTATAACAGAGTTCCATAGCAATAAAACGCCAAGTAATGTGTATTTAAACTACAATAAATGTGTTTAGAGATCAGTCTGCGTGTGCAGGGTAAAATAACATAGACCATTAGTCGTTTTTGATATAAAACGTCATCTTGCTTATAGATTATATATTTAAATTTAGCTAAAACAGCAGAGTTACCAAATAATGGTTTGCAGAATGTTTAACAAAGTAATTCTAGCTTGGCTTGACCCACAGGTTTATCCTGCCCCGCTACTTTGGTTCTGCTACACCCTAGACTACGATGTGTTTGCCCTAGTATCTTGTCTTCAAGATTACCATCTGCTTAGAGGCAAACATTTAGAAACACTTAATAATTATGTTTTTAGTTACGTAAACGTAGTAAATAATAATACATATCCTAATGGTTAAGTTGATAATAACTATTAAATAAATATATATATATATATATATATATATATATATATATATATATATATATATAATGTATCCAACAAATGGAATGCACTCCAGGGACTTTAAAGTATTAATAAAATATAACTTTTAATTCATATTCAAAATTAAAAAAATGAACAACGTTTCGGCTCACATCTGGAGCTTTCTTCAGGATGGCAAATATAACACTATGTTAAAAATGAACATCAATGTTTCAGCTCACATCTTGAGCCTTCTTCAGCATAGCAAATATAACATAGTGTTATATTTGCCATCCTGAAGGCGGCTCCAAATGTTAGCCAAAACGTTCATTTTTTATTTATAATTTAAAGTCCCTGGAATGCATTCCATTTGTTGGATACCTACAATTTTTTGCTGGATCTGCACCGGGCATCAAAGTTATTATATACCTGGAGTGCAAGCATTTTGGATTTTATGTATATATATATATATATATATATATATATATATATATATATATACACACATATACACATATACACACACACACTTTTTGCTGAATAAACGAGAACACTTGATTTTGCATACTGACATGATGTCCATGTGAACTCATTTGTTCTCCCAGCTAGCTGCCTGTCAAAGCCCTCCATGACCTGTCCTGCTCAGACCCATGTGTATGTTGGCCAACAGGTTAATTAGGTGTACCACTTTGTAGAGATTTGGTTCTACAATTAGGGTGACAGAAGTGGGATGGGCATTTACCAAGCATAAACCCAAGGATAAGCCTGACTGCCATTCTGGGATCAAGAAGACATTTTTCCTAGTTTGGATCAACAGCAAAAAACAAATGTGAGAAAGGCTGAACTTGATGCACACATGTCTCTTTTCAGTCTATGTAACTATGTAATTTACAGTGCTTGGTAAGTATAGGAATGTTGCTTTAACCACTTAAGGACACAGCTCCAAAGCGTGTCTTACCCTTAAGGACACAAGCCATTTTTGTATTTTTTGCTGTTTGTGTTCAAACGCAATTTTCATCTCTGTCATTTATTGCACCAACACATATTATATACAGTTTTTAGAGGGCAAACAGGGCTTTAATTTGATGTCACATGTACATGGATAAATTCTCATTAATTATAAAAAACAAAATGCCAAAAAATGGGAGGAAAAAACAAAAAATTACATTAACAGCAATAATAGCCTGTGCATAATATGTCCAGCTTAGAAAAAGTAATTCAAAATAAATTAATTTATGTGTCTTGATTTATAGAGTACATCATATGTATAGGATTTCAGCTTATTTTGAAAGTTACAGGTCACAAAATACAGGGACTAAAATAAAATGTCAATGTGAAACAATTTTAGACGTTTGTATGTTTGTCTTGTAGGTTTAGTAGCCATCACAGAAAACAAAATTGACACACAAGTATATATTTATATAAAGTAGACATCACAGGCTATTTAAGGTTAGTTTGACACTTTTTACGTAGTCATTTCATCGCCAATCTCTGCTAAATATTGGAGTAAAATTGTGTTCTCTCTCTATTTTGGCATATACACACACACAACAAGGTATTTGTAATGTGTATTTTGTAAGGCTGGTGTGTGCTATTCCTGCACAGAACCCCATATTGTGTTCAGCTACATCTGCTGAGTATAACGATACCCCGATTATATGCCTTTCGCACTATTCTATGAAGCTACAATGCCATATAAGAGACAAGGCTATTTCAGTTTCTAGAATTTAGAAATAGAAGTTAGAATTTTTGTAGATGGATTTGACGGGCTTATGTCTCATTTTAGGGTATTATATCAGTGTGACTGTTCAAATAACCCCACAAAGGGCTTTCATTTGATAAAGCAGACACCCCAGTATATTGTACAGTAGTGTATATTGTGTCACCATTTTTTCACTAATTTATGTCAATGTTTGTGGTGGTGGTGGGGGGGATTGCATTTTTTTCATATGTTTCATTTTTTCTGAGTATTTTTTACACTTGATATGTAAAACTGTCATAAAAACACCCATGGAGCAGAGCTAGCACAGCCAGCTCCCCGCTGCGGAACAGCCAGGAGCCGGCTCCCCCCTGCGGCCGCCAGAACAGCCAGGAGCCAGCTCCCCCCTGCGGCTGCCGGAACAGCCAGAAGCCAGCTCCCCCCTGCTGCTGCTGGAACAGCCAGTAGCCAGCTCCCCCTGCGGCCGCCAGCACACCTGACCCAGCTGTCTGCCCTGCAAGACTCCTGTCCCGTCGCCCACAGGTAATCTGTCATTGTGTGTGTCTGTGTCATGGTGTGTGTGTGTCTGTCAAGACATGGTGTGTGTCTGTCTGTCTGTCTGTCATGGTGTGTGTGTGTTTAAAAATAGTGTTTTTACTCACCTTTTTTTTTTCCCATGCCATGCTTCGGGGCTGGCATAGATTTTTTTTCCAGGGCTGCTTTGTATCCCCAGTCCGGCCCTGGGGACAGTGTGTGTGTGTGTGAAGGGTGCATAGGGTCTATGCTGTGTGTAGCTGGGTGATGTAAAATAAATAATTTATCTTAAGATCTCCCCCTCCCTTCTTCTTACCTTTTACCAGGGGGGAGGGGGAATAATGCTGAACGTCCTGGTGGTCCAGTGGTGGCATATTCAATTAACCTGCAGCCCCTCCGGCTGCAGATTGACTCTCCTGTCCTCCTCCGAGCACATAACTGTATCAGAGCATTGCCATGGTAACACGCTGCAACACTTCGACGAATAACACAGAGCCTCCCACGTCCTTCCCTCTCTCTGCTGAAATTAAGTGCTAGCGGGCCTGTGAGGTAGATCTTTATGAAAGGCTGCCTATTGATGAAAGGATCTCCCCTGCCGGCCTGGGTGCACAGCATTGAGACCCACTGGGCTTTTTCTGCAGAGCCCACCACCGCCCACGTGAAATCCCAAACTGCCAACTAGTGGGTGGTAGGGACCAGGTTGACTACCCATGGTTTAAATCATTCTACAAAAGCAAAGGTGGGCGTTATAAGGAAATCACCTTGCTGCTAGGATACTGGTACTTTCCAAGGGGAGGGTATGTGTGTCAGGATTACTGTTTGATCCAGCATGTAGAACTGTACAGCACGGATGACAAATAAGTAACGTATTACCGGTCCTTAGAATGGCCGGATTTAACGTACAAAGAATAGTCAAAAATACTAGCCGAGGTCAGGGAACACAGAAAGGGACACAGCGATGAGGAAAGCCAGGAGTCAGGATACCAGAATATAGAGAAGTCAATAAACAAAGCCAAAGTCAAAAACCAGGTAGAAAACTATAAACAGGAACGCGCTCTCAGACAACCACAAGGGAAACCACGACAGGGCACTGAGCAGGCTGAGAACTGGGCCTAAATACCCCTCCTTTAGTTCTGATAGGCTGTAACCGGCCTTTGACCCCAAAGTCAGTTACCAGGTTTCATTTGCATAATTGCTGCTCAGCATTAACCCTTCTGTGGATTAGGTTGCTGCTCGGCCCAACTTTTCCTGTGTGGACAGTAAATGTCATTAACCACTTTTCTATAAGCGGATGAATACATGACACCAGGTTTCATTTGCACAATTACTGCTCAGCATTAAACCTTCTGTGGATTAGGTTGCTGCTCGGCACAACTTTTCCTGTATGGACAGTAAATGTCATTAACCACATTTCTATAAGCGGATGAATACGTGACAATGTGATCCTCTGGAGTATAGTTAAGTTCTCTTCAATACAGGGTTCAGGAGGACAAAGATCCTCTGAAAAGAGCATTAGGTCCCGATTGCACAAAGGACAGTGAACAAAGTGTCAAAATAATCTGTCAGAAAATGGTAAATAAATCCTTGTGTAAGGATTTAAATATGGAAGAGTACCTGGAACTTCAGTTGTCTGTGGAACTCAGACCAAATATAAATGATATATTATTGATTTAATAGTAGACAGCGGACTAGGAAGTATTTCGTGACTGTTTGCTAAGCTTTGCTTTTCCTTCTTCCACAAATACAAATGGCCCTTTGCAAATCTATATGAATAGCAACTGCTACTATAATTAGATACATTAAAGCAGCATTAAAACAAGGAAATCTGAACAAAACATCTCACTTTCCTTCTCCTCCCATTTAGTTTAAATCAAAATGTTAAAAACATTAGTAGAGTGTGGAAAGATTATTCACAGAAATTTAAATAATTATAATAAACATGCACTTAATAGACTGTTATTAATTTATTAGTGAGATACTCTTTTTAATGTGGAGAAGGCATGATGGTTTTTGGGATAGGGATACCATGGAACAATTGAGCAAGTCTTCTCCTACCTCACCCTCAGGCACAAATGGAAAAAGATAAATATTCAGGCACACCTGAGGTTTCTTCTAAAATGCAGTCTTTTTATTTGAAACAAGGAAGTTGAGCTTTTCAAAACTATTGACACTAAGCAAAACTACAGTGTCAATAATGATGCAGGGAATTGGCTCTGCCAATGGATCATCATCTATAGACCTCAATGCTGTACTCTAGTGCATTCGATAGGGTACAGAAGTGACATCGGCTCCTGGAACTTCAGCTGAAGAGGATCCACCAGAAGATGTTGGTGCGTGTAAGGGACAGCTTCAGGTAACAAGCCCTGCCCTCTGGCCACTGGACCCCTAGCAGCATTGTCACCTTTGGGGACCTTTGCAAATTCCGCAAAGTCCCCAGACAGTGACAGTGCCACTTTATGGTGCTTTAGCAAGGTGAACTTCTGTCAATGTAATTTTTTTTGTCTACTGTTGCACACAGAATGTCTTGAGGTTTTTTTTAGGTAAAACCAAAAAGAAAACCAACTACAGAATATGTAGATAACCAGTTACTTTGGTGTGGGTGATCTGAATACAAAACAGACACAAAAAGCACTCCATATGAGAAAATACTATACATACATATGTATTTTTATTTCATGCACGCAAAATAATTATAAGCTAACTTGACAAATAGTTAAACAATAAAGACATATGATAACACAAACACCAAATAATTTAAACCAGTTTACAGAAACACCTTAATAAATAGTCCAGTATCCTTCACAAAAGCATGTAAATTAAGGCAAAGGAGAAAATCCTACGGTGATGAAGATTGAAAGTTCTGGCTTCAGAGCCAAAATTTAATTCATTCTGAGAGTTTTCATAAGGCGCTGATATTTGTAAAAGACTGATCTATAACAATGTAGGTACTTAAAATACTTAATTTCTGTAATTGAATATTAAGAAAATAAAAATAATTTCCCATATTTAAAAGAGCTAAAACAAACGCAAACAGTAACAAATTTACAATATCCAAATAAAGATGTGGGATTTAACGAATTAGTATCAAGAACAGCCCTTGCTATCATGACAATATAGTAATGTCTGAAGCATTTGCAAGCCCTCCCCTACTAACTCCACCCAGATGTTCTTTGGCTGTGCAATCACAGACTTTCCAACACAATTCAATGAAAAGTCTTTGCAAGGCTGGTGCACTGGCAAGTGCTGCCTCTTGAGTTAAGCCCCACTGAGCTAACCATACCATGAAGCAACAGGATCGGCTGTCTGATTAACAGCTGGGGGGATGTTACAAGGTTAATTGATAAAAGTGCCAATATCTACTGAAATCTATACTTTTGGAAAAATGCAACAGAGGACACACTTATCACATATAAAACGCTTCAGGGGTGGGTCTGGGGTGTCCCTTTAATGCTAAATGAATAGGATATTTCATATCAGATTATGGTCTCTACAGGCATATTGGGACAACCTACACAATCACTGGTTTTTAAGAGATTAAGAAAAAAAATGACAAGAGTAAACATTTTAAGGGCACATTAAACCTCTCAGGCTTAGCGCTTAATAACCGTAGATATCGCTTGGTACTATCAAATAGACACGTTACAATATTAGAATTTGCTCACCACAATGATAATTTGTTGATGCCACCCAGAAAATGTGATTTACAGTAGTCACATTCATAGTGTTTAATATAGGATAATGTGTGCTAAACTACACTCGAAAAAAGGCCACAAAATGCAAGTTTATAGAGGCTGCAGCTTGTCCACAGATTTTGCAAACACAACTGTACAAATATGCATGCCACATGTATACAAGCATACAGCTTTGAAAGTAAAGTATAGCTTAAATCTATTGACCTATTATAGGAAACTAAAAATCTGCACGGTGGTATTAGCACCTAATAACACACTCTCTGCTTTCTGTATTAATGTGAAATCACTGAAAAATAAGAATCTTGGCTTCTGCGTAAGCCTATGTACTGCTCATATGCCTGTTTTTACTCTGTCTTTGAAAATAAAGAATTACAAAACAAAAATAATCTATTGATCTATTATAGGTTTTCAGCAAACGACAAACTGCAAAAGTTTTACTCACTAAACTGTGAGCTGTAAAGAGAAAAAAACGTGTACTAAAATATAGAACAAAACAATGCAGATAGAAAAAGCTCTTCCAAGAATGTTATTTTGGCCAAAATATTGAAACTCAAATTCTGATAGGTTAGTGAATCAACAGGAACATATAAATCTAGTAACATAAGGTTTTTTATAACAGCAGATTATGTGCAGTCAGACACAATAATAATTTGATGTTGCAATGTTCCCAGTTTACAAGTTTATGGACCAACTCTAGAAAAAAATACATTGATCAGTTATTAATAACCTTCCCCTATATTTTGTCCAACTTGATAAATTCCCATTTTAGCTAAAACAGGTTTTATTTACTGTTTTCTTCCAAGATAATTTATTATAGGTCATAACTTAAAAATAATTTCATTAAAAAAATCTATTTAAATTAACATAAAAAATATATACTGCTAAGATTTCCTAAAGCTGAAATAGCTAAATCCTTCCATTATAAATAATCGTTTATATGGTTAGTGTCTACATTGAGCAATGTGTACAAACACTGTTCCTTTTTGAGCAAAAAACAAAACAAAAACATGGTCACTATGGAAATTCGATATGACACCTCTTTAGCATTTCATTAGGAATTAGGAGTACGAAAAGTCCTTTGGTGTGAAATGACAGTTTTTTTTTCTGTAACTACAAATAGGGTTATCAGTTTACATTGACTTTATAAAAGCCGTAGAAATGGAATTCAATGTTAAATATTTATCAGCTAAATATGGATACAAGATCTAAGACTCAAACAGTTAATCGACTATTTGTAGACTATTTACAGCTTCCCACTGTGCTAATACTTACATAGCAAAACCTTCATTTAGTGATTCCCCAGTAAAATCAGAAGAAATGAAACATATGCAGCAGTTAAAATAAAATCAAAATGCCCAAATCCATCGGTCTATGTTAACACACATATTTATCCATTTTAGGACTGGATACATACAGAGTTGTGTATTCACTAAACATTGGAGTGTAGTTATTTAAAAGACAAAATAAATCAAATGCGGAACTAAAATATCTGTGACGATAGCCAAGGTGGAGATTTTGTTTTGCAGTTTGCACTTCAGTCACTATAATTTGTTGTTTAATTAACAAACCCTGCACTCTTAAAGGGACACTATAGTAACCAGAACAACTATAGTTTATTGCATGTATTCTGGTGAGTAGAATCATTACCTTCAGGCTTTTTGCTGTAAACACTGTCTTTTCAGAGAAAATGCAGTGTTTACATTACAGCCTATGGATAACTTCACTGGCCACTCCTCAGATGGCTGCTAGAGATCCTTCCTGGGTCATGCCTAAAATGCATCACAACATTTAGTGTCTCCACCCTCTGATTGCAAACACTGAACTTTCCTCATAAAGATGCATTGATTCAATTAGTTTCTATGAGGAGATGCTGATTAGCCAGGCCTGTGTTTGAATCGTGCTGGCTCTGCCCCTGATTTGCCTCCTTGACAGTGTCAGCCAATCCTATGGGGAAGCATTGTGATTGGATCAGGCTATCACTTCTGATGATGTCAGCAGACGGGGCAGGCCAGAGCCAGCAGCTCCAGACTTGAATACAAGCAAGATTTTGCTATATTTAGGGAGGCAAGATGGGCTGGGGGGCTAGATGGAGGTTTTAACACGATAGGGCCAGGAATACATGTTTGTGTTCCTGACCCTATAGTGTTCCTTTAAAGCACTGAAACTCAGTGGGCAATTTATTCGGAACAGAAATTAACGGGTGGGTATTATTGAAATCTAAAGCACTCCGTACTATGAATTAAAATGCATGACTGAACAGTGAATTAATAAATTTTTGTGCTAACTTATCAACCTATTGATTTAAATGCAACCACACTGCAGCTAAAATTGAGATTTCATGAAACATTATCTTTAATTTTCTATTTTTAGGAGTAACAGCCCATTGAGAGCTTCAACTTATTGTATAAAAACCTTTGGAGGTTAGCTGTTTCTGATATACTGGAACCAAAACTTCTGGCTCCAACAATCATATTACACACATATGTATATAAAGCACAGAAAGGCTGTGCCAACATAAACAAGCATAATTTTTAAGAGTGCGGCTGGTTACAAAGAAAATTCAGTGCACTTTATCGTACCCATCAGCATCCTTATATAGTATCCAGGTTTAGGTGAGTGCAGCCTGTTTGTTTTATGTACAGTATTGAAACAGGACTATAAATCCCTCATTTTATACCCATCCCTCGCAAGTGCCTCTTTCATGGGTACTAATTAAACCATGAATTTAAAAAAAAAAAAAAAAAAACCATAAGAGGATGGATATCCCAGGTAAATGAGAATCTATTAAGAGTAGTCACTGGTTTAGTATGGAGAAGGACCTGGTAAACATTGGGTACATTGACACTGTGGCAAGCTTATGTCATGTATGATCATATATTGTCACTAAATCTTCATTTGTTTTACATAAGTCAGGTGTTTGTAAAGGTTAGCATGAAATCGAGTGCGCTGAATTGTAAGTGTGTGTATGTATATTGTATATACATATACACACACACGGACTTGGTTCTTGTATGCCAGGTGTTAAATTCAACATAAAGATATTACCATTTTACAGACTGGCACTTTTAAGCGTTTAGATGCTAATTTTACTGCTAAAAAGCTGATGTAAATAAAATTATCTTTTCTCATGAGCATTTCTCAGTAGTGGTGCTGCCGTAAAGACCAAAATATATACAAAATAAAGATTAAGGAACAGCATACAGAAAAAGATTTTTTTTTTTTTTAATTACATTTTTCAATTTTACAAGGCTACTAAAAATCACTTATCTTAGCACACAAATAGGAGGATTCAGTTTGCCCATATGGTCATATTGTGTTAAGCTCACCACATCACACTACCCTAATATTGGAGGGTCCTGCACTAATTTTAACATGGGAGATTAACATGCCAGCTGCAATACTTACTCTGCTTAAACAGCTTCCAGAGACTCTCCTCAAATTTTTGCTTTTCAGTGGTCACCTCCAAAGAGGCACCTACAGTGGATTGCCAAAAGGGGGGGGAATTGTGGGCACAGTCAGAAAATGCAATTCACAGAAGTGGTGCTCCCATGTAAAAATTAGACTAGGATTCATGGATATTAGGGTACTGATATAGCAGTAGGCTTAACACAATATGGCCATTTGTTGCAATTGAATCCCCATATTTGTTTGCGAAGATAAGTGATTTTAAGAAGTCTTGGCAAATTTAATTTTTTTGTGCATGTGCACGGTTCCTTAATCTGTATTTTGATTAAGTCCAGCAGGGCAATTCTTTAAAAGGAGGAACACTTTCTTTTCATTATACATACACACATGCTCAACATACTTTAAAGTGCACCTGTCATGCAAAAATGACATTGTGACACTTGTAAGATCATACAATTTCATCTATACACTGTGCTAGCCAAACTGCTGTTGGCATAGTTTTATAAACAGAACCTATGAATCAGGGAGTGCAGCCACAATGTCTAGCATGCAACCCCACAGGCATAGATTCTAATGCAATTTTGGATTATACAAGGATCAGAATCAGAATGGAATATGGAGGAGGTTAAAGTCTAGCAAAAGCCATAGTGCAAGTCTCTCCCCGATAATACACGATTAATAATAATAAAAGGTTTACTAAATAAACAGGGCTAACGCATCTAACAGTTTGAAATAAACAATGCAATTTAATATGCCAGTGTTATCTGTATAAATAGTATACTCTCACAGTAATGCAGCGGAATACAAAATGTACTTTGTGAACACTAACTCGGAAGCAAGTATTTGTATACGGGATTGAGAGGATAATAACTCCTTAAGAGCCAGGCCAAACCTTTGATATCATGACATACATAGTATGTAATTGGTTGATATGAAGTTTAGCTTATATCGCACGGAATAATCCTCTCTACAACATCTGATCCGATCCACTGCAGGTGTCCAAATCTTTACTCCATCTGTATAGGAGTAAAAGATCGTACTTACACCTAGACTAGCACTTACAGGTTACAGTATACAAAATCAAGCATCTAAGGAGAATATTCACTAGATCCCACAGTAAAATCAGGAAATCTCCACCAAACTAATTTCCGCCATTTGCATAATGTGTTTTCCATTGCTAGATACCAAACTAAAGCACAAAAAACATTTTCCATCACAAATGTGTGTGGATTAAATGCCGTTCTGTTCGACTACTGCACAAAAAGCAAGTGTGGAGACAAAGTTCTAAAAGTGATGCATTCAGCATTAATTGGTTCCCATGGTTATGGCTCCAGTTACACGTTTGACATAGGAATGGCCTTGAAACAATCATCACATGGAATGATCATTAGATTTTCCTTTTTTTCAACTGGCTAACAGAGATAGAAAATACTATATCAGGTAGCAGAACACCTTAAGCTGACAAAGAATCATATGAGTTATATAAGTTTGCCAAAAATGAACCGTATCAACCTTTGCCAACCAATTTGCATTTAAGAAATTCAAAATTTTGAGGAATTGTCAAGTTTTTAGTGTTGGCATTTTCTACTGTAGTCATCATACATAATGTTATATATGTATACATTAAGCACTATTGGTATTTTAGCTTGTCAGATGTCAAGCACAAGAGGATACACAAAACCAACCTAAATCTGACAGCTGAACTGAGTAGCAAGCGATGGCCTTTTCTTTTTGTTTTTTTACAATTGTATTTGCACACTTGAGTATTGCAGTCCTGTGAGCTGCACTCTACAATCTCCCAATGAAAGCACAAATTATGCAGACAATGTGCATAAAATGTGATGCTTCTGCCTTTCTATAGGATGATGTGATATGAGATAGAGGAGATCTATACTGTACAATCAGAAACACTTTATATAAATGTTAATAGCACGACAGTTCCTCTCTGAATGCAAACCCTCATTGTTTTCCTGCAATTCCACGCTCCGCTACAAACTGCAATTGGAAAGCATGCATTATGAATTACAAAGGCTGTACAGAAAACCATTAAAAAGCTCAACAACTTTCAAAGATCCTAGCATCTCAAGAAGAACAGCATTTTGTATTTACAGTTAAAGTCATTCTGATTTGTATTTCAGAGTCTGTGTTTCCCGTGCAGGCTTTGCCACTAAGCTTGTTTTCCAGCTAAAAGTACCTGCATGCTACTTTACAGTATTTATAAGCTCTAGGTCCAAAATGGAAACTATACTCGCATATAACTTCTAGAATAGGATTTGCTGTACCCACATGTATGGTTTACATTGGTTGGTAGGCATATTGCCATTAAATGTGCAAACAAAGTACAGTTGAGAACAAAAACTTCATAGGCCACTTATCAGTGTACAAAAAGAGCAAAGGGTGATTTCCTCCACAAGAAAACCACGAGTTTGTGTTTATTTCTATGAGCCAGGTAATATTTGTTGACGGGTTCTGTAGCTTTACATATCTCGGATCTGTTCCTGTTATACATCGTCAAATATCCTGCTGTTTGATTTGGACATGGACAAGTATCTTCCGGCTGGCTGGTACCTAGACACAACAGAGTAATGTGTTAAACAAAAGGCAGCACAAGAAAAAAGCCCATCAACTTCATTTGTTTAACCTGTGGGTATAGAGAAATGAATAGTTAAATATTTCCCAAAAAAGCAGAATTGGCAACATTTTCCAACTCGGATACTATTCTAGCTGGGCTACCTTATAATTGCAATTTGCTTTTCAAATATGGAAACAGGAAATGAGAAGTCACAGTACAGATGTGCAATATGAAATGCCATACAGTAAATAAGCACTAGTGGCAATTCATTTCTGTCAAATGTAAAGCAGAACAAAATACAAAGACAGTACTCCAGGAGACTGGGTACATGGAACATCCCTGGAAAATGGTAAAGGTAGACAGCCACTAGAGTGACTTCTGGGTCATAGGGCAACTTTTGTTAAGAGAGGGGGGGCACTATAGGGCCAGAAAAACAACTTTGTTTTCCTGGCACTATAATTTCTCTTTAATATAAGGGAACAGAAAAAAGTGTCAAGAGGAGAGCATTGAAAATAAAAAAAAATAAATTATGTATGGAGTGTAAAAAAAAAACCAAAAAAGCAAGTCAAGAGGAATGACAGGAGGGGGCTTGAGAGAAGTGTTTAAGGAACATTATAGTGTTATGAATACAAATGTGTATTCCGAATGCTATAGGGCCCTGTTGGCCATGTGCAGGGAGAGAAAAAATAAATAAGAGGTCTCCATGGGGAAGCTCCACCTCTTGGCTGAGATCATAGAGATTTATGACCTCAGCCAATGCAATACTTTTCTGTAGAGACTAGTGGGCATCTGCTATTTCATTGGAACTGCCTCTAGTGGCTGTGAGTACAGCTGAGCTCTCAGCATTAGAACAGGATGGGATGTCTTACAGAGAGAAATGTATGAAAAGGATGGACTTGGTGATTCTTTTAGCCTAAATTATTGTCTTACCAGTAAGTAGTTGTTGCTTATAATAGGAGGCCCAAGAAACTGCACGTCTTTTTGTAAAATAAGAGTAATAAATGCATTCAACACAACCCCTGTGTGTCTCACCCAACTCTAAACCCATTCTCCACAACACTCACCTCCCCGATTCTGACGCTTCAAGTGGATCATCGTTAAAAGCTTCTGCATTAAAATCCAAGGGTTCTGCATCTTGCAGCAGCTCTATTCGATCCCTCTCCGTCCTGTTGTTTGACCTGGTGTATTTTGATGCTGATTTAAAAAAAAAAAAAAAATAAGCTTATGTAAACCAGACCCAGACATACAGGGTTATTCACAAAAGTGCATATTTTCACTATCTAAATCCAAAAGGAAGAATTGAGGCACAAAGATCAAATGTGAATAACCTCTCGAATTTTCACAACTTGGCTATTTTTGCCTCTGTTTTTCCATTCAGATTTAATTCAAGAAAATGTAAAGTTTAGCCAACAACCCTGCCAGGGTATTGACATAAAAAAGTGGATTACTTACAAAGATCAGAACCCCTTACGGACCAGGTATTATCTATGTCATCATAATAATCTGGTCTTTAAAACGCTTATTCTAAAATGGAATACCCCAATTAACAGCAAGATTTTATGGAGCAGTCAATGTCAATAAACCTTTTGATGACAATGTAAATACAGCTATTATTAAGCTTTCTATTTAATGTTTATGGGAGGGTACAGTTATCTAAAAAGGAAGACAGACATTTTGACGTTAGAAATAAATATTTGTATTTCTTACATATAGTGTTTCTTTAACCCAATCATAAAAGATCAATTGTCAGCTATGTTGTAATATTTAGGTACTTATCTAACTCTTTATCACAAGGAGTTTAAAGCTGACAAAGTCAGAGAATGTCTTTGAACAATCTTACAGTCAGAAACAGATTCCCATTTGCGATCTTAGCCTTATATCGCGATCTACAGGATATGTTTACAAACTGCCATATTCTTATCAGAAGTTACAGTGAAGTTTTAATAAAAGTGTGAATGGATTACTTCTACTTGTGGTCATTTCTGTGTAACTTGGCTCCGCCTGATCCGAATGTATATTTCTATTTCGGCTGTTTTCTTCTCTGTTGTTAGAGTACCTCTCTTTCCACTCCTGCAACAAAACAGGTTTGCAAATTCTAAGTGAATATTTTTAGTATGTTCCAGGCCCAGAGAGCCTAACAAGTAGATCTTTAAGGACATACGGGTTATTTTCTTTGGGTTTCCTTTCATAGAACCTGTTTATTATTCATTGTATTAGCAAAAGGAAAGATTTCAAAGGCAACTAAACACTGGCATTGTTCCACTCTACCTCAAAAATTGAAAAAAATAAATAAAAATACTTACCTGTGACTCTGCACCAAAGCCAAGATCTCTTCTGGTTATGTAATTTCCCCTTCACTGCAGGAGGATAGAGGTCGTTGAGCAGGAGCTTAGATGACGAATAGATGAGGGGTGGGTCATGCCGCCATTGATTTTTTTTATCACCAACAAGCTATGCATGCTGATGACAGATGCCAAATAAGCCAGGAACTTTTCTCTGAGCTTGTTAATGAAGCTACAGAAAGGGTGTTACATCCCTCACAGCAAAGTGCTTTAGCTTTTCAAACTGAAATGCTACTCCAAGCACCATGACCACTTCAGAGTCTATATGTGTAGTCATATAGACTCTGAAGTGGTCATGGTGCTTGGAGTAGCATTTTCACTATTAAATTGCTAAGGCTGAAGGAAAGTATAGACAAATCCACTAACTGCTAACCATATTGCCCTGGAGGTTTACAAATTAAGTTACCATCATGTTCAGCTTGCTTTCTGGCAATTTCCAAGCAGAGCTATTCTTGATTTAAAGTTCCAAAAGTATTTGTTCAACTATTCATGACTTGGCACCTTTGGATGAGTATAACTATGGATATTTAGCCTAAATGGATTAATTTAGATGTTCTTTTATATGCCTGTCAATAGCTATAAATATAATTATTTTTTATTATTTTTACAATGAAAGTAAAACTGCAAAGGGAAACACTTTTTGTGCCCCTAAGTATGATCTCTGGATAGCAATTTCCCGGTCTCTTTCTACATCGTGTGGAAACATTAGATTCTTTAACAAAAGGAATAATCAAGTAATAAAGCAGAATAACTTATGGCAACAGCATTTCAGAATATTTAGTGATAAAAACCGCAACCCACTGGTAAAAGAGAGAGAATAAACCAAGAGAAGAGAAACCAAGTTTAGTTGAGAAAATTTATAAAAACGCAGATCGTTATCTAGAATAGGCAAAAACGAAAAGAAAAGAAAAACACAACGAGAAAAAAACCAAAAAAAAAAAAAAACCCACCTAGACAAGCTTTTCAAAATTTGTTTCAAATGATCTTACCCTCCTGCGGGTTTCACCATCTTCTAATCTCTGACGTTTTCTTTTCTCTAAAATGTTATGAAAGGAAAAACAAATGTCACAATGGCATGTGACTTTAATGATACTTCACGGTCGAAAGCACATGCAGAACTTTATAATAAGAATTCTCTACAAGCCTTTTTCTGGCAGCATTTCCACACAGAGGGATGAAAGCAATCCAGTAAATCACATGGAGTGTCACTTTGAATGATATATAGTGTGATAATCTCCCAGGTTATATTTCCCTACCAGCCTTCTTGCAGTACTGATTGTGGGCACAAAGCTGCAGTTCAGGGCGAGTACCATATCCAATGTTTCTTCACCATATGTATTAAATATCCCATGTGCAAATAACACCTTTTGCCTCATCTATCCCTACACTGTGATTAGATGAGAAATCCAAATATACCTCTTCTAATCAACTCTTTGCCTTCATCGGTGAGGTCAGAGGTCATGTCATTATCACCCATAAACTGCTGGAAGCCAAGCAAGTTCAAGCAGCGCGTCCCCAAACTGCAAGATGAAGACAGAGGACACGAAAATATTATTTAGTTTATACAGTAAAAAATAGGGACATGCCAAACACACACAAACACATTGAACTTTGGGGTGTCTGTCCTTGGCCCTCCAGCTGTTATTGCACTACATTTCCCAGATTTTTATACTAGCCATTATTTCCCACCTTGCATATTATAACCTGCTTCCTGTCAACATTAATTACACTGCACTCCTAACTTGTTATACTTAAGGACAGTCTTTTAATGCAAGTGGAGCCTGTAACATATTAAAGTGTTACTTCATGCACCATGACCACTCACTGATCTGAAGTGGTTATGGTGAGTGTAGTTTGTATATGCAGCGTTTAGTTATGAAACGCTGCACAGAGTTTAACACCTCTGCTTAAGTAATTTTTAAATGTATTATTTTTTTATACGGTTGGGGCCAGGATAGGAAGAGTTATTGTAACCAAACCCAGTATTTACTTAAAACAATGTTTTTTGGTTGGAGTAACCCTTTAACCCCTTAAGGACACATGGCATGTGTGACATGTCATGGTTCCTTTTATTCCAGAAGTTTGGTCCTTAAGGGGTTAAGCAGCTAACCCAACAATCACTTAGTCAAGGGAAAAAAATTCAACTATATTGTCTGAGAGGAACACTAGCACCATAAGCAGTTAAATCGTTTTAGAACAGTTTTATCTGGGGTCTGCCAGGTACCAAACCTTGCGTCTCTTTCAATGCATACAGTAGCTTCCATTAATTCTCCTGAGTGAAGCCCTAATGTACAAAGCCGGCTCATTGTCTCAAGGCATCAGCTGATCACTCTCAGCCAATGAGATAAGCATTGCCCACCTGGGGCTTAGCTCAAGCAGAGAGCTTTTGGCTCTCTGAGATATAGGGAGCAGTGTCCAGGGAACACAAAGTAAGAAGTTAAATCGTTTTAAAAAGGTTTGACTACTTACAGTTAGGGGAAGTTGGGGGTGTTAAATATTATGTTCTACCGTAATATTAAGGTGCCACCGTGTCATATTTTTATATTTTGAGAAGCACACCGATTTACTACACAAGGTGACCTCCATTATTCTGCTCCAACATTTATTTCTGATGTAAACAATAAATAGGACACACACAGGCAACAAACCCATGCTAAGCAAACAAAAATATAGAAATAAAGTGCGTTCGTTATCTTACCTAAAGTAAGTTGCAATACAGAGAATAACGACCAGCATAGGATAATAGATGTAGAAGACATCAGCAATAAGAGGCAGGACTCGTAAAGAACCCATTATCTAGAAAACAGTAGAAATGTAAAAACCAAGTTTTTTCAGCTTTAGTAAAATGTAATTAATGAATGCAGTATAAATGACATTTTCTTACGGATGTGTAAGCAGTTGGCTCAGTGTTCTGATGAGCGATGGATACATCCATGTGGGTTAGCCCCAAAAAGTTAAGACATAACGGAGGGGTCAAACGGCAGAACAGCCTATTGGAATGGAAAGAACAGATGAGAAAATAAAATCAAATAAGACATGTTAGACTTGTTTTGTTAGTTAGCACTATACAACACGACCTATGCATCTAACAATATTGTGTATAAATTACAAACAATTTGTGATGCATACATGCTATCAAAGAAACAAATGAAATATAAAATGTCAAGATTTTTGATTTCCTATCGTCAGCTCAAATCTCAGCTTCTAGAATAGTCATACACTGTTGATTTTACTGAATACTTTCCTTCAATATCAAGCATATAAAGAAGAACGTTAGTGTTAGGAATACAATGATGCCCTACCCATCCATGAATATAATAAATATATATATATATATATATATATATATATATATATACACACACATACATACATACACACACACACACACATACCTTTTCATTTACTTACCTGATTCCAGCACTGATGTCCCTTGGTGCTGGGCCCCGCTCCTCCTTCCCCGACGTCAGCTGATGGGGAGGATCTTAATGAGCATGTGTAGCGAGTGACACGCAAGCATTAGGCCTTACCCATAGGAAAGCATTGACTCAATGCTTTCTTAGGGCAATTTAGAAGACGCTAGACGTCATCATGCAAAGCGATAAGATGAAGTGGTCTGGGTGCCTGTACTGTCCATTTAACTGATTAAATAGATCAAGTGCACCTGTCACCCCATATTGTGTGGATGACTGGTTCACCTTCAGGAAGGTAAACATCTAGATTACATAGTGCTGGAGAAACTGATAAAAGAACATTTAAATGAAAAGATAAAACTATCTGAATATTTTTCCCTCCATACACACATGGGGCTATGGTTTACCAAGCCGGTGCCTATGGAGCATCTTTGCTCCCAGATAATCTGCATCCCGTAATAGCATCAGGCACACTAGGAGTTGTGGAATGGAAATAACTTAATTTGGAAGCAGAGTCACTGTGCAGGCAACCACACTTGGTCCCCAAAGATGTATTCATTACTGTAATTTTAATGACATAAAAAAGGGAAATTGGGGGCACATCCACAACATTTCTCAGTAGTGGTGCTGCCATTAAGACCACAACAATTAATAAAAAATAAAGTTTTAAATGTTACAATGCTATTTAAAATCATCTATGTCAGCAAACAAACATGGTGATTCTGTTCCACCATATGGCCATATTGTGTCAGGCCTAACACTACGTCACAGTACCCCAATATAATACCACAATACCCAATAACCCTGAGGGTATTTCAGCCTATAGTGTGCTCCCTACTTACATGCCGCTGAACAGAAGACTGTATGCATCAGTTTGATGGTGAGACGCTAAATAATAATAATTAAATACACGAATTCTGAAGACTGTTGAATAAACACAGATGCTCAAAAAGAATATGGTGAGGAAACAGGCCACCTAAAATCAAGCACATGAGAAAAGGTAAGGTTGTATTTCTGTCATACAACAGTGAAATGTGTATATGTAGGCTTAATAACATCATTATACTGGATTTGTACTATAATATAACAGTTTGTACATCTTGCAGTACAAATTCCTCCACACATTGTGCATACGGGTATTTATAATTTAAAATGAACGTAAAACTAAACCCAGGGAAATGACTACATTATTTTACATTCTCCATAAAGCTCATGTCACCATGTTTAAACAAGCAGGATAGCAATCTCTACAAGTACAAATTGTCAAAAGAAAATATATATTTGGTTGTCAGATCTTTTAAAACATGTGACTTTAACTTAATTGATAAAACATAACATTTAATGATTATTTATTAAAAACATATACAAAAATAATCAAAAAAAGAAAATAAGAAAAATAAGGTAAATAGAAACTAGGAATATTCACCAAATACACGCCAATTCGTAGGTATCTGAAACCAGATAATAGGATATATGTATGTAGTTTGGCCAGTTTTACATAAGCATAGAAGAGTCTGCCTGGCAAAACACGTGTCGGGGCATGGCTTACGGTACTCTCTTAACATTAACTTACAAAGCTTTATGGGAGTGCAGAGGTTATATCTCTGGAAGCTATAGCCAATACCTATATTCAATCAGATACCTAACAGATATTTAGACTGGCCATTTGCTGAACAGGAGCACTGAGCCATTTTCAAGGGGCATAATATAATAAAGCTCGTCAGTTTACCGCAAAGATTAGGTGCCCACGTATGCACAGTAAAGACTAGTGCTACTTAAAGGAGCACTATAGTGCCAGGAAAACAAACTACATTTAAATCGCCCATAGGAAAGCATTACTCAATGTGATTTTTGCACAGAGAATCACGGAAGCGGCCTAGACAGCCACTAGAGGCTGGATTAACCCGCAATGTAAACATAGCAGTTTCTCTGAAACTTCTATGTTTACAGCTGCAGGTTTAAAACTAGGGGGACCTGGCACCTATTGAGCTGAAGTGGTCTGGGTGCCTATAGTGGTCCTTTAAGCTCCATGATTAAAAAGCTATTAAATTAGCAATTCTCTACCTCTAATTCTTAACCAGGTCACAATTTTTTATTGGGTACATAAGAAAGACACTTTAGTAGGAAGCTTACTATCTTCCCTTTGGGTGTAGTCCCACTAGTTACAAACCTCAGCTGATAAATTGATACAATCTAATCTGATTCTCAGGGAATCCCCACATTTGCAGATACTCTGTTACTTTTAAGAGGTTTTACTACTTATTTGACTATAAGTGTTGAAAGGATACCAATTAGTAGGAGTATACTTATGTAAAACTGGCCAAACTACGTACACATATCCTATTATCCTATGAACTGAAGTGTATTTTGTAAATATCCCTAGTTTCTCCCTTCTATTTTTTCCCTTATTTTCTTTATATTTTTTTTTATCAACCTCATAAGAAGCCTATTTTTATAGGGCATTTTGTACTCATTTCTCTAAATTTATGAAACGATGGGTTAACCCACCGTTTCCCAAACTATGTGCCGCGGCACCCTGGGGCGCTGCTGAATATTTCCCTGGTGCTATGATTATCGCACCTGGGATACATTATTGCTCAACAGGGATCCGGTCGAGTGCCGTGGTCCTTTAAGACAGCGAACGGGCCCCTATAATGTCAGCCAGCTGGGAGGAAGTGACAGTCTGTCACTTCCTCCCAGCATCCTGCAGGGAGGCAGCGCAGGAGGAGGCAGCCGCAGCGTGAGGGGAGAGGAGCATGAAGAGCTCCAGACCCCTCATTCCTACAGCAGCAGGACTCCAAGCCACCCTCCTGGCATATAAGGTAAGCCAACAGGAGGGTGGCTGGAGATATAAAAAAAATCATTTGTGTGTTAGTGTGTATGTATGTATGAGTTTGAGTGTGTATTTGAGTGTATGATGTGTATGCGTGTGTGTATATATATATATATATATATATATATCAGTGTGCTTATGTGTCATCCATCTGTGCGTCAGGCTGTGTGTTTTTATGTCAGTGTGCATCTGTGTCATGGTGTCGGCATGTATCAATGTTTGTGTGTGTCAGGGTGCATGTGTATATATGTCGGTGTGTATCTATGTGTGTATTTATATGCATATGTGTGTTAAAGGGACACTATAGCTTTCCTATTGACAGCCTGAATGCGCGCGCGGCACTTGCCGTGCATGCGCATTCGGCTCCGCTGGCATCGGCAGGGGAGGAGAGGTCACCAGCGCCGAGGGAGCCTGGCGCTACAATCAGGTAAGCTGCTGAAGGGGTTTTAACCACGGGAGGGGGACCCAGAGGGTTGGGGCGCCCTCAGGGAACTATAGTGTCAGGAAAACTGCTTAGTTTTCCTGACACTATAGTGATCCTTTAATGTGTATGAATATCTGTGTAAGTATGTATGTATGTATATACATCCATGCAGTCAAACACCAGCACACTCCTGCAATCTAACACAAATATTACAAAGAAACAAACCCCTGCATTTAAACTAAAAACATAAATAAAATACAAAAACACCCCTTTACTCAAACACAAATTGTGCTGTACAGACCTACAACCTAGAAATTTTGACTTGGGGTACCTTGAAAAAATACTGAAATATTAAGGGTGCCTTGAACCTAAAAAGTTTGCGAACCACTGGGTTAACCCCTTATTGCCTTTCCTATGGATAAAAATGGCTCTCCCCTATGTTGTTGTTCCATGTGACTTTCAATTTATTATATTTAAATATTTTAAAACTATACATTACTTCCAGTCTCCATTACTGCAATTCATATTACAACAGTCCTATGCATGCCAATCTACCCTCTTCCAGTCCATAAGAAGAATAGCTTCTATTCTATGTCAATTTCCCTCACTACCTGCAAAAGACACAGCTCACCCTAATGTCAATCCTCAAAGTAGCTTGCAATGTACTGTCTCTGTATGATAACTTCTGAAATTACAGATCCCACCTAAAAAGCTGTATCCAAAACTATATATCCCCACTAATGATCAAGTACCACTTTGCGAAATAACTTTGCCAGACCTCTGTTTCCCACCTCCAGGACTTACTGCTTAGAAAGTATTCCTGTCTCATAAATACAGAATTCCTTTCCCCATAATCCCCAGTCATTTAACAACTTTTTTTTTTTTTTTTTTAAAGAAAAGGAAAACCCTCTCTTTAGTTCCCCGTACCTATGTGCAATATTACTATAAAAACGAGTCTGAGTAGGCCTTTCACCAGTTGTTCCATAAATATTTAACTTATTTTTAATAGTCATTTCATGTTTAGTTTAGAATATGCAAGCACTTTTTATATAAATATAATACACACAAAAAAGCATTTCTTGGTAATCTTTGTACTCCTAATGTGTGGCAAATCTAATATAAAAAAGTATTTCTGATCATTAAGGTTGCAAAAATGTGACTTTGGTCTTTAAGGTGTAGAAGAAGAAAAAAAACAACTTTTTTTCATATATTTTCAATTACAGAGACATAAAAAAAAAATACTGGAACAAATTTACAACACTGATCCTTACCTCAATATAAATATAATTGTATGTGCTTTCTGCCTGCTGTATAAATACAGCAAAGAGAGACAAGACAGGCTTAGTGCTGAAGAAAGTGCACTCTGACCACACAACCACAGTTGAAACCATTGCCAAGATCACAGCCAGGATTCGAGAACACCAGGGTCGAAGCAGGCACTCCCAGTACCACTCTGTGTAAAGAAAAGAATTTACAGTCTTTGAAAAAAATATCGTTAAAGAAAATTGTTTGTTAGAAAAGATTTTCAATACTGCTTCTTTCCTACTGGAATGATGCGGAAGCCAGAGATCGCTTAAATCTGGCACTCAGCAGCAGCTGTGGACTGTTTTTCTCACGTTTCCTATCAAGAAGTTTAGCTGGCCAAACATCAAGGGAAATTTAGTCCACAACAGTTGAAATGCAAAATGCTAGTGAATTTGAAATTTAGAACTGCAGTTTTCATCATGGTCATCATACAATAAGCCTAAGTTATGATGTGTAGTGTACACTTTCTGTTGACAGCAATAGTGTCGCAGAGTCTTTGGATGCACACTAAAAGAAGCATTTTATTAAAACAAAAAACTATTTTAATAAAAAGATATGTGCTCACTTACACCTGGTAAGACAGGTAAATATGTTAAGAAATAGAAAATTATAAAAATAGGAAAGGTCCAAGTGTAAGATCAAAATTGTCTTCTATTGACATTCTACATATCATATCCCATTAGTTTTTGGAGTGCGGCTCGTACCAACTGTAGGAGTGTAGAAATGACGGGTGATCCAACCTTCTGGCTCTTGAGGGGGGAATGTACGAACAAATTGTTTTGTTGCACTGGTCTCATTTTTAGCAACATCTTCCAGAAAGAAGGCCTGCTCCAGAAGGATTCGCCATTGCACCTGCGTTCGATGATGTCTCTGCACAGAGTAGATAACCTTGGGGAAAAACCAAGCAAAGAACATATATCAATACTTACATCTTAAAGTGATACATTTTGTTTAAGTTAAAGTTTCTCAAACTCCAATCAAAACGGATCTTTATCCAACATATGCACTGGCATCAACAGATGTACAGCATATCAGTGTGCCACGAATGCCAACAGGTACCTGTTTGTGAAGTTTTACTAGTGTTTTCTCACTAGGATAACTTATATTCTTTTCTTCAAAGTCTTCATAGTCATCCATGTTTCTACCCATTTTCTCCTGGTACTCTGTAGGACACTGAAAGGATACAAGTGCAAAGGTTGTAACACCCTTTATGAACATTTATGAAAGTTGTAATAAAACCTTGTCTTGAACTTTGAATTCATGATACAGAATTTGAAAATATATTTTTTTCCATAAGAGTGGAACACAGTAGAATATAAAGAGTTCTATTTATCATTATATAATTCTCCTTAAACCAATACAATATACTTTACTCAGTTATTCCAGTTGATCACTTCACATCTAACTCATTGAACATTCTTTGAATTGTTTAAATGAGCTTGACTTTGGTTAAGGTAACATCCTATGGAATCCAGAGAAAGCAGAGAGTATATGCTATTTCGATAGGCATGGGAAAGTGCATGTACAAAAGTTGAGATCGTGAAAAGGGACACAAGGAAAATGCAGGTATGATCATTATGGCAAAAACTTGGGTTGTTCTTAGATCAGACATTTCTTCACACAGTCTGTTGGTTTCCTTACCTTTTTTAAAATTGTGTCTACACATTTCCGTAATGGGTGATTATATTTAATGCATTCATTCACTTTCCGGACTTCCTGCAAAACAAACCCAACATATTATAAGAAATATATACACCAACAGCTTGCAGGCAACGATCTGTAAACATATGGAATCATTTTGAGTCTAGCTGACAAACCAAATTTTGTTATAATATTCAATGTATCAGCATTTTTATGTCCTGTGCATATTTCCATTTATTAAAATAATTGAAAAGTTAATATTCTAGTAGACATCACATTACAGATACAAACCATACAGACTGCATCTTAGTCATCTTTAAAGGACACACTAATAAACCTGTATTCCTAACATTAAATTCATGTATGGCCTATTTGTGTTAAAAAAAAAAAAAAAAAAGGCAGTGTTTACACTGCAGAGACTTCAGGATAGTCTCTTTGCCCCAGAACCACTGCAATTAAGCTTAAGCGGTATTTCTACTGATTAATTTCTCCAATTCATCAGTAGAAAGAGTTCTCAATGCAGCCTCTAGTGTAGTACATGTGGTTTTCTTTGTGTAGATTATGATGGCCTCAGCATACAACTGAGATGCTGTAAATAGTTTTTAAACATAATTAATAAATTGGAAAGAGTGGTGCCTTGGAGAACGCCACATTATTTAAGTGTGATGGAATGTGCACATAAAAGGGTCCTGTCTGTAAGTAAGAATATAACACAATGCTAACAAATTAGCTACCAGGTCTTAATTCCTGTTCTGGTGTTTTGATTTTCTCCTTTTAAAATAGTCTGTAGGAAAATATGTGCTAATTGAACATTTACATATGTTATCAGTGGGATTCCTGCTTTTTATGTAGATGTAAACCAGGCTTCTAATTATTTGAGTAGAAATAGAGACTTGGTGCTTCAAACATCGAGACGAATAGGAAGTGCTATAAATGGCAGTGATTTCCCTGGAGCCAATAGGTAGATTAGGAACTCAAACTAGTCCGACTGGAATAGCGAGGTTACAGTATCTGGACGCAATGTGCTAGTTTTTCCAGTTCTGCAACTTGCTCTAAAAACAGCATTTCAATGGCAACTCAAATGCGCTCTCACAAATAACTAGAATAAGTAATTCTATATATAATACTTTCAGTTATCTCATCCCACTCATTTAAGGTTGAACTACAGAGGAAAAAATAAATAAAATAACTGAACATATAAAAGAGCTAGAACAGTAAAACACATTGAAGTTGAATGAAATCAGTTTAAGGGACACTCTAGGCACCCAGACCACTTCTGCCTATTGGAGTGGTCTGGGTGCCAACTCCCACTACCCTTAACCCTGCAAGTGTAATTATTGCAGTTTTCATAAACTGCAATATTTACATTGCAGGGTTAATTCCTCCTCTGGTGGCTGTCTACTAGAGGAGACTTCCGTGTTCATAGAACACGAAAAGAGTTTTAAAACGACGCTGGATGTCCTCACGCTATGTGAGGACCTCCAGCGTCGCCGAATAGGAAAGCATTGTGCATGTGCATTAGATCTCCCTAGGAGCGTAGGTGGAGCCTGACCCAGCGCTGAAGGACATCGGCGATGGACTCCGGTAAGTCACTGAAGGGGTTTTAACCCCTTCAGCAACTTAGGATGGGGGTGGGAGGTAGAGGGGCACTAGAGGGTCCCTTTAACTTCTGAACCAAGTTCCAAAAATAGACATACAAAGCAATAGAAATGAAATTGAAGCAAACAGGAAAACACTGGCTGGTGGAATAGTCTGATTTGATCATTTTACAAACTAGCAAAAAAGGAGCATTTGTCAGAGACTTAACATTGTGTTATTCTCCTTTTTTAAGCATTGTTTATTGACAACGTTTTCCAACACTAAATATGTATATATTCACCTCTATCTATAATAATTTAAAAGGAACAGAAAGTGACTGTCATCAGGAGGGCCCATTGCATACTACCTGGATTACTCCATTTTTTTTATTTTTTATTTTTTTTAAATAGAATTTAGTAGAACACATTTTAAAAATGTAGATGCAATTTAATTACCATGCCAGGTGAATTGACAGGGTTGTTATTCACAGATTTAAAATGTACATATTTAGTTATATTACGATGACTGATATGTAGGAGGATTCTCAGTATCCTATATTAACTAGCAATGGGCCATCGCCAATCATTTGTTGCATATCAGAGAACGTGATTATTATCAGCTTTACCTCCATCACATCTTCTAGGTTCTCCTCAGCGTCTGCTTTCTCTGTCATTAGTTTGGCTGCCTTAAAATAGGTTTTCATTAAGGGGTAACCTTTCTTGGCTCCATTCCAATGAGAGCGAGGGATTTCCACCAAACCATAACCCATCAACAAAACAAGGAGAAAGAGACCCCATGTATTGGCAGCAGCAATCCCAATGGTTTGGAGTTGGTACCTAAAAATGGAAAACCAATACAAATTAATGTAATTTTGTGGAAGGAGGAAAAAAATTATAAAAAAAAATAAAAAAATAAAAACAAACACTGATCACAGGTAACTAGGCAACTGCGTTTTTCTTGCCTAGTACTAAATAATTAGGGACATTATTTTTTCTTCTAATCATGGACCATCCAAAGCAGTGAAGTTAAACACACAGGACACAAAATTGTGTACCTATGCAATTTTTTAAACACATAAACACATCATATTGAATTGGGCCAAAGACAACAGGCCATATGAAAATGATTACTGTAACTTTTCATAATGTAAATGGAGAGCAGTCTGACACTGTGAAAAGCTTAAAGGCAGACACCAACACTATAACCACTGCAGCACACTGCACTAAATTTCCCATGATACTCAGACAGCCCTTAGTTATTGTAAAATGTAGCTCACAAACAATTGCGGTCTTAGAGTAGCCAGCAATAGACTAGTGCATTCTAAATGGTTATGTGTTAAAGTGCAGTTTGATGCTTTTTAAGTAAAAATCAATGGTATGATTACAACAGCATACATAATTGAAAGGCTACCATTTACTCCCTCAATAACTTCCTATAAAGTGCACAACAGTTATGAGATTTCCTCCTGGTTATATTTTGATTTTCTATGATCTACCAGTCTTTTGTACGTGCTTGTTTGTATATCAGCTAATTTGATATGCATACCTGCAGCATGCACAGTCTAAAGAGTGGCTTCCATAGCCAAGCTTTAACTCTAGGCAGTTTTTGGTTTCTATTTTGGAATTCTGTTGACAGTTCAAATCAATGCTTAGTTAATAAACCCATATGTGCAAGTTCTTTAAACGCTCTCCACACACATTTGCGTGGAAAAGATTAGGGAAAACAAAAATTTCCGTGTGCACAGAAGAGGGAGTTTCATTAAAATGGTCTACAATAAAATTGTTTTTCTGTAAATATAATATTTAGAGGAACACTGGAACGTTTGAAATACAAACCTGTATTCCTAATGTTATAATGTTGTCCTCTTTATTTAGATTCAGGCCCCTAATATATCTAAATAAAAACTAAAATAAAAGGTATTCTGTACCTTTTTTCCAGCACCAAGATAAGGTCATTGCAGTTGACATCATAGAGGAGCATTGGTAATGAAAAGCAGATACGCAGGCAGTGCTCCTCCAATGAAATGGAAGTTAGTTGTGAGACCAGAGACAACCACTAGAGGTGTATTTAACCCTGCAATGTAAACATTGCCATATCTACTAAACAGCAATGCTTTACACAGTAGCATTAAAAAGTACCACAGCACCCAGCCCACTTCATTAAGATGAAGTGGCCTGGGTGCCTTTGACGTTTGTTTGTTTTTGAAATGTCTCCATCCTTGCTATATCTCTCTCCCAATCATTGTAAGCACTTCAGCCAATTTTCAGCTTGGGGACAGGGGGGATCTTGTTCTGCATGTGCCTACAAAACACACAGTTTTAGTAGACCTTGGATGTTAAGGAGGAAGTACATTTTTTACAATTCACAATACTCTTAATATTCACAATAGTCTCACTGTTTTGTGATAACCATATTATGCATGTATCATACCATATGCTTAATATTATTCTGAATGTTATCTATAAAGTAGAAATAAATAAATTTATTTTTGTTGTTGTTTGATTCTGACAGTCAACCCTGCGCTCCAACAACTGCTGTTGATTTCACATTTGTAAAGAAAAACTTACCACTCCAGGTGAAATTTGGGGTTCACTGCGACATAGATGAGAAGTGCTGTAAAAATGCACAAGTAGGTGCCATAATAAATGGCATTCTCAATCAGGGCAGTTTTAATTTTCCCGGTAATGGAAAATCCACCAGATCGAGCATAGGACTGCATGAATGGGAGGAGAATCCTATTGGACAGAGACAAATTGATTATTTTCACAAAGATGAAATGGTTTATTAGGCATGAAGGTCAAAACAGAGTGGCTGGAAGATAGAGCCTCATCTTCTACAAGGATTCTTTCAGCCTACCTTTTAGTCATCCATTGTCTAGGTTTTAAAAGCCTTCTTATACATTAACCATGAAACAACATCAACAAATGACCCTGGGTGAGGTATAAACTAGTGGATGGCCTTTAAAATTCTTGGATACTATCCCTTAATTTTTACTCCAAGCACCAAATTTCTGTCCTGTCCATTATATAATCTTCAGTGCACGTTTTTGCACTTATTTCTAATGTTTAAATGCAATTTAAGACAAAATCTAGTTACGATCAATAAAATTGTAGACACTGTGGACATCTGTACAAGATGTGTAGGAGCAGAAAAAGGTTAACAAATCAGCAGTAATATCACATACCAAGTAAGAAATTGAGATGTCCAGTAGACGACCCGCCAGAATATTGGCATGATACCCTTGGGGATATAGCTCCATGGCTTATAACACTGAGGTGAGGGACTATCACTGCTGCTATTGAAAAGATAGTGAAAAAAATAAATAAAATATATTATATATATATATATATATATATATATATATATATATATATATATATATATATATATATATATATATATATTTTTTTTTTTATACACAAATACATATAATGGAAAAAAATATATAAAATGTTTTATAAACAGATAAATCGATAGAAAGATATATAGACACACAGACTTCTTTATGCAAAATCATTCGATGATGAGAATATATCTGTAATGCAATAACTTCCTAAAAGATTAGTGTAAGAAGAAAAAAAAAGTGCATATGTCAATATTGTCAGCTTAAAAGAGTCACTAATTCTTGCAAATTGTGTCTTGATTATTTAGATATTGCATTCTGATTGGTAGTGTGTCACCATCCAATCAGAAACAAAGTTATAATTAAAATCTTAATCACCACAAAGTGCAGAAAACAGCATATACAAACAGTACCAAAATAGCTTAGAAAAAGAGAATTGATGGGATCAATACAAGTAGAAATAAGTACTTTTCTTAAATTTTACATCTATATTACATTATATATTTGAATTTCTCCATCTATAGAGATATATCCAATAACTAAATGCTTCCTGTATAATAATCAGTATAGGTTTTCAGTGCAGACTGACTTCCCGTCACAATACAAAAATCATAAACTAAAAAAAGCTGTCTTGGTACAGTAAATGTCAAAAACGAGAAGTGAGAATGAGGGTAAAAGCTTATGAACTTTGGTTACATCAATGTTAACAAAAGGGGAAAGCATTGCTCAATACTAGGAAGAAATGGTATTTTGCAGAGTTTACCGTTAAATATTACAAGATGTAATGTAACTCAAAGATTGTTATTACTATAGACGGATGTACTTTATTTTGGTTACAGGGTGGTTTTCGGAGAAAGAACACTCTACACTGTTAGCAGAGGGAGGAATGTGTGGGGATTTTTTTTAATAAACAGCAATTTTTAGTGAACTGAAAAACAAAGTGCAAAATGTAGGTGAAAATAGACAAACTTACTGTAGCACAGTCCAAAATTTCTCAGTTTAGTTTTCAATTCACTAGTGTGCTGGTTAGCGTATAAACCCATTTGTTGAACTCAACTATTTAAGCGTGCATGTTTATATGGTTGATCGGTTTATTTTCTATTTGTTACTAAGGTGTAAAGTGGCAGGAGGCTTACTAAAAAAATGGTCAGTGAATGTGCATGAAATCTACACACGAAGCATTAAAATACCTGTCTGCGTTCTTTTCAAGTTGAAGTCCGGAAGCATTGTCTATTGTGGCTGCCGTCGTAGTGGTGGAAAAGAGACTTGTGTTGATAGTGACTGGCGGAACTGCATTTCTAGCAAGACAGCGATTATATATAGTCTGGAAGAGATTTCATTCGTTAAAAATCATTCGAGGTGAATTTGGTGTAACATTAAACTCACAATGTCACTTCATCAAACTGCTTGAAAATAGCACTTGACATAGCCCTCTTTTAAATTTAATGCTCAAAATAGCCCATCAAGAAGTCTGTCAGTGTTAATTCCACAGCTAGGAAAGCACTGTTTGACTAATCATATTAATTTGATAATTAAGCTGGACCTGAAATCTAACAAAATGACGTCCCAAGCTTTAAAGTAGTCTCTCAGCTCACTACATGGGTTATGAACCAAGGAGATGCAATGACTGATAACTGCGATGATTGGTACACATCATTGCAGGTATAACACTGCCTCATTTCCATCAGACGGCAGATGACTTCAGGATTTTATTTGCCCTGTGCCAGCCATGTATGTACCTACAATGGCATCTAAACAACTTTAAACAGATTAAAAGAAAACTATAGTGCTAGGAAAACAAAGTTATATTCCCCTGCACTATAGCTCCCTATAGTGCCTCCTCCCTCGAACCCCCCCTCCCCCGCATTAGGACTTTCTCCATAGGAAAGCATTATGTAATGCTTTCCTATAAGGTTTTCGGTGACGCTGGATGTCCTCATGCACAGCGTGAGACCATCCAGCATCAGTTAGGCGACCAAAAGTCACCTAAGCACCTCATAGTCCCTCTAGGGGCTGTCTGGTAGACAGCTACTAGAGGTGGAGTTAACCCTCCAAGGTAATTATTGCAATTTCTCAGAAACTAGAATAATTACCATTGCAGGGTTAAGGGGATTGGGACACATCACCCAGACCACTTCAATGAGCTGAAATGGCCTGGGTGTCTATAGTGTCCCTTTAACATTGTTTTTGTTTTCTCTCTCCACTATATTCCCATGCAATCACACAGTTGCATTTGTCCATGCTTTCAAAGAACAATAGCAATAAGGAAATGTAAACTCTTCCAAGTCAAAGCTATGCTGATAAAAGCTTTAAAAGGTAATGGATTTTGTTTAATGGTTTCCAACCTCCATGTTCAAATAGTGATGCGCTAGATCTGCTCTGCAAAATTCTGGCAGGATTATTAAATGAACTCTAAACCTCAGCAAATGAAATCTGGATTGCAAAACAGAGTCACAAATAGCCAAATTAAGGCTATGGCTGAGGTGGAGAATTCTTCAAAATCAACTACTTTTGCCTTAGTTTTGACATTAGGATTTTGTTTGTACTAATTTAGAGCAGAATGTTAAAGGTCTTCATAGAAGAAGTGGTAAAGTGTTTGTTTGCTAGCTGCACAGGAACACCAATTTCCTCACCAGATTGATCCCTTTAAATTTGTTCAGTATTATTCTCTCACTTAACCTTTCTAGATTACCTGTTACACTGTCAGACTCCATATTATCCCACCTTTGTGGGATTATACAAATCAAATTATACATACCAAATTACATGAAGTTTACAATTCCCTTAACCCCTTAAGGACACATGACATGTGTGATATGTCATTATTCCCTTTTATTCCAGAACTTTGGTCCTTAAGGGGTTAAAGGAACACTTTAGTGTTAGGAATTCTTATTTGTATTCCTACCACGAAAGTGTACCTCCTTCTACGATTTACTCTAAAGCAGGGTTCTTCAAACTCTGGCCCTCCTGATGTTGCTGAACTACAACTCTCGATTCTTCAAATGGAATAGATAGCCAGAGAATCATGGGAGTTGTAGTTCAGCAACATCTGGAGGGCCAGAGTTTGGGGAATCCTGCTCTAAAGCATGCACACAGGCTCCTGGCAGAAGCAGCATCAGGAAACAAAGATGGAGACCGGAATTAAGGTGGCAGTGACTAAGAGGGAGAGCTTCAAGCACGTACTTCTGCCCATGACCCATCACCTTGAAGTGATTTACAAAATATTCAAAGTTCCCTGAAGATGACAGTGCCACTTTAAGAAAATAAGTGTAACATTCTTATGTATATTCTTTGGTTCAGGCCATTGGTGAACACTCAAGTACATGCAATTAACAAGTGTGTTTCTTACCGTACTAACATCCAGAGGTATGATAAAGACTATCAAGAAGCAGAGATACCAGGCTAAGAGAGTTGCCACTATTACAAGTCTGTGCTGTTTTTTAAAATCTCCATATCGGTGAAGAAGAAATAAAGCCAGAAAAAAGACAAATACAATCTCAATTCCTAGAGCAGCTCCACTCATTTTAAAAAGGTATCTTCAGTTTGTACAAAACGGCTGAGGCACACGGTTAAGGATTTAGCCTGTGGAGATAAATAAAAAAAACACACAACAAAACATTTAGAGTTAAAGGTTTTGTGTACTGACTCCACAGCCATGCTAAAAGGATCCACATATTTGCATAAATTAGTAAATAGGACTTTATTCCGCGAGAACACAAATGGGGTTGTGCCGTAATTTCGGGTAAACAAAATGGCCACCGCGATTTGGTCCGGTCGGGTGCCACTGATAATTGAAGTGGGCGGCGAGGGAGCACTCTCCCCCCCCGCCCCCTGCTCAGCTCCTTCACGTGCACTGCAGTGATGCTGGAGCCAGAATATCCGAGGCGCGCGAGGGAGCTGAGCAGGAAGATCACTGATCCCTCGCCGCCCGCAAGCCAGCCACGCAGCTCCACTGGACCCCAGGGACCGTACGCCAGCCGCACAGCCCAGCTACCCCACTGGATCCCAAGGAAAAAAGAGACTCCATGCCAGCACTCCCAAAGGTAGGGAGGCTGGGTGGAATGAAAAAAAATAAAAAAAAGTGTCTGTTAAAGCGTTTGTATGTGTGTTTGTCAGTGAGAGTATGTGTGTTTGTCACTGAGTGTGTCACTGAGAATGTATGTGTGCTTGCCAGGTAGAGTGTATATGTGTTTGTATTTGTGTCTGTCAGTGAGAGTATAAGTGTGAGTGTATCTGTGTGTCAAGGTTTGTGTATGTGTCAGTGTGTGTATGTAAGTAGGGGTGTGTGTGTGTGTGTGTTTGTATGTCAGTGTGTGTATTTGTGAGTCAAGATGTGTGTATGTATCACTGTGTGTATCTGAGTGTGTATCAGTGTGTATCAGTGTGTGTGTGTGTGTATGTCTGTGTGTCAGATACACACACACGCACAGAGAGATACACACTGACACACAGATACATACCTTGACACACACCGGCACAAACAAAAAGAGGTTTATGCCCATGTTTGTTTTTTTACGGGAGAGGGGTTCCACAATGTTGATACACTATGTCAAAGAGTTCCACGGGAAAAATTAATTGGGAACCCCTGAACTAGACTATTTGCTTAAAGGACCATTCTAGGCACCCAGACCACTTCAGCTTAATGAAGTGGTCTGGGTGCCAGGTCCAGCTAGGCTTAACCCATTCTTTTATAAACATGGCAGTTTCAGAGAAACTGCTATGTTTATGAATGGGTTAAGCCTTCCCCCAATTCCTCTAGTAGCTGTCTCATTGACAGCAGCTAGAGGCGCTTGCGTGCTTCTCACTGTGATTTTCACAGTGAGAGCACGCAAGCGTCCATAGGAAAGCATTGATAATGCTTTCCTATGTGACCGGCTGAATGCGCGCGCAACTCTTGCCGCGCGTGCGCATTCAGCCGCATGGGAGGAGAATCGGAGGCAGAGAGCTCCCCGCCCGGCTCTGGAAGGGGGACCCTGAGGGTGGGGGCACCCTCAGGGCACTATAGTGCCAGGAAAACGAGTATGTTTTCCTGGCACTATAGTGGTCATTTAACACAGTTTTTGAAATTGGACTTTGCATTGTGGCAACTAATGTCATATGAATAAGCTACACTTATTTTGAAACTAATTACAACAAAGTAAGCCCCTATTTCACTTGCCTACCACTAAACATGTAACCCAACAGCATAACCAGAAAAGTTACATTACCATGATTAGAGAACAATGGCTTTAGCCATGTTACAGAAGATGCTTCTATACTCCTTTAGATTACTACTCTCTCTCTCTCTTTTTTTTTTAACTTTGCAATGAATATATATATATATATATCCAAAGTAAAAATAAAAAATAGGAGAGTAGTAAGCTAAAGCAGTAGAGCAGCATCTTTTGTAACATGACTATATATATTTCATTCCAAAGTAAAAAATAAAGTAAAAATAGCTGGCTCTGCCCCCTCGCTGAGATCATCAAAATTGACAATCTCAGCCAATCCAATGCTTTCCCATAGAGGCAATTGCGCATGTGCTGCGCCAAATCAGTATCTCCTCATATATATGCATTGGATATGCATATTGTTCATCACTGATCCAGTAAGCACCGCTATTGGCAGTCTGAGTGACTGCCACTAGAGTTGTCCATGGACAGTAATGCAAGCACTGCCATTTCTCTAAAAAGGCAGTGTTTACATTAAAAAGCCTGCAGGGACAACCTATCCATTAAGTTGTAGTTATTTTAGTGAATATAGTATCCCTTTAAGTTAAAGTTGTTTTGTAGCTTAAAGTGTCCCTTTAAATGCATGCAAGTTTTCATTGGGGGAATTTCTACTAAATTATTAATATAGTTTTTTTTCCATTGGAATGTTCCTTTAAATACTATATTTGAAACCACATTTTGGTATGTTATTCTATGGTTCAGACCATAGGACTATCCTGATTTTAGCTTCTGTACTTCACACCCACACAACTCAAAGTTCTCTCTCTTTTATCCAACGCAGAAATCACAACCGATCACCTTCATCTAAGCACAGATAATGTGGAAGTGAAAAATTCTAATTTTCTTAGTAGAGGGGCTTTTGTTTGGGTGCCAGGAGTGCCCCAGGTTTTCTAAAGCCTCTTGAAAAGATTTGACAAAAATGGAGATAGGGCATGTTTAGCCTACTTCCATCATATCCCCCCACAATAAACTATAGTGGTCCTAGAAATATCCCTTCAAGCAATTTAGGTTGATTTCTTGATGTGATGTTTGTTTATTCACATTTACTAGTATGGCATGACAATTTTCATATTTACAAACACAAATATGTATGCAAACGAAAATTACAGGTGTTTGTAGTAAGCATGGTCATTATTAAGCAAACAGTTTATGCATTCAATTTCTGTATTGAAAAATAACAGCTGCTTATATGAAAAATGCACTCCTCAAATGTAATACGACTTATCAATCAGTTACACGTATTGGTTGGGTGTGATCTTTGTACCACGGCCACAGTGACTCACCTATAGGGTTTCAGTATTACAGCCTGACACAAGACATACATATATTAGATTAGATTGTCAAAGACATAGAACAGGTTTAAATATTATTCAGATTCAGGTAAGTAAACAATTATATCCTCTGGGTTGAAAACCCCCCAGCAAATGTATCAATTAAAATATACTTTAAACACTGGGGAGATTAATCAAAGTGTTCTGTTCTAAAAGGTGGTCTATAGTACTAATAAGTAAAGCAAATCACCATGAATTCCTGCGGCATCAACAACAAACATTCCATTGGGGATTTCTCTTCTTTTATATTTTTGCAGTGCTTTAACCCCTTAAGGACCAAACTTCTGGAATAAAATGCAATCATGACATGTCACATACGTCATGTATCCTTAAGGGGTTATTTGTATGGCAGAAAGAATTTCCACGGCAAGGAGAAATGTATTTCAAATGTATGTTAGTCTTATAATAATGGGCTACAAAGTGATACTTATATGAAACAGAACATCACTTTAAAGGACAACTGGCATGTCACGGGATTTTTAATACTATGTTTAATTATCCCTATATTTAACAAATATGTATTTATAAAGTGTGTGAACAATAAATTGAAAATTAAAAATCCTCACGTTTGTAACCTATAACTAGGCGCCTCCATAGTAACGCCCTGTCAGTCATGGTTATAAACTAAGTCATAGTTTAGTATGTGAGGAAAAAAAATAAAAATACAGAAAACAAGAAAAAGGAAACAAGGTTTCTATTTCCCCTCTTCATTCACAATGTTTTTCCTGGCTTCTCTTGGTCTGAACTGGATAATATAGTTTGATAAATTTGTATGTGTACAGTTGTGCTCAAAAGTTTGCATACCCTTGGAGAATTAGTAATATATGTACCATTTTTAAAGAAAACTCGAGTGAGCAGGCAAAACACATTTATTTTGGGATTCATATTCAACTATAGGTTATAACAGAATGGCATAATCGTAAAACAAAACATGGCAACAAAGAAAAAATTTAAACAACCCCTGTTCAAAGGTCTGCATACCCTTAGTTCTTAATACTGTGTATTGCCCGCTTTAGCATCAATGACAGCGTGCAGTCTTTTGTAATAGTTGTCTATGAGGCCTCTAATTCTTGCAGGTGGTATAGCTGCCCATTTATCTTGGCAAAATGCCTCTAGGTCATGCAAAGTCATTGGTAATCTTGAACAGCCCGTTTGAGTTCTCCCCAGGGTGACTCGATGATATTAAGGTCAGGAGACTGTGATGGCCACAACAGAACCTTCACCTGCTGTAACCACTGGAGGGTCAACTTGGCCTTGTGCTTAGGGTCATTGTCATGCTGGAAAGTCCAAGAGCATCCCATGTGCATCCTTCGTGCAGAAGAATGTAAATTGCTAGTATTTTCTGATAACATGCTGCGTTCATCTTGCCAACAATTTTCACAAGATTGCCCATGCCTTCAGAGCTCACAAACCACCTCCCAAAAAAAAAGATAAGTGAGTAACCACCATGCTTCACAGTGGGCAGTGCCGACTTTAATGCGGTGCAAACGGGGCACCTGCCCCAGGCAGCTGCCCAGTTGCCCTCAACAGCTTACTCACCCCATGGGTCCCCACTGCATCCGGTTGCCTGCAAACGAAGGAAGCTCACCGGGTGGCCCAGGCACTAAGGGCCACCCGGTGGGCGTTTGTAAGCAGGGGCCTGGTCGCACACTGTGGCGCTTTAACAGCACGACCAGGCCCCCTTGCAAATCTTTCTTGCTCTACCTGAACTTGGCTTGGTATCAAGAGATCATAGAGTTTTCCACTTCTTAATAAGTAATTGAACAGTACTGGCTGGCATTTTCAAGGCTTTGGATATCTGTTTAGATCCTTTTCCATCTTTATAAAGTTCCATTACCTTCTTACGCAGGTCTTTTGACACTTCTTTTCTGCTCCTAATGCCTTATTATCTAGCCTGCTCAGTGTTTACATGTGAGAGCTAACAAACCCAATGACTATTTTTTTACACAGATATTAATTGCAATTTAAAAAGCCATGTGTGCAAATTAACCTTTAATTGCCATTTTAACCTGTGTGGCTCTACAACAAGGCCAAACATTCAAGGGTATGTCAACGTTTGATCAGGGCCATTTGGGTGATTTATGTTATCATTATGATTTAAAAAGGAGCCCAACAACTATGTGATAATAAATGGCTTCATGTAATCACTATCCTTCAATAAAACATTTTTTGCAGGATCAGTCAGACTTTCAAAATCAATGCCAAAATTTCACACTTTCGAGCACAACTGTGTGTGTGTGTATATTTATTTTTTTAATGGATCACCTCATGCAAAAATGGTTAGCAAAAGTTGGTGATATTCAATGTTTTGCTCAGTGGCACTTCATTGCAACTATAGATTTTAGAAAAACAGACTTTTCTAAAATTAGAATATGTGTAAAGAAGTCCTTGTCAGACTGGAGCAGTTTTAATGGAGTCCAGGAGAAATGGGATTATTTAAAAAAAAGTCGCACTACTGAAAGCAACAGAAAATTCCATTAGGCTTGTCAGGAAGAACAGAGAAATTAAGGAACCACTGTGGTACTCCGCAGATGTGGCCAAAATAGTAAAAAACAAAGCGTTAGCATTTAGTAATTATAAAAAAAAAAGTGAGAAAGAGTGAGGAAGACAGACAGATCTATAAGATTAGGCAGAAAGAGGCTAAGCAAGTTATAAGAGCCTCCAAATCATACACAGAAGAGAGAATAGCACAGTCAGTAAAAAATGGGGATAAAACATTTTCTAGATACATAAATGAGAAAGTAAAACAAAGATTAGTTAGATTATACACAAAAGAAGGAAGGTATGTAGAAGAGGATAAAGGTCTAGCTGACTGCCTCAATTAATATTTTTGTTCAGTATTTACAGATGAAAATTAAGGAGAGGGACTTCAGTTAAGAAAAAGGACAAATGGGTCATTTGTTACATGTGAGTTTACAGAAGAAGAGGTTCTATTTCAACTGTCGAAAGGAAAGACAAATAAGTTGATGGGGCCTGATACGATACACCCAAAGTTATTAAAAGAACTTAGTGGTGTACTAGCAAAATCATTGATGGATTTATATAAAAACCAATCATTGTTAACAGGAGTAGTCCCACAAGACTGGAAATTAGCGAATGTTGTACCCATTTGCAAGAAAGGTAGTAGGGAGGAGTCAGGCAACTATAGGCCAGTAAGCCTTACTTACTTTGGTAGTGGGGAAAGTGATGGAACCATGTTAAAGGATAGGATTGTTGAACATCTAAAATCACATGGATTTCAAGATCAGAGACAACATGGGTTTACTTCAGGGAGATCATGCCAAACTAAACTTATTGATTTTTTGGGGTAACTAATAGATCAGAGTGGTGCAGTAGACATTGATTACCTAGATTTCAGTAAGACTTTTGACACTGTTGCCCACAGAAAGCTTATCAATAAACTGCAATCTTTAAGTTTAGATTCCAATATTGTTGAATGGGTTAGGCAGTGGCTGAGTGACAAGCAACAGAGGGTTGTAGTTAAGGGAGTATATTCAAAGCATGGTCTTGTTACCGGTGGGGTACCTCAGGGATCTGTACTTGGCCCCTTCTCTTTAATATTTTAAACAGTGATATTGTAGAAGGTGTTGATGTTAAGGTATATCTTTTTGCTGATGATACCAAGATATGTAACAGGTTGGTGTTCCATGAGTGAAAAGCCAAATGGCAAGTGATTTAGGTAAACTAGAAAAATGGTCAGAGCTGCAACTGACATTCAATGTGGATAAGTGCAAGATAATGCATCTTCGATGTAAAAACCCAAGGGCAGAGTATAGAATATTAGGGGTAATTATTTCAGATGACTTAAAGGTGGCAGACAATGTAATAGAGCAGCAGGAAATGCTAGCAGAATGCTTGGTTGTATAAGGAGAGGTATTAGCAGTATAAAGAGAGAAGTGCTCATGCCGTTGTACAGAACACTGGTGAGATCTCACTTGGAGTATTGTATGCAGTACTGGAGACCGTATTTCCAGAAGGATATTGATACTTTGGAAAGAGTTCACAGAAAGGCTATTCGACTGGTTCATGGATTGCAGGATAAAACATACAAGGAAAGGTTAAAGGAACTTAACATGTATAGCTTGGAGGAAAGACGAGACAAGGGGGATATGATAGAAATATTTAAATACATAAAGGGAATCAACACAGTAAAGGAGGAGACTATATTTAAAAGAAGAAAAACTACCACAACAAGAGGACAGTCTTAAATTAGAGGGACAAAGGTTTAAAAATAATATCAGGAAGTTTTACTTTACTGAGAGGGTAGTGGATGCACTGAATAGTCTTCCAGCTGAAGTGGTAGAGGTTAACACAGTGAGCGAGTTTAAGCATGTGTGGGATAGGTGTAAGGCTATCCTAGACTTAAAGGGACACTCCAGGCACCCAGACCACTTCTGCCCATTGGAGTGGTCTGGGTGTCAACTCCCACTACCCTTAACCCTGCAATTGTAAATATTGCAGTTTTCATAGTTTTCTACTAGACAGCCACTAGAGGGAACTTCCTGGTTTATAGCACAGATCTGTGCTATAGCGTCCCTGACGTCCTCACGCTATGTGAGGACCTCCAGCGTAGCTGAAATCCCCATAGGAAAGCATTTTTCAATGCTTTCCTATGGGGAGGTCTAATGCGTGTGGCCGGAATTTGCCACACATGCGCATTAGGTCTCTCCCTGCCACTGGCTGCGCAATCGGTCTCCCCCGCCGGATGACGTCGGCGGGGGAGGAGCGTGGGCGGACCCTGAACCAGCGCCGAGGGACATCAGCGCTGGATACAGGTAAGTCACTGAAGGGAGTTTAACCCCTTCAGCAAACTGGGATGGGTGGTGGGAGGGAGAGGGGACCTGCAGTGCCAGGAAAAAGGTTTGTTTTCCTGGCACTGGAGAGTCCCTTTAAGATAAGGCCAGGGACTAATTAAAAGTATTAAGAAAAATGGGCAGAATGGTTCTTATCTGCGGTCACATTCTATGTTTCTATACACTGATATAGCCACAACATTAAAACCAACTGCCAAAACCGCTCTGATGCAACAAGGCATGGAAAGTGAACTGACTGTTCACTTGCTGCCTAATAAATCCCACCCCTTGACAGGTGTAATGGTAACAATATTACAATTCACTTCACTTGTCAGTAGTTTTAATGTGGCTGATCAGTGTACATCCAGCTATACAAAATGTAGATGACATATGTCTCAGAAAATATATGAAACTGTACATCTTGTAAAAATTACTATAATATATGGCTTGGACACCACTAGCTCCAATTTAATAAAATTAAAAGTTACAACCCAAAACGAAGTGCCACCAGTTTTGATGGGTCATTTCTTAGCATTCTACCAGTCTGCAATTAGGCTGACAGAAACAGGGCTTTCAGTCCCGACCACTGATATCTCACTATTACTCTCCACCCCTGGTGACACTGCATGTGGCAGGCCAAGACTGGCATAAAAATGCAAGTATGTGGGACCTCTGCACACACTTTGCAATCACAGACAAAATGTGGTAAAATAAAGATATATCCCAGCTCAATGTTGTCACAGAATGTTATATGAAGATCTGTTTTCAAATTAACCCTCAAAGCACTATAATCACTAACCTGCCCAAAGTTCTTGTAACCTACTACTGGACAGATAATGTGGTGGTTTACGTTGGCATTAGCTGAACCACAGTATAGGGATGGGTTTTTGGAATCAAGAGACAAAAGGTTTCCACAAACCAGAGTATATGACCCATGTGCTCTCTGCGCCATAACTACTACTACAATAAGTTTTAGCACTGTGTGTGCCCCTTCAATGGCAAAGAGAGGAGGAAGTCGTGCTGTTCAATTTCTTTTTACACTAGTTATGAAATATACCTACTAAGTAATGTGCTGAACATTGAATAAAGCATTGAGAGCTGCTTTTCCAGATTCTACAAAAATGGATTATTATTGTCCATTATTATTATTTAAAAGTGGCGCTGTTAACAATCCCCCCATTAATTAAAAAAAAAAAACATGCATATTTGCATTGACTCTGTTGATATTTCACTGCAGTCAAAAAATGTAAGACAAATTAGATATTTTTTTTTTTTTTAAAGCATTTTTCCTGCACCTGACAGAGTCTGACAGCTGACAGCCAGAGCCCGGGATAGCAGCCCCTGAGCCGACGGCCAGAGCCCGGGATAGCAGCCCCTGAGCCGACGGCCAGAGCCCGGGATAGCAGCCCCTGAGCGGCGGCCGGGAGCCGGATAGCAGCCCCTGAGCGGCGGCCAGAGCCGGGATAGCAGCCCCTGAGCCGGCCGGCCCAGGCCGGATAGCAGCCCCTGAGCCCGGCCCGGCCAGAGCCGGGATGGCAGCCCTGAGCGGCGGCCAGAGCCGGGATAGCAGCCCCTGAGCCCGTGACCAGAGCCGGATAGCAGCCCCTGAGCGGCTGACCAGAGCCGGGGATAGCAGCCCTGAGCGGCGGCCAGAGCCGGGATAGCAGCCCCTGAGCCCGTGGCCAGGGGCCGGGATGCCCAGCCCCTGAGCCCGTGACCAGAGCCGGGATAGCAGCCCCTGAGCCCGGCGGCCCAGGCCGGAGGATGCCCAGCCCCTGAGCCGGCTGGCCAGAGCCGGGATAGCCCAGCCCCTGAGCGGCCGGCCAGAGCCGGGGATAGCAGCCCCTGAGCCCGTGACCCAGAGCCGGGATAGCAGCCCTAGGCGGCGGCCGGGGCCGGGATAGCAGCCCCTGAGCGGCGGCCCAGAGCCGGGGATAGCAGCCCCTGAGGCGGCGGCCAGAGCCGGGATAGCAGCCCTGAGCCCGGCCGGCCAGAGCCGGGATAGCGGCCCTGAGCCGGCGGTAGAGCCGGGATAGCAGCCCCGAGCGGCGGCCAGAGCCGGGATAGCAGCCCTGAGCCGGCCGGCCAGAGCCGGGATAGCAGCCCTGAGCCGGCGGCCAGAGCCGGGATAGCAGCCCCTGAGCGGCGGCCAGGCCGGGGATAGCAGCCCCTGAGCCGGCCCGGCCAGGCCGGGATAGCAGCCCTGAGCCGGCGGCCAGGCCGGAGATGGCAGCCCCTGAGCCAGGCCAGCCCAGGCGGGGATAGCAGCCCCTGAGCCGACAGCCAGGGCGGGATAGCAGCCCCTGAGCCGCCAGCCAGAGCCGGGGATAGCAGCCCTGAGCCGACAGCCAGGCCGGGATAGCAGCCCCTGAGCCCACAGCCAGAGCCCGGGATAGCAGCCCCTGAGCCCACAGCCAGAGCCCGGGATAGCAGCCCCTGAGCCCACAGCCAGAGCCCGGGATAGCAGCCCCTGAGCCCACAGCCAGAGCTCGGGATAGCAGCCCCTGAGCCCAGGATAGCAGCCCCTGAGCCGACAGCCAGAGCCCAGGATAGCAGCCCCTGAGCCCAGGATAGCAGCCCCTGAGCCCAGGATAGCAGCCCCTGAGCTGCCAGCCAGAGCCTGGGATAGCAGCCCCTGAGCCCGGGATAGCAGCCCCTGAGCTGACAGCCAGAGCCCTTGTACCAGGTCCAGGAGCCCAGCAGCCAGCTGTCAGTATTGATAGTAAAACACGCTCCTCACCAGCTGTTGCCGTTTTCTTTACAGTCTGTCTCCTAAGACCATTCCCAGCAGCTGCCAACCGTGCGTGCCTTCATTGATGTCCTAATTACCGGAACCTGCTGACACACTAACAGACAAGACAACAAGCCGAAAACGTCACTTCCGCGTTCCCAGCGTTCTACACACTAGCCTTAGCAACTCAAACAGTGAACGCAAAGTAGAGAGCGCCCCAAGTGGAGACTGTGGAATATTGCCATCTAATCACTATGGGATCCAGAAATATGGCCGCCGCCAAATAACGGAATTTTTCTCTAGTGCTTAGAACTCGGCGTGGCTACGCTTGGATTACACTCTGCTACAGAGCAACTCAAGCAATTGAAAGCAGCCATGCTTATTAAGGGAAAGATGATAGCCGTAAAGTGCGAACATATTATTGTGCAAACAATATCCTTTGTGTTACACATTATGTCATGCACAAAGTCCAACATCCTAAACAAACAGGGTTAGTCACTAAATTGAGAATTCCACGTGAATTTGCAATGTAAGTCCTAAATAGCTGAATTTGAAAAACCCTCTAAGTCAGCTATACTTCCAGTTTAGTTATTTTGGGGTAAAATATGAAATTTACTTGGAATTCAAACTTTAGTGACTAACCCTGTTATTTTGTATTAATCGGGCTGTTTGGTAATTTTTTGGGTTTTGACCCTTCTTTCCCCACCCTGGTCCTGCGCAGAGAAATTAACGCACCCTCTATATATGGTCTCTGTTACAGGGTGCTGCGATTAAAGAGTGAAAAGTTGGGAAATCAAACAGGATTTTCACTAAACTCCTCAAATTTGTGGGCAGGAGTATGTGAATTCTAACAGAAGCAATCATAACACAAATATGCCATTAGCACAATTTTGATCACTAACTCTGTGGGAAAATAGTTATCTCTTTATATACCCCAATTATTAAAACATTTGAATTATTCGCAACCCTCTTCACTTTCTGGCTGAAGTACCAGTACTCCGCGAGGACTTCAATCCCTCCGGCTCTATGGTGGTGATAGCAGTTCCCCAAACCTCAGAGTAGCTGAGAAATTAAAAATTCCATAAAACTGACATGAAACCCAGCGCTTGGATAGTGTCCTCACTGTAGCGCAATCCTATTCCTCTGAATTAATCACTGCAGATAAATATTGTCCAAGCAGATGCTTCTCACAGAAGCCTTGTAGACACACGGGTCATACACTGTAATGGATACGATCAGACTCAAACATTCTTGCATCAGCTTAATTTGCTATATTTAATCTATCATACTTTAAAGCCCTAAGTGGCTGTACATTTAAGACAAATTGTGATGGGTAATACGAGAGAAATTTTAAAAATGTCAACAATTCAGTTTTTCACAAATGGCACGGTTTTCATTCAAAAGGCTGCAGCTCTAGCATCTATGCCTCAAATTTTGGTGCTTGGAGTGTCGCCTTAAAGTATTATCCAGTCAAATGCTTCATCAGAAGCACTAAGGACAAATTGACATGTGTGGGTGTATGTGTGATCTACTAATCTAATGTTTCTCTTTGAGATTATAGGCTGCTGGTAGGGAGTCGTCACTTTTTTACTGGATTTAGAAGGGCTGTATGCACACTTTCTGATCAGGGAGATTTTAGGATCAGCAGGTATGTTCCTGGCAAAAAAACAGTAAGTTCTAAAGACAGTACTTGACACCAGAACACTTTATCTGCTTATGCCAAACATGAACTATGGATTCATTAGATATTTCTTTAACCCCTTAAGGACCAAACTTCTGGAATAAAAGGGAATCATGACATGTCACACATGTCATGTGTCCTTAAGGGGTTAAAGGACAACTATAGGCACCCAGACCACTTCAGCTCGATGAAGTGGTCTGGGTGCCAGGTTCCCCTTGTTTTAACCCTGCAGCTGAAAACATAACAGTTTCAGAGAAACTGCTATATTTACACTGCAGGGTTAATGACAGCCACTAGAGGCGCTTCTGCGATTTACACTGAGTAAATCGCACTTATTTGACGTTGGACGTCCTCATGAACCTCCAGCATCAAAAAAGATCCCCATGGGAAAGCATTACAGGGTTTGAATGCGCTCGTGCCTCTGGCTGTGCATTCGGCTCCACTCGGGAGCTGACGTCGATGGAGAAGAGGTCACCAGTGCTGAGGGAACCAAGCGCTTGATCAAGGTAAGCAAATAAATGGTTAATTAACCATTTACTCACCGAGGAACGGGCCCTAGTCACCGTTTAGGTGACTAAGGCTCTATAGCGTTGGGAATACATTTTGTATTCCTAACGCCATTGTGTTCCTTTAAGACAAGCTGAGAGAATGGCTGTCTGATTGACAAGCAGAGGGAGTGGCCAGAGCATTATAAAAAAAAAAAAAAATGCCTTTATATTTAAAATTAAAACACATTATGCCAAAGAATACAGGAATAGTGTCTGTGCTTCATAATGACCTCAGTAAGCTTCAGTGGTTATGTGTTTAATCTTCCCACACAATTCCAAATTAATTTCATAATGAAGGTCAAAATAGCCAAACTAAAAGAATTCTGCTTTGGACTTAAATCTTAAATTCATGTTGAATTCCCAAACAATTCTCACTTTAGTGAATAACCCTGTAAAGTGTTAATTGTGGCCAATTCAAAGTAATGGCAAATTTGAGGCCAGAATAGCTGACTTTAAAGGGACTCTCCAGCAGGTCCCCTCTCCCTTCCACCTCCCATCCCCAGTTGCTGAAGGGGTGAAAACCCCTTCGGTCACTAACCAGAGGCAGCGACGATGTCCCTCATTGCTGCTTCTTCCTCCGCCCACGCTCCTCCTCTTTATCACGTCAGCCGGCGGGGGAGACCTAATGCGCATGCGCAGCAATGCCACGCACGGGCATTAGACCTCCCTATAGGAAAGCATTGAAAATGTTTTTCAATGCTTTCCAATGGGAATTTTAGCGACGCTGGAGGTCCTCACATAGCGTTTGGATGGTGTCCTCACTGTAGCGCAATCCTATTCTTCTGAAGTAATCACTGTAGATAAATATTGTCCAAGCAGATGCTCCTCTAGAGCCACTAGAGGAGGAGTTAAAGGGACATTATAGTCACCTGAACAACTTTAGCTTAATGAAGCAGTTTTGGTGTATAGAACATGCCCCTGCAGCCTCACTGCTCAATCCTCTGCCATTTAGGAGTTAAATCCCTTTGTTTATGAACCCTAGTCACACCTCCCTGCATGTGACTTGCACAGCCTTCCATAAACACTTCCTGTAAAGAGCCCTATTTAGGCTTTCTTTATTGCAAGTTCTGTTTAATTAAGATTTTCTTGTCCCCTGCTATGTTAATAGCTTGCTAGACCCTGCAAGAGCCTCCTGTATGTGATTAAAGTTCAATTTAGATATTGAAATACAATTATTTAAGGTAAATTACATCTGTTTGAAAGTGAAACCAGTTTTTTTTCTCATGCAGGCTCTGTCAATCATAGCCAGGGGAGGTGTGGCTAGGGCTGCATAAACAGAAACAAAGTGATTTAACTCCGAAATGACAGTGAATTGAGCAGTGAAATTGCAGGGGAATGATCTATACACTAAAACTGCTTTATTTAGCTAAAGTAATTCAGGTGACTATAGTGTTCATTTAATCCTGCAAGGTAATTATTGCAGTTTATAAAAACTGCAATAATTACACCTGCAGGGTTAATTCCAGAAGTTTGGTCCTTAAGGTTGTTAAAGGACCACTCTAGACACCCAGACCACTTCAGCTTAATGAAGTGGTCTGGATACCTGGTCCAGCTAGGGTTAACCCATTTTTTTTATAAACATAGCAGTTTCAGAGAAACTGCTATGTTTATGAATGGGTTAAGCCTTCTCCCATTCCCTCTAGCGGCTGTCTCGCTAGAGGCGCTTGCGTGCTTCTCACTGTGATTTTCACAGTGAGAGCACGCCAGCGTCCATAGGAAAGCATTGATAATGCTTTCCTATGCGACCGGCTGAATGCGCGCGCAGCTCTTGCCGCGCGTGTGCATTCAGCCGACGGGGAGGAACGGAGGAGGAGAGTTCCCTGCCCAGCGCTGGAAAAAGGTAAGTTTTACCCCTTTTCCCCTTTCCAGAGCCGGGCAGGAGGGGGTCCCTGAGGGTGGGGGCACCCTCAGGGCACTATAGTGCCAGGAAAACGAGTATGTTTTCCTGGCACTACAGTGGTCCTTTAAGGTTTCTCTCGTTTTCAAGTATGTCCTATGTCCACAAAACATTGCATTGAGGCACTAGGATACAATATTACAAAAAATATAATGAATACAATTGAATTCTAATTTACCTTCAGACAGCATATAAAGGAAATAAAAACCCTCTATATACTCCATGTAACAATACTTAAACCAGCATCCCTCAGCTGGTCACCCTAGGTGAGCCCCTTTAGGTCAGTGCCAGTCTCTGCAGAGGGCAGCGCTGGAGTACTTTCCCCCCCCAGCTATGTTTATCACGTGACCTGGCGTGCCGTCACATGACCTGCGTTTCCCTCCGCCCTGCAAATCGCGCAGGTTCAGGTTTCACGCTCTGCATGTCGCGTTCCAGTGACGTCACGCGGCTGCGCGCAGCGTGCGGGGAGCGGGAAGGTTTGATTCTGGAACGGATCGGGCGCGCTCAGCATGGAGAGGTAATGATACCGAGAGCTCCTCGGCGGAGCTTTGACCCTCAATGAATCTACCGAGTCCTGTCTGTAGTCCAGCTCGGTCCCTCCCTCCCTGTTCCCGCTTATTACCGGTTACCTATCGGGTGTTCACTCATAGCTCCCTCTAAATCCAAACTCCCAGCACTACGTGGCAAATCCCCTGTAGCCTCTGTTATAGGTTATATATCCACACTACCCCCCTCCCCATAATAATAATAATAATAATATATCACATACTGTCACTTTATTATAAGGGCTCTATTCATTTACCCTCTTTTATACATAAGTAACATACTTACATCATTATTTATAACCTTTACTGATAAAAAAACAAAAACACTCATCTGGTTATTTTTTTGTTTTAGTGTTTTATTTTTATTTATTTTTTAAATAAATTTTTAGGGGATGACTTATCGATTTTTTTCTGTTGCTGCTGGTTACATTTTTGCTCTATTGTTTCAATTATTAAAAAAAAAAAAAAAATTAGAAAGCATTAAGGAGCAATCTAACCTTTGCCCTTTCTCAAATAAAGCAATGTTTAGGCTGTATTATTTTTGCACCTGAACAGTTTTTCTTAAGCTGTAGTAGTTCTGATGCTAAAAGTGTCAACACACTAGGCATGATTCGAGATAGATAGATATAATTTACTGTATATATCTATATCTCGAATCATGCCTAGTGTGTCCTGTAACTCCTCAGCGGTTTGGTTGTTAACTTATCGGTCTATTGCACTCCACTTCCCACAATTTAATTCAAATCGTATTTTTATTGAAAGATATGCATGGACAATTATGCCCACTGTAGCTATATGTGCTGTACCAAGCACTGAGTAAATTATAGTTTATGAGAGTGTTATGCAAAGCAGTGGGGGAGATTTATCAGTGTTCAGAAACGTAAAAGTTCAATAATGTCGTTTTTATTGTAATTTTTTTTTTTTTAAGTGTTCTAAAATGGACTGTTTTCCTCTAGAAATGTTCATGACTGCCAAATTTAGAGTGGTGGAAGGGAGAAGTTAAACAAAACACTTGTGTTTGGAAAAAGTGGCAGAAAGATTGATAAATCTGTTGCATCTTTGTTTTGACTGTGTTGGAATTTCAGTGAAATACTAACACAGTCTATGTGAAGATTTTCTTCTTCTTAACTTTTTTTTTATATAGTGGGGGATGGGGTTTGACAAAGCCACTTCTTTCTCTATTCTTTCTTCTAAGTCGTGGTGTAGTGAATAAGTACAAAAGAGAGAAACCATACAAGTATAGAACCATACACAGCATCAACAAAAAAAGAAAATGCTTTATTAAAGTAGCTCTCTCTATGTTTCTATTTACTTTTTTCCCCTACTAAGCCCCCCAATACTTTCCATTTAGCTAAGGACCAGTTTTGCTAAAAGGATACTAGTCACCAGAACAACTACAGGTTAATGTAGTTGTTCTGGTGTGTATTGTATGTCCCAACAGGCATTTTAAAGTAAACACTGCCTTTTCACTGTTTACATTGCTGCCTAGGAACATCTCTAGTGGCAGTCACTCAGACATCCTTCCCGGGGCAGGGCTGCACATCGTGTAGCACTGACATTCAGCACCTCCACGCTCTGCATGGAGATTCTGAACGTTCCCTATAGATATGCATTGATTTAATGCATCTCTATGAGATGCTGATTGTCGCAGAGCAGCGTTTTGCCATGTATGCGCAATATACTCCAAATGCTTTCCTATGGGAAAGAATTGGATTGGCTGAGATCGTCAGTTTTGAATGATCTCAGCCAAGGGGGCTGAGCCAGCAATGTCAATCCCGAGTGTCGCTGGCATAAAGGTATGTTTTTTTTTTTTTTTTTTTATCTTTGTCAATTTTTATTGAGGTTTTATAGGGGTACAGAAGAGAATAGGGATGGGGGAGCAGTGGTAACGTGAAGTATCTCATACACATTGACCTGAAGACAGTGTACACATTTATCATACACGGCTTGCTTTCATACAATCATTGTGTTACATCGTGTTGCCCTGATTGGGTCTGCCGATTAGTGTCTACCCCATGCCATGAGAGGGGGGCTCACATTGGTCCCTTCCGGGGTAGCAGTCGTCTGGGTTTGTGTTTGGTGCTGGGTGTAGAGCCTTGGTGTTCCATATACCACTGGGGTGGGGGGTGAACCGTGGAAGAGGATCAGAGTAGGGGACGGAAGGAAGGGGGGAGGAGAATGGAGGGGGGAAGAGGGTAGGGCTCTCCTAGGTAGTCGGCAGTGTGTGGTCGTTTCTGCAGGACTATCTGTCCTACGTGCGTTTTATTTGAGTTGCGGCATTATCGTTGTGTTTGCAGTCTCCAGAATTATTTACATTTACATGTACATTTACATTTAAGTTTTTACCCTTTGTTACAGTTTCGTTGTTGAAGGGGCACAGCTGTCGGTTTGTAGATCCCTGCCACCGTCATCTCAATTGGGGGGTTATATTATTATTACGCTCCATGTACAGTTGCCAGGTTTCCCAGGCTTGTGACCAAACTTTTTTGGAGTGGTTTGAGCGTCTAGCTGCCAGCTCGTAGAGCTTAGTTGTTTCTATCGTTTGTATGCATTCTGATATTTTGGGTGGGATAGTAGATTTCCAATGTCTGCTAATGACTGTGAGCGCAGCTATAAGTATGTGATAGATTAAGTATTTTTGCCTGCTCCGCAGCCCCTTTGGGAAGAGGTGGAGGAGGTATATTTCTGGTTTGCGGGGTAGTAGCGTTTTTGTGCTGTCTTGGATAATGGTGGTTATGGTATTCCAGTAGGGTGTTAAGGAGGGGCATTCCCACCAAATGTGGAGCATTGTGCCCTTGTGTTGTTGGCATCTCCAACAAATATCGGAGGCCTGTGGATAGGTGGCCTTTAGGCGTGTGGGTACTAGGTACCACCGGTATAAAATTTTCCGGGATAGTTCCATGTGGGAGGCACATTTGGAGAGTGAATTGTGTGCCAGGAGAATCTCATTCCATTGTTTTTCACCAAGAGCATACGTGAATTCCCTCTCCCATGCGGCTATAAAGGAAAGGTTTTTGGGGGATGCATAGTCTGGTATAGTTCAGAGATGAGTTTTTTGGGGGTTGCGAGACGTGAGCATATTTTCTCTACCACCGTCAGCTGTGGCCCCTGTATATTGTCATTTCCTGTTATAGTTTGCTTGCGGAGCCATGAGTGCAACTGCATGTAGGGGAAAGATGCCATCGGAGTCAGATTATAACATGCTGTTAAGTCTGCGAGACTTCTGAGCTTATGTTCCTGGAGCAGCTGGTGTAAGTGTGTTACTCCGTGCTGATGCCATATGGTGTAGTTAAAATTAGGTATTATATAGTGTAGTGTTTGTATGGGCATGGCAGGCGATATTTTGCCCAGCCAGCCCAATGTGCGGCAGTACTTGTCCCATATGGTCAGAGTGAGGGCTGTGGTTGGGAGAAATTTTGCCTTAGTAGGCCTGCTGTGCTGGGGAAGCCATGCCAGTACATTGATGGGTATGTTATTAGCATGCTGCGCCTCCAGTTCCATCCATTGGGTTGGGTGGTCTCGATGGCAAGCCGCTAGTAGGGGGCCCAGAATGGCTGCTCTGTAGTAGCTGTCTAAGTTGGGCACTCCCATTCCCCCATTTTTGCGTGGCATGTATAGCGTGCTTTTCGCTACCCATGCTTTTTGTCTGTCCCATATAAAAGTTAGTATTGTTTGTTGAGCATCTCGTATGAATGTGGGGGGTATCTTTATGGGTAATGTTCTAAACAAGTATTGCAATTTAGGTACAATGATCATTTTAATTGCGGCAATTCTCCCTGACCAAGATACGAATTTACTCTTCCATCCTAGTAGTAGGTTTTTTATTTCAGTCAGTGTTTTTTGATAATTTATTTTAAAAAGGTTTGCTAGGTTTGGGGTGAGATTGATTCCTAAGAATTTTAGATGGTCGTTTCGCCAGTCGTATTTAAAAGAGATACGCAGCCTATCCAAGACCTCCATCGGGATATTTATGCCCATTGCTTGGGTTTTATTTATATTAAGTTTGTAGTAGGAGCACTTGCTATATTGGGTGAGCGTATCGTGGAAGTTAGGTAGGGATATGTGTGGTTGCTCGAGTGTTAAGAGGATGTCGTCCGCGAAAAGTGTGATTTTATGTTCCTTGCCTTGTCTCATAATGCCGTGTATGTTTGGGTTGTCCCTAATGAGTTGCGTGAGAGGTTCTAGCGAGAGAATATAAAGGAGAGGCGATAGTGGGCAGCCCTGTCGTGACCCATTGGTTATGTGGAATTGTTTAGAACTAAAGCCCCCATTGGTGACTTTCGCTGTCGGTTTAGAGTATAATGCCCTTACTAACCGTAGGAAAGTGTCTGGGAAGCCATATTTGATCAGAACAGCTTGGAGGAAGGGCCAATGCAATCTGTTGAAGGCTTTTTCAGCGTCAAGTGACAGCATAACGCACTGGGCCCCCCCTCCGCTTCCTCCCTGTAGTAGGTCCAAGATCTTTCGGGTTCCGTCCGCTCCTTGCCTACCACTAACAAATCCCACCTGGTCCTCATGTATTAGGGTCGGGATAATGTTCGTTAATCTGTTAGAGAAAATTTTTGCCAGTAATTTGATGTCCGTATTAAGGAGGGAGATTGGTCGTAGATTTTGGCATTTGTTAGGTGGTTTGCCTGGTTTTGGCAATGTAGCCACATGTGCCATGAGCATGTCTTGGGGCACTTGGCCCGTCGTGAGGATATGGTTAAAGGTTTTGTCCAGATATGGGGTCAGGATTGTGGTCATTGTCTTGTAATAGGAGTTTGTGAGTCCATCGGGTCCCGGTGATTTGCCATGGGGGAGTGAGTGTATAGCTTGTTGTATTTCGTCTTGTGTGACTGGGTGTTGTAGGATAGTTTTCTGATGTTCCGTCAGTGTTGGCAGCGAGAACTGTCCAAGTAAATTTTGAATTTCCTGGGATGTGGGGTCTTCTTTGAGGTTGTATAATGAGTGGTAATAGTCTGCCATAGTATCATTAATATCTTGTGGGTTGTGGATTTTAGAGCCTTGGGATGTGAGCAGATAGGGGATTTTTGCGTTGGATTGTTTTTGACGTAGTAAAGTCGCTAGATTCCTGCCTGCTTTGTTTCCTTGTGAGTAGGTTTTTTGTTTCAGCTTATGTAAAATGTGTGCTGTTTTAGAAATTGCCATGTTGTTGATACTCGTTGTGGTGTCTTGGATTATCTGTGCTAGTTGTGGTGATGGGTCTGCTATGTTTGCCGCTGTTGCGTCTCTTAAAGTACGCAGCAGATGTAAGTGTTCTTGTTGTGCTTTCTTTTTTAAAAAGGAGGCTCTGCTGATGAGTCCTCTGATGACCGCTTTATGGGCTTGCCATACAGTGGTTGGATGGACATCCGGCGTATCGTTAGTTTGGAAATATGATGTCAGGGCTTCTGTTAATGTTGTAGTGAATGTCTGGTCACGTAGGAGGGAATCATTGAGCCGCCACGGTGGCCTTCCCCTATGTTGGTATTCCTCAGTCAGCCCTACTATGGTCGGGGCATGGTCTGACCATGTTATGTCCCCGATTTCGCTGTTTATTACTCTGGGAAGCAGTGTACCTGTTATGAAAATGAAGTCTATCCGTGAATATGATTTATGCACTGCTGAATAGAACGTGAACGTTTTCTCATTAGGATGGAAGGCTCTCCAAGGGTCGTATAGGCCATATTCCCCTAGCAGTGTATTGATTGCTTTACTTTGTGCTTTGAGTGCTTTGTGCCTCGGTGTCGTGGTGTTTAGTGTGGTGTCCATGTGTGGGTCAAGAGGGTGGTTTAGATCTCCACATAATATAAGTGGGGCAGTCTGGTTAGGTGGGAGTGCTGAGAGCACCTTACGTAGGAAGGCGCGTTGGTGTACGTTAGGAGCATAGAAGCCGACTATGATATATGGCAGGTTATTTAGGAGGCAATGTAGCATTACAAATCTTTCTTGTTTGTCCTTAATTAGGTTTAGGGCTTCAACTGTTAAGGAGGTATGGAGAAGGATTGAGGCCCCTCTCGATTTGGAGGAGTCAGTTGCGTGATATTGGTGAGGGTAATGTTGTGCGCCAAAGTTAGGCACCCTAGATGTAACAAAATGGGTCTCTTGTAGACAGATAATGTCCGCCTGAGTCTGTTTGGCTTCCTCCAGCATCATGCGCCTTTTATGTGGGGTGTTCAGTCCCCTGCAATTGTGTGAATATATTTTCATGTGGTGGGTGATAAAGGGTGTTCGTTTGCAGTTCTGCTATGCCTATATGGAGTTGCAGACGTGACAGGGTTCGTATGATGCACCGCTTAGACGGCGCTTGTGCGACTACGTTATTGCACCCGGGGGTGGGGGGTTCGGGAATGACAGAGGGAAGGGGTAAAAGAAACCAAAGTATATACAATTTGACCCAAACGTGGGTCTTGGCACAGTGGCATTGTGCCATGGGGGAGGAACGCTGAAACAGCGTCTCTAGTATTGTGGCCGTTGGGCTCCCTTGTGTACATAGTTGCTGTCTCTCCTCAGAGCTATAAGTCGATAGCGACCTAGATATTGTGCATGGCATTCTCAGTGCTGGCATGTGGGTATGGGTGAGAAAAACAAGCCGGACCCAAGGGAAGGTTTAGCGGGGCAGTGTGCAGGTCACCGCTTTGGTGCCTGTCGTGGGTATCCCACTTGTCGTGTCGGTCTTTATGGTGGGGTGTGTTTCTCCCATCGTAGCTGATGGGTGTGGTGATCCAGGCTACGTAGTGAGGCGGGGCGGTGCGGTTGTAGTGGGTTTGACCTACTCGTTAAAACGATAGTGGTTTATATGGTGTGGTTTACATAATCATTGCGCACTTTTGTACATTCTTGGAATACCATTCTTATGTATGCATAACCTCAACCTTGTACTTAACATTTAGATATTAGGATCACCTCTGACTACTGGTCTTTTCTATGCCTATACCATGCCGCCCTTCCTTGTTGCCCGAAGTTTGCCCTGGTTATCACCCATGGGGGCACCCCACCCGCCCACATCCAACAAACCATGCAGAGTGTGGTACAATTGTGTGGTAAATAAAATGCTAATCAAAGCAGTTGATCACATGAAAAAAAAAAAAAAAGGAAAAACTTAAACTAAACTTGTGATAACAAGCAGTACATATTAATATCTCACGTGTCCCTGGTTATGGCCTGGACAGCCTAGTCCCTCGGGTGGATCATGGCGATTTGTTCCGTGTTGAGGCCTGGCGCCATTCTGGTGTCAGACGTCTTGCTGGACTTGCTTGAGTTGTGGGGGGGGGGGGTTTGTAAGGAGCCCCCAGTCTCTCAACAGTCGGGTGCCTTCGTCCGGCGTGGAGGCCACGTTGATCTCGCCGTTTTTAGTAATTAGGAGTTTAGTGGGGTATCCCCAGCGGTACCTTATTCCCGCACGACGCAATTCTTCTGTCACCAGTTGGAAATCCCTCCTGCGCTTGAGAGTCGCCGCGGACAGGTCTGCTAGGATCTTGATCGTGGCATAGTTTTCATGTGGTTCTGAGCGGATTCTGCTGGCGCGCAGTACTGCCTCTTTTATGTGGTAGTAGTGTGCCCTTAGTAGGACGTCACGAGGGATAGTGCCAGGCAGATTGCGTGGTTTGGGCACCCTGTGTACCCGGTCTATTAGGAACATATCCGTGGGGATGTCCGGAGCGTACGCCCTCAGAAGGCCTTGCACATAGGCTGGTAGATCATTAGGCATAACGCTCTCCGGGACTCCTCATAGCCGGAGGTTGTTTCTCCGCGAGCGGTCCTCAGCGTCAGCCATACGCGCCTCCATTGTTTCGATTTTTTTGTTCCAGCCGCGCTACATGGTCGGCCATGTCGTTGTGCGCTGTTGCATACTCGCTCATCTTATTTTCCACGTGAGTGGTTCGTTGGCCTATGTCCTGGACTTCCTTGCGGAGTTGTCCTATGGAGGATTGCCATGTTTGTATAAGTTTGTTGGCCATGGCTTCCATCGCTGCATCCAGGTGTGCCTTAGTTAGTTTGTCCTGGCTACCTTGATATGCGCCCGTGAGTGGGATGTTTCCCGCCGTTTGTTCGTCGGCGCCATCTTGGATTGTGCCGCGGTCGGTTTCAGAGCCGCTCGCGGCTTTGTGGTTGAAGAAATTGAGTTTTTCCGCCTTCTGTGTGCTCTACTTCCCTTTGGGGATCGCCATCTCGTGTGTGTTGAGGGTTTTATAAGCCCTGGGAGACGATGTCGTCGGATTACTGGAGCCCGGGTGCCGGAGCAATTTCCTAGGCTGCCAGGTTGCTCGGCGGTCGGCCACGCCCCCATAAAGGTATGTTTTAACCATTTTTAACTGAGCGGGGTGGCACTATAGTGTTCCTTTAACGTTTTTAATTATCTGCTGGTTTTGCCTAGGAGATATATGCTGCCATCTTTGAATTTCTCCCTTGGTACTTGCCTGCACTCTCCTCCTCTGACTTTCATCACTGATCACTGTCCTCCTCTTTTCTGTTTTTTTGTTTTTTTTTGTTTTTGTTTTTGTGTGTTTTGTTTTGTTCTTAACACTGCCTCTAATGTGCGGTGATGCAGGAATACATGTTTTACCACTAGAATGCAAACATCGGTGGGTACATACTGCCCTTCGTAGTGTAGTGGTCAGGTTCCGTCGACATCAATCTTTATTTGCTTTTAACCTACATAGACAGCCCTCGTTTTGGGCAGGGAGGAAATAGAGAAACAAAAAGGCAGTTGCAGGAAATGGCAATGCAAGAAATGGTAGAGATTATAAATGTCAGTTTTTGGGGGGTTTTCCCCTCTTTTTCTAACCACTAGAATGTTTTGTGGTGGTTATTGTGCTTGATGCTCCTGGATATTCAGTCAAACCATTGTTGAGCAAATGTGAGCCAATTGCACATGTAGCTGCAGGACTCTTAGCTTAAGAAATCTCTCCATGTTTTGTTATAGAAAAGTACTTCAGTTGTGGTCATGGTTTTTCTATCTGTGACACCTTGCAGTTTATTGAAATAGTTCTGTGATGTCTCTTCCACCCCCTCCCTCCCCCCCTATGTTTGCTTATATGGATTTAGTAGTCCATACTATTGCACCCACTAATACACACTACAAGAAGAGGCGCAGAGTACTTGTTCTTGACTTTTTTTTTTTTTCTCCTACTAAAAGTTGATGGCTGTAACAGTCTGTCACATTTTGACATTCCTCCTTCATTCTCATTTTAATATATGTCTGGATGAGAGATTATTTGTAAAGCATTTTATGAAGCCATCCCCAATGTGTAATAATATCTTTCATTGATCTGCTCTAGGAGGGCTCTTCGGGAAATCCCTGCTTCCAGCAGGAATGGGCCAAATTTGAACTGGTCATGGACTTCAAGAAAGAGTGTGGAACTGTTTTCTGGAATGGGGGTCAGTCCCATGGAAAAGGATCCACAAGACACAGAAAACACACCCCGGGACTTAATCATGAAAATGACACCCCCTCAGAAACGGGCAGCACCACGGGAGAAAGACGATACGTTTGTGCTTGCTAGACGTCCCAGGTTTTCCAGGCCAGTTAAGCCAGGTAAATTTATTTATACTGAATAAATTTATACTGAATAAATGCTCTGCTACTGAGTTAGTAAAGATTAGAGATATGTAATAATACATTTTAGAATTCAGGGGCATGTTGATATGTATTTTAGTGAGATCTGGAATTAACAGCAAGAGAGAGTTTTATTAATACCAAAACATATGTATGACACATTTTCTTACTTTATATCCCCATAGCCATGTCATGGCATGCAATTCCAGATGAGCTGCTACTGAATATTTTTTCGTACTTACATCTGACTGACCTTCTCAGGGCAGCTAATGTTTGCAAGAGATGGAATCGGCTTTCGTAAGTATTTTATCTATTACTACATTGTAACAGGGATTATGTATTGTAGATATTTAGAAGAAACATAGCTGCTTTTTTATTATTTAACATATTAAATCACTCCTATAGCAGCCCTGTCAATGATAACCGTAGGTCTCCTTCTTCTACCCTTGGGAATAGACATCCTGTTAAATTAAGCAATGTAAAGCTCAAATATAACTAAAAATAAATAAAATCTAAAAAAAAATATCAAGTAACCACAGTGGCCTCTCTATACATCTGTTTCAGCTTCCTGTAAGACTGTTTTTTGTGCCAGCCAATCTTACTTTTCTTTAGCTATGATCTAGGAGTTCAAATACATTCCTCCTACTATTAACTCAGGAAATAGCTCCATAATTGTTTAGGAACGTATTGATGAACTTAAAGGGCTAGCCTGATGCACTCCGTCCATAGGTCAACCTTTTGTATTAAAGGGTTACTTAAAACATCATAACCACTACAGTCCACTGTAGTGGTTTTGGTGCTAGGAGCGTCCAAGCGCTGTTTCCTACTAGAATGGCAAACTATTTATTTATCAACATTTCTGGTCCCCCTTCTAATAGATGGTGATGTGCTCAACCCCAAAGGGAATCTGGTCTTGATTTCAGATTTACAAAGTAAAAGCAAAATGGAATTGGGGCACCCCCGGAACATGCTTCTTGCAGGGATAGTGCTGCCGTAGTGACCAAAATATATCCTGCCTTTTTTCTGCCTCATAAGATAATTTTGTTAAAGGGGCACTGTACATTTCGTACCCAGTATTGCTCATTGTAGTAAATCGACCGCTATGAATAGCTTGCATGTATTTCTATTGCCCAAAACAATACTGAGTTCCAACCCGAATGAAAGCAGAGTGCATGTCTGTAATTCTATGTTTATTGTAAAGAACGCGTACTCGTATTGATGCCTTTGTCTAGATCTTCTGTTATACCTTTTTATTTCCAAGAGAGAATGTGCTTCACCTCGATTGTGAAGGTATCCATGTAGTGAAACTGTTGTTTGTCTCTGGTCTCTCCTTTCAGGTGTGACGAGTCACTCTGGTACAGCCTTGACTTATGTGGCAAACATTTGGCAGATGGTGTACTTGGAAGATTGCTGTCCTGTGGTGTGGTTGTATTACGCTGTCCAAGAACTGCTATTGGAGAACCAATGCTAACAGATGTTGGGTTAGAAAGTTTTTGTATAAATTATTCCACACTTGTAGAGTAGTTCTTCTTCTTTGCAGTGCACCCTTAGTGTTTTATAACAGCCCATTTGTACTGCGTTACTTTAGAACTGCCCTGTTTTTATATATTGATATATCATCCTATCTATACAGTTTATTATTTTTTTTTTTTTTTTTACTTTTGATGGCTTGCTCACTACACTGCAAATTGTAGTGAACTGAAAATCAGATAGCCAGGTTTTGGCTGTAGCGAAATTGGAGCTTTATTTCCCAATCAATCGAATTTTACAATTTGGGTTCCAATTCACTGGTTTATTGATTAATACCTCCATTTAATATTGTTGAATAAGCTTTTCCAAATTATTTTAATATTTTTTGGTAAACGTTTAAATAATGTTTTTCAACATATTAATATCAAAAAATGTTTCCTATTATAAAGTTCAAATATTTTTCTTAATGCGTGACTACTTTCTTGCCGTTGATATTATATTTTCACATCTTTTGTCTATTCCATTCACAATAAAAAAAAAAATGCCTTTGAAAAATATTTTTCATAATATTAAATAATTTTAAAAGTTTATCAAAAAATATTAAATCATTTGGAAAGCTTATGCAACAATATTAATCTGAGTCCCAAGATAACTTCAAGCTTATGTAGATGTTTTAGGGGATAAAAGCCGTTCAGCAATGGGGAAAATAAAATATCTTTGGCAATGTAAAAAGCTCTTCTGAAACGCAAGCATCTATAAGGATTTTTAGCTTCATAATCAAGATGATTTATTTAAGTATCTGCTGTGATATTGGTTTGTATGACAATATCCATGTCCATCTATAGTTTTGTTTGGTCAGGTGTTGTTAGATTACTGGTAGTGGTTGCTAGAGTGGTGTAGTTAGACATCTTTTAATTAAGCAATATTTCGAGAAGTTTTTTTTTTGTTTTTTGTTTTTTTACATTTCTGCTTGTGGTGTCCTTTCCAGATCTCTGCGACTGCAACATGTAGACTTTTCAAATTGTACAGTAAGTACAGACGCTCTGCAAAACATTTTTGCTTCCTGCTCCAGACTGCAGAACTTGGCATTGGAAGGACTGGAGCTTTCTGATGGCATAATGAGGTAAGAAACAACAAGCTACTTCTGCAAGTACATTGGCTTGGCTGTGCATAGCACAACACGCTTGGAAATTGGACCAGATATAGAAAAGTTTGGCCAAATCTTACTTAGTCTTGTAATGCAGATGGTAGACTCATTCTTTAGAATACTTGTGTATTCCAGCACTATTCATTTTCTATTCATATTACAATTCACTTACAATGCTCATTCAAGCTATTCTTACAGAATATGTATATATTTGTTAGCATTCTGTCACGTTATTAATTTTTTTTTTTTTTTTATACCTTGCACATTTTACATTTTCGTTTTAGACGTTTTACATTTCTGGACTTTTAGGCATATTAGACATTTCTAGACTTTCTTGACAAATTACTGTTAGAGCTTTATATATGTTCTATATCCGGACTGCTTTTAATCCTTGTTTGCTACATCAGTCTAGATCCATGAAATCAGTTTTGGTATTTTTATTCCAGCTCCATTGCTCAGAATTCAGATCTCATTCGATTAAATCTTGGCGGATGCTCTGGGTTCTCTCCAGAGGCACTCACTGCAGTGTTAAAGAACTGTACCAAGTAAGACCTGTTGTATGTCCTTTTAATTGATCTAATGCCTTGTTTTTCATTATTATAAGGGAAATAAAAATAATGTGGGGTTTTCTTCCTGTCATGTAAGTTTCAACCCACTACTGGCAAAAGGATTTTCTCCCCCCCCCACCCCCGTAGTGAAAAGCTTTTACCTAAATGTAACCATCACACACACAGAATAAAGAAACTAGAGAAATGTGATTAAAACAGCAACATTTATTAGAATTAAAATTAGAAGTGGTTAATGACACCAATACTATTTTAAAGGACCACTCTAGGCACCCAGACCACTTCAGCTTAATTAAGTGGTCTGGGTGCCAGGTCCAGCTAGGGTTAACCCATTTTTTTTTTATAATCCTAGCAGTTTCAGAGAAACTGCTGTGTTTGTAAATGGGTTAATCATTCCTCCAATTTCTCTAGTGGCTGTCTCACTGACAGCCGCTAGAGGCGCTTGCATGATTCTCACTGTGAAAATCACAGTGAGAGCACGCAAGCGTCCATAGGAAAGCATTGTAAATGCTTTCCTATGAGACCGGCTGAATGCGCACGGGAGAAGAGGAGGAGGATCGGAGGACGAGAGCTCCCCGCCTGGCGCTGGAGAAAGGTAAGTTTTAACACCTTTCCCTCCCCAGAGCCGGGCGGGTGGGGGCACCCTCAGGGCACTATAGTGCCAGGAAAACAAGTATGTTTTCCTGGCACTACAGTGGTCCTTTAATGCATTTGATAGGTTTTGGCTTCATTAATATGCTGTATTTAAAAAAAAAAAAAAAATTGCATGCTCAAATCTATATAGTTTTTGCATAAAATAAATAAATGTTTTGCACCATAAGCCAGCCTCTTTAGCCACATCCTCACTCCAGAAAAATAATTCCTTATCAAAGGTATGCACACAGCTCAGCCACTGACTGTATTGAATGATCGGAATAAAGCAACCTGCATTAAAACGAGAGGACACCCAGGAAGTTGTACAGTAAGGATATGACTACATGTTTGTAATTTTATTGTCTGCAGCCAAGTTGTAAATTAAAATCTGCTCACTCAGTGCTGTTGGAACTTAGATTGTGTGTACCTTTTGATAATGACGTTTTTGCGGCTTGGCTAATGAGGCAGGCATATGGTGCATCATTCTGAAAAACTTTTTTTTTTTTTTTTTTTTGCAAAAACTAAAAATATTTGAGCATGAAAATATACGGCTGAAGAAAAAAATATATAAAATGAATTCAAATTTATATTTGTGCTTAGAGTGTCCTTTTAACATTTGAGTAGTAAAAAAAAATCCTGCAATTATTTAATTTTTTTCACTTTTTATATTTCTGTTCCCATTTTCTTGGATTTTGTTTTTACATTTTTATTTTATTTTAGTTTCTCTTGCTTAGACAATGACCAGATTTAAGTAGCCCTAACACATTGAATTTTGCCTGTTTAAAGTGAATTAGTCCAATTGCACTTAATGCTTTGTATTTTAAAATGATATATAATATAGTGTACTCTCTTGGTAAACACTGCTTTCCTTCATTTGTGATGCTATATTACTGATGTTTTAAATTAATAAGTGCCACAACTACATTGTGAATCCCTGCAATTGTGTGTCCTTGCCATATTACTTGAGTCTTACACATTGAGCAGGAAGTCCAAATTGTGATTTTTATATTTTACTAATCCGGTGACATGTTCTTATTCTAGGTTGAGCGAATTCAATCTGTCATGGTGTGATTTCACAGCAGAACATGTTCAAACTGCAGCAAGCAATTTTCCTAGTTCAATTACTGAATTAAATTTCAGTGGTTACCGGCAGAACCTAGAGCAATCAGGTGTGTAATACAAGAATGGTGATCTAGTTGAGTTGCAGCTGGATTAGAGAAATAAGCAAGCACATCACACAGATATTTATATTGGCTTGTACTAACCAGTCACTAAAATCAATCAATGTTATGCCAATGTCCAGTCCTGTAGCCATTTCTGATTATGGTTACTTATCAGTGTTGGCCTGTGCTTCTTTCTTCTTGTCAAACAATGGTAATTGGGTGCTTTGGACCCAAACAAGACCTAAGTTTGTTTTAGGGTCTAGTGATCTAGAGGCACCATCTAAAATGACAACTTACAATTGAGGGTTCTAGGTCTTCATATAAAGTATAAATGCTAAAACATTCATATATGTGAATGTCTGCATCGATAAATTGGTTGTGTTTAGATATTCTCAGTCTATTTAATTATCAAATTTTACTGCCTTGCTGTAAGCATATTTTAATGAGTGACTTCTCTAATACATTACTACAAGCCCTGACTTTGTGGCATCTCCTCAAAGCTCTTATTGGAACACCGCAGTGTTCTAAATAAATATGTTTTGTTAGTCTTCGTGAATGGGCCACTTTGTGTTAAATAATTTAAAGGGACACTTTAGTCACCTAAACAACTTTAACTCATGTACTCTAGCACAAGTTATTTATGCTGGAGGAGTTGTTGAGAGGAAGGTTCCTATGGCCATATGTGGTGGCACTGCAAAGTAATGCACTGATTGTGGGAATATGTCTTTAAACTGATTAAGCATTAATGGGGCTGTCCTCCCATTAACAATAGAGATTGTCAGTCTGACTGTTAATTTCCACTAGCCATTGGTGAACGAAGATTCAGCCCTGGCAAGTAGAAATTCATTCATGGTTAGTGTACTCTGGACCCTCCAGACTTGCAGAGGCAAGTATCATTTAGGCCTAGCAGCATAAGACTTTGAGTTCTGAGTTACAGTATTTTAAGAGTATATAGTGTACTATAATACAAGTCTTATAATTTTGTATTTGTGTTTCTATTACAGAATTGGAAGGTTTAGCAGCAAGGTGCCCCAACCTTACAAGCCTAGATTTAAGGTAATAATCAAATCTACTAAAACTGGGTTTAGGTGGTGGTTTTTTTTTTTTGTTTGTTTGTTTTTTTAATATAGGATACATACATAGGTAGGGCAGTTTGTGGTTTTAGGGACTAACAATTTAAATTAATCTTAATTGGTGTTATAGTGGGATTTTTGACCGATTCCCACCCGATATCCCCTGAATAGTGACTCCTCTTACTTGACTAAGTTCCAGGAAGTACACCCAATTCACTGAAATTTTCCAAAGATTAATTAACGAAGGAGAGTCCAGATTGAAAGGCGCAGAATTGTTTGTAATTCCAAATAGTCATTCAAATTGTAATAACGGCTAAATTTACACATAATTCTGCTGCCGGTTGTTATAGCATTTCTGCTGAAAAGTATAGAAAATGTCTAAACTGACTAAATTAAAATTCATGATAAATTTTTATCTCGTTTTACTGGAAAGTCTTAATTATTCCAAATTAAGATATTTAGAAGTGGACTAATGCATCTAACCCTTTTCTTTACACAGCGACAGTGTTTTACTGACTCCAGATTGCTTCGATGTGCTCAAGCAACTTCCACACCTCCAGCACCTTGGTCTTAGTCGCTGCTATCAAATATGTCCTGCAACACTGCTGTAAGAATACACTTTATTTTAAATAGTAGCTTAACATCTGTGCTTATACGTAGCACACCGGACTACTAGTTTTGCAAAATCTACAACATATGGCATAGGTTTTCAGAATGCAATGCATAATAAACTGCATGGTTTTGGTTGTAAATACAAAATGATTTTTGTATGCCAGATTCTCAATTTTAATCTGTAATCATACTGGTTAGGTATGTAACTTGTCCAAATGTGGTGCATTTCTCAGCAGTGGAGCTGCCGCAGAGACCAAAATGTATACAAAATACAAATTGAGGAACAGCAAACACACAAAAATGTTTACATTTTACAAGCCTAATCAGCAAAAAACAAAATGGGTTCCATATGGTTATATCGTGTTAAGCCAACCACCGTACCCCAATATCAGTGGGCTCTAAACCAATTCTAACTTAGGAGACAAATCGTGCTAAATGAGCTAAAGTGTATTTAATTGGTTGTAAGAGCATTATGATATATAATTTATCTCCCATGTTATATAATTTATCTCCCACATTGGAATTAGCGTACCATATATACTCGTGTATAAATTGAGAAATTTTAGTCCTAATCTTCATTTTAAAATGCAGAGTCGACTTGTCCACGGGTCCGCGCTAGTTTCGATATGCGTGGCAATGTTGCCTCCCGAACGCCGTTCTCCTAGCTGGTTGGGAAGTCGAATGGGCTGGGTTACAGGTTTCAGCGGGGTACGCAGGCTTTTGTAGCCGACTCAGAGACCTATGCCGTCGACGAACATGTGGGTTTGTATATACGAATGGCAGCCACCCAGGGAATGCTTGTTTGCGGTCAGTGATTACGAGGTGTTAACAAGGGGGGACCACACAGTGTCTGTTCGGCAACCGAACAGAAGAGGAACAATTCCATTTGAAAATCATACCCTTGACTTATCCACGAGTCATAGCATATTTCACAGATGTTGGTCAAAAAACTGCACTCGATTTATACACTAGATCGACTTATAGACGAGTATACACGGTACCTATATATAAACTTACTGCTCCAATAATTTTTCATGTTTCTTCTTGCAGCGAGTTTGGAAAAATCAGCTCTCTGAAGACACTTGAAGTGTTCGGCATAGTGACAGACAGTTCGTTGCAGCTACTAAAAGAATCCCTTCCTCACATAAAGATAAACTGCTCCTTCTTCAGCACTATTGCCAGGCCCACCATGGGAACAAGCAAGAGGAACCGAGAGATATGGGGAATTAAATGTAAACTAACGCTTCTTCAAACAGATGCTTTGTGGCCAGGAGATTTCCTATATCCAACAGATACATGAAGTTGACTGTGAAGCTATGATCCTTTGACGAGACTCATTTGGCTTTTGGTTTTATACTTGAAACTGCAAAGATTTTGTAACAATGGACTTTTTATTATTTTTATTTTTTTTAAATGGATAACAAAAATATTTACATTTTTGCACAAGCCCATCTGTGCAGTACAAAATATGGAAGCGATGTGATAAAACTAATTTACAAGTTAGGCACTGCCTGAGGTGTTTTAAGGAATCAAAATACACTAGCTATTAGTGAATACATCTCCCAAGGCTATGCCTAGCATACAAGCATGGGGTATGTAGTTTATAGGTTGCCATGGAACTTCTGATTATCTACCGCTGAGAAATGATGATGATTAGAAGGCTATTGACTGGTCTAACATCTGGAATGCATTCATGTACTAGTAAAAATGTTTTACTTGTACAACTTAGTAGACTTTTTTTTTTTTTTTTTTCTTCAAATGCATCCTTGAAATTCTATTAAGAATGCGGTCTGCCATTGATTTGACATGGAAACATGCTAATCCACTTGTAGGTCACATCACTGTCTGGGAATACAGCATTCTATATCTCCATATCATTGGAGCCAGAAATGTGTGTCTAGAACATAGCCAGATTCAGTGATTTATAAGTTATTCACTAAACTGAAAAAATAAACAATCTCATGCTGGAAATTACATATAATAATTGTAAAGAGTTTTCCCAATTTGGCCAATTTCCCAGTCAATTCCTGACATTACTGTAAAAAAGAAAGTAAGGGCTGAACTCAATGGTGCTAACTGAGCTTGGGTCAGCACTTCCCATGTGCATGTAATATTAAGAAAAAATGCTCAGGCAGAGCTTAATGGAACACCAAAGTGCACAGCAACGTTTCGATCTCTACCAAGGTCTTTGTCAAGCCTTGACAAAGACCTGTGTACAGGTCGAAACGCTGCTGTGCACTTTGGTGGTCCATTAAGCTCTGCCTGAGCATTTTCATTTTTTTTAAATTCCTGACATAATGACCTCTTCATATCAATACAATTGCTGCCAAATGTTACTGGCACCTTGATGTCCACACATTAAACATCAAGTTTAAACCGTATCCATTTACTTTCAGGTTTACATTTCCATAAACTCCGGTGCACATTGCAAACTTTACAAAGAACTAAAGAATGCTGTAATTTTATTTATATATTTTATATATTGTGTCTGTATAAGAAGGAAGGTTATGAAATTGCACGTCAACACTGAGCAACCCAACATTTGTACTTGTTCCATGGGCTGAATCTAGGATTAACAAGTAAACAAACATCAGGGTTAATGTTTTCTTTTTAGTCTTGCAGTTTTTAGGATGGGTGATATTTAAGATATGATAGTTTCTTCTTACAAAACACATGAACCTAAGTTGTTTATAGCTAAAGGTCCACAGAATTAACTGTTGTCATTACAGCTGTTGGCTAATCATGTAAATGTAGCCCACAATAGGTGTCATGCCAGCTGTTTTAAGCTGCAAACTGAATTTGAAAGACATAGACAAATATGCTTAGGTTAACTGTTTTGGAAATTTATGTTCCTGCTCTATTTTATTTTTCTTTTCTTCTAATGCACTCGCATTTTTGAGGAGTATGTGTATTTAAAATTGAAGAAAACGTAGATCTAAAGTTGGCAGGTGCAAGTGTATTTTGTATCAAGTTTGTCTTCTCCTCTTCTACAACTCCTAATGCATTTGAAGTTGTGGGGTAACATGCTTTTATACACAGAGCCGTACTACTGTCATGCACAGACATGGAAATAAGTGTCTACATACAAGATTCACCATGACATAGCCACGTGGTGAGCTGGTTGGAAGGATATTGTGGCATTTAACTTATTTGGGATGCATGTACCTTAAACTGCTTTAAACATGAACTGCTGTTTGCTGTGCGTAAACATCTTTTAAATAGTCCAGTTTTGTCTACTAGTGGCATTTCTCAACAGGTATGCCACTATACCAGAATTTAACTGGATTATTGACATTTTTTACAACCAAAAGACTATGCTGGCATGCAAATATACCCATGTTGCACGGTCTATTTTAATTAATTACTGACTACATTTTCACTGGCTGTGTTGCAGTGACATGTAGTGTTAAGCATGGCAATTTCTCCTTGAACGTTAAAACTATTCCTTAAGTCAACATTCACGAGTACAGGGTTAGATGTCTTATATTCACACAAATCCTAAACTTAAATATTTTTATTTTTAAATCTGAGTTCACGTTAAACAAGTATATTTCACTTCTTTTGATCTTAACACATGATACAATTATTTAGTTGCTAAACGAAGAATGTTTGTTGTTGGCTTCTGTACTTTTCTGTACCATGTAAAACAAAAACATTTCTTAGTTTTGTATACACTCTTTATGTCACAATTTTACAGAAGCCTCCTTAAAGGAGCCTGAACTACACGTCTTGGGGTGTTGGAAAACCATGTGAGCAAAGTAATCCTCGTTATGAATGTAAAATATCAATCCTGTACTTTAGTGTATACTTCAAATAATGAAAGCATGACCGAAAACACTTGCTAATTTTCTAAAGTTGTAAATATATATATAATTGTAATAAACTCTTGGGAGTTGACTGAAATCTAATAGCAGGCAAGTTGTGACTACTAGAGTTGGAGAATATTACAAATTTGCGATTTTGATTTCAGTTCAGTAAATTGTAGTTTAGTGGAAACCACAGTGTTTTTGAAACAATTTCACATTGAGCCACATTCTTGGCAATCCACATATTGCAGTTTATTCCAAGTGTTTTCTCAAGATCTATTCTTGAAGCAGCTCCTTATGCAGTTAGAATTGAATTTGCCAGGGGTTAAAAAATTGCAAAGAGAATTGGTGAAAACTGCAATTGCAAACTTCAGGTTAAAAAAAAAATTACTACCCCTTTCCATCTCGACTATTCTGACCTAACATTTGTCAATCTTTTGTATTTTCAGTTTGATACATAATCCCTAGTAAAAGTCTTATCATGGGTTGTTTACCTGGTTATTTGTGCTCCAAGTAAATGTATGCTCTAAAAGATTTTGGGGGGAACTGAGTTGGAACAAAGCATTTTTGTATTGTGATCTTTCATTAAAAAAAAAAAAAAAAAAAGACTTTTGTGTGTGTGTTCGGTAGTGTTTTTAACTGCACTTTAACCCATTAACACTATTCACATAACCAGGGCTCAGAATTTCCATTATCGACTAACCAGCTGAACGCTTCCATGGGACAGTGTGGAGATGCTTGGGGACGGTGGTGGACGTGGTGGCGTTGCTGCCACATCCTCTGTTTGCAGGGTGGCAGGTGCCACTCTGACTCCAGAGGTAGAGGAAGAGGCTGAGACAGCAGCAGAAGAGGAAGCAGGAGGAGCCTGAGACCTTTCTTGGTTTTTGAGGTGCTTACTCCACTGCAGCTCGTGCTTTGCATGTAGATGCCTGGTCATGCAGGTTGTGCTTAGGTTTAGCACGTTTATGCCTCGCTTCAGGCTCTGATTGCACAGCGTGCAAACCACTCGTGTCTTGTCATCAGCACATTGTCTGAAGAACTTCCACGCCAGGGAACTCCTTGAAGCTGGCTTTGGTGTGCTCGGTCCCTGGGTGCGGTGGGCAGTGGCAGGCGTACCGTCTTGGGGACGGCTACTCTGCTTTTGCATCCTGCTCCCTCTTATGCTGTGCTGGTTCCTCTGCGACCACCACCGCCTCTTCCTCCAAACTGGACACGTCACTTGCATGACTTTCATTCCATATGGGGTCTAGGTCCACATCATTTTCCACCCACTCCTCAACCCTGTCCTCCTAGCTTGGAGGAAAGACGAGACAGGGGGGATATGATAGAAACATTTAAATATATAAAGGGAATCAACACAGTAAAGGAGGAGACTATATGACTATATTTAAAAGAAGAAAAACTACCACAACAAGAGGACATAGTCTTAAATTAGAGGGACAAAGGTTTAAAAATAATATCAGGAAGTATTACTTTACTGAGAGGGTAGTGGATACATGGAATAGCCTTCCAGCTGAAGTGGTAGAGGTTAACACAGTAAAGGAGTTTAAGCATGCGTGGGATAGGCATAAGGCTATCCTAACTATAAGATAAGGCCAGGGACTAATGAAAGTATTTAGAAAATTGGGCAGACTAGATGGGCCGAATGGTTCTTATCTGCCGTCACATTCTATGTTTCTATGTCTGCACACTGCCGAAAACCACAGCAGTTGGCACCTGTGTTTCGTCATTATCAGAGACGTGCTGCTGTGGTCCTTGCATATCCACATCCTGACACATAAGTGGTTGTGCATCAGTGCACTCAATATCTTGCACTTCTGGGACAGGGCTAGGTGGATGGCCCACAGAAACCCCATCAGCAGAGTCATCAAAAAGCATAAGAGACTGCTGCATGACTTGTGGCTCAGACTGCTTGGGTGATTTGTAAGGGGGTGAGGTGAAAGACAGATGGCCATGGGCTATAGGTGTCAACTCTGAGCTTTCAGCAGGGGACCGGGTGGGAGACAATGTGCAGGAACTGGAGGCACTGTCAACCATCCAATCGACTATTGCCTGTACTTGTTCTGGCCTCACCATTTGTAGAGCGGCATTCGGGCCTACCACATAATGCTGAAGGTTCTGTCCTGTACTTGCACATGAGGAAGGTGTTTCACTTGCGTGTGTAGCTGGCACAGATTGACCACGACCTCTCCTTGCAACAGGAGCTCCACCAGCACCACGTCCCTTATTTGACGCTCTCCTCATTCTTTGCGTTCACCCACCATACTAACAGATGTTTTATGTCAGACGACAATGTAACTGCCAATAGTCAACAATTTTTTTTTTTTTTTCATTTTTTTTTTAGTTCTTTGGACTGCAAGAAATGCACCGCAGGCTGCAAATGTACTATTTAGCACCAAAACAATTAGAATTTTTGAAAGTGCGATGTAACCACAGTATTTGACGCTTCTATTTGACTCTCAGATATTAAGTGCAGGCCCAAATCTATTATTTAGCAGATTAGCACCCAGAAAATAAGAATGTTTACAATTGCGCTGTAACCGCTGTAATTGACTCTCAGATAGGAAGAGCACACCCCAAATTTATTATTTAGCATCAAAACAATTAGAATTTTTACAACTGCTTTAACCGCAGTATTTGACTCTCACAAAATGAAGAGCACGCCCCAAATTTACTATTTAGCAGATTAGCACCCAGAAAATAAGAATGTTTACAATTGCGCTGTAAGCGCAGTATTTGACGCTTCTATTTGACTCTCAGATATGAAGTGCACGCCCCAAATTTACTATTTAGCAGTATAGCATCAAAACAATTAGAATTTTTACAACTGCTTTAACCGCAGTATTTGACGCTTCTATTTGACTCTCATATATGAAGAGCACGCCCCAAATTTACTATTTAGCAGATTAGCACCCAGAAAATAAGAATGTTTACAATTGCGCTATAAGCGCAGGATTTGACGCTTCTATTTGACTCTCACAAAATAAAGAGCACGCCCCAAATTTACTATTTAGCAGATTAGCACCCAGAAAATAAGAATGTTTATAATTGCGCTGTAATCGCACTATTTGACGCTTCTATTTGACTCTCAGATATGAAGTGCACGCCCCAAAATGTACTATTTAGCCGATTAGCACCCAGAAAATAAGAATGTTTACCACTGCCCTGTAAGCGCACTATTAGACGCTTCTATTTGACTCTCAGATATGAAGTGCACCCCACTAAAATACTATTTAGCAGTTTAGGACCCAAAAATGTTTTAAAACTGCAATGTGACAGCAGTATTTGACGCTTCTATTTGACTCTCAGATATGAAGTGCACACCCCAAATGTACTATTTAGCACCAAAATAGTTTAGCACCCTGAAAGCGGCAGCATCCTCTCCCTATACTAATAAGAGCTCATGTGACATGCGGCGCTATGTGACTCCAGCTTATATATAGAGGCTGGATCACATGCTGCACTGGCCAATCACAGCCATGCCAGTAGTAGGCATGGCTGTGATGGCTTCTAAGGGCACACGAGTCAAACCCTTGTTGATTGGCTGCCCTGCAGCATTTATTGTCCTAGACTTGTCAAGTTTGTGTTCTCTGGCTGTCTGACGTTTGATAGGCATCACAGCAGTGACAGTCTGAGTCTGAAAATTACAGTTACTGCTGTGCAGCCAACATACAAAATCTATTGTATGTTGCGGAGCTGAACTGTATTGTGGGTTATTTGGAAAATAATTTCCGCTGCCAGAATTAACCCTGCAGGAATGATGCCAAGAGCACAGTGCACCTTACGTACAACTTTCTCATGACAGGAGGCTTCCTATTTTGCTTTTATATTCACTTTTTTTTTTTTACTTATTCCATAGCAGCAAAGAACATAGAAACAAAGAACCAATCAGAAATAAGCATAGTATATAACATGTACTTTTCAATGAGGTACTTACACTTTCTTTGCTGCTCCATCACAAGTCAGGTCAGAGTGTTGTTCTAAACCTGGTCACTGGCTTTTCTTGGCTGTTCATTACTTTTGTGTTTCTACCCCTGGGGTGGCAATTTTGCTTTTCTGTTCCCTCTTACAGCTGAGAGTTGTGTGGAGTCTAATCCTGTGCCAGACAGTTTACTGTGCTAATTGTTTTTGGGATAACCCTTGACACATGGTTGGTCTGTGGTGAGCCCCCATCTTTTTATGCTGCTGAGCAGCGCAGTTAATTTAGGCTCCTTGCATTCCGTGGGTGAAACCCAGCGTTAGTTTGCCTCACTCTTTGTGGGGAGATTATATATAAATACATTAAAAAAGCATTTGAACTCTCCCTAGTGGTCACTGAACCTAACTTGCTTATCCACCTAACCAATATTGCAGTGATCACTACCATACTATGAAGGATACACAAATTCCCACACACCTCAAAATCGCTGATCAATGCAGCTATCACCACTTTGGTGGAAAAAGCCTTGTCTAAAGCGTTAATGCTGGGCCATTAGTCGGCCAGACAACATGCCAAACACTCAGTGTCAGACATGTCAGAAGACAGATTCCTCTTCCAGAGAACAAACCCACCAGCCAAAAAGTCAAAGGCAGGGCCTAGCATTCAATGTCTCCATGCAAAGTGTGGTGATGCTGAAAGCCAGTGCAGCACTAGTGACTCACTCCAGCTGTTACTATGCGCAAATGTAAATACTGCCTTTTCTCCGATTATATTGTAAAGCCTGCAGAGACAGGCTATAACCACCAGAACCACTGGTAAAATTATAGGGTGAACAAAGCAGCAGAGGTGGCAAAACAAACAAAACTAACCTCTGCTGCAGTTCCATGTTGATGCCTCAGTCTTAGCATATGAGTGCTTGCTCTGGTAACTAAGCGAAGAAATCTATGCGCGCCCAGCATTTATTCCAGCAGTAATGTAATGTAAATTAAACTAAATGTGGGAGAAAAAAAACAAAAAAAAAACCAGCAAAACAAGTTACAAGAAGAGTGAGAAAGTGACAGTCAAGTCACCAGAGGATGTTTGCTATAAAATAACCATGAAACTTAAAAGGCATATTAAGTGCCAATACAGCTTCAGCTTAATGAAACAGTTTTGGTGTATAGATCATGTCCCTACAGTCTCACTACTCTCCCATTTAAGAGTTAAAAGGAACACTACAGTGTTATGAATACAAACCAATAACCTTAAAGGGACTCTCCAGGCAGAGTAGTTTACTCGAACAACAAACAAACAAACACCATAAACTCAGTGTTCTAATCGTGTGAATTACTTAGCTTCAATCAATATGCAGCCTCCCAGGATCGTTATCCACAACAAACGATCTTTACATATGCATAGAACCACAAACAGAATTGGGATACGGCTGTATAATCTATAGAAAGAACATATAAAGAAAAAACACAATAGTGTAATACAGTATATACAGTGAATAGTGCGCTTTTAAATAGATGCACTCACAAGATGATGGAAATAGAAGAGCGTTCACAAGGTGCCTCCCCTGATGGTACGGGGGGCTGGTAATTCCCCTTGTCAATGTAGAGCAACCAATGGAACACGGGACTCCAGGTGAGTAGTAGTAGAAAAACCAGTAATTTTATTTTCTTAAAAAGGTGAAAAACACCATAAGAATAAAAATTAAAAGTGCAGCGGTAGGTCCAACGCGTTTCGTTCAAACAAGAACTTCACCAGGGACCGCACAGTAAAAAAAAATCACAAACAATACCACAGATTGTAAAATAATACATCCTACTCTCCCCTTAACAAAATCTCTGGTCCACAATATGGGAGTTGTCCAGTAGCCAGCTCTTCATTGGTCCTGGGGTGATGTCCTCCAGCTGATGATATTTTCGGCACTTAGATGATTCAAATTGGGCGCGTTCAGTAAAAAAAAGCCGAAACCTTAAGTGGACATAATCCTTTACTTCCGCGTTCCATTTGCGTTCCACGTGCGTTCCGTTGCTCTCTCTAAGTCACATCAGGGAGACAGCATTGCAAGTGATCACAGAAACGGCTGAATAGCCAAATAGTAACAAATAAACTAAATACAATTAATCTCTAAATTAAAAAAAGAGAAAAATAAATTAGTGTATTAAATATACAATAACCTTGTCAAACTAGTTCCTCTAGAACTTAAGTTTATATTTTACAAATTGTGTATCAATATCCTACACCATTACATAATTCAAACATATCTGTTTAAAGTGACAGACACCTCCTTACTAAAGTAAAACCTAATCAGTTCTTCCTTATGAATGTTCTCTCAGTACACCAAATAGTTATTTTATAATATATAACTTAATTAGTACACATAACTGTATTATATGAATCAAATTATTATTATTTTTTTTTATATATTTTCCTCTTTTCTTCCCATCTATTTGCAATATTGATATTGTTTATATTTCTAGAAATACATGTGGAATAGTTACAAAACAGAAGAGGGAGATCCGAAAGTCAATCCAAGAAACACACTAAATCAATCCCAATATTCAGACCTCTAGGTTCCAGGGTCTTTAATTTGTGTATCCAAAAAGTTTCCCTTTGGGATAACTTTTTGACCCTATCACCCCCCTGCCAGTATGGAAGGACATGTTCAATACCCATACACTTAAATTATCTAAACGAAAAGAAAGGACAATTGCTACAATGAGCAGAGACCGAATGGGTAACCAGTCCCTTACGGATATTATTCCAATGTTCCAAGATTCTAACCTTCAGGGTGCGTTTAGTACGTCCTACATATTGTGTGCCACACGGACACTGCAGCCAATAAACTACATGGTCCGTGTGGCAACCAATCAATGATTTGATCTTAAAAGTTTCCCCTGTGATATGACTAATAAATTCCTTAGTTCTTCCCATAAGGGTAGTAGTACAAGCTTTGCAAGCACTACATCCCCTGAACCAACCCGAATCAGGGGGTCCGTTGGATCTATTTGTTTTAATAGCATAGCTGGGAGCTAGCATATTCTTTAAATTCTTATTCTTCTTAAAGATCACCATCGGACGTTCAGATAGGGACTTACCCAAAATTGGGTCCTGTTGTAAAATGGGCCAAAACTCACTCAGACTCCTCTTAATCTTGAAATGGTCAGTATTATATTGGGTAACAAAAGCTGACTTGAAATTCGTATTCCCCACAGTGTCGGGGACTTTGTCCTCCAAAAGTTTACTCCGTTCAAGAAGACCAATTGATCGAATTTCTTTTTCCAGAGTGTTTTTATTGTAACCCCTCGCACATAGTTTATTTTTTTATATGGGAAGATTGAATCTGGAAATCTTGGGGGCGAGAACAATTGCGTCTCAGTCTAGTAAATTGACTTCGTGCTATACCCCTAAGCCAGGGCTTTTGATGGCAGCTTCGTTGATGTACGAAGCAGTTACCATCCGTTGGTTTGAAAAAACCCTTAGTTTGAATTTGGCCCTGGTCACAGAAAATTTCAAGATCCAGAAAGTGGATCTCATTCTTATTCCACTCAGGGGTGAAAAGTAGATGATATAAATTGGAATTACGGTATTGAACATATTCAAAAAAACTAGTAGAGGACCCCTTCCAAATAATGAACACATCATCGATGTAACGCCGCCAGAGCACCAGGCTCTCCCTCCAGTCATGCCTCGATCACACAAATAATTCCTCCCATCTCCGCATGTAGGTGTTGGCATAACTGGGGGCGAACCTGGTGTTTACTCACCTGGTTCCAGCGTCAGGAGCCTCGAAGCCGCGCCCCCTGTTTCGTCAAAATGACGAAATAGGCAGGCACAAGCAATCAGACGCTTCCATTAGGAAGAGTCATTGCTCCCTTGTGTGCATTCATGCCGCCCTCTGAAGTTCTGAGCGCACTACCGCGCATGTGCACGGCCGTGAGCTGAGCTGACTGGTCTTGGCCCGCCCTCTCCTGACAGGCAGGAGAGAGAAGGAGCGCACACAGTGCCTTCTCTCTCCTGCACACGTCAGACCTATCTTAATACATCTGACGTGTACAAGGCCTTTTTAGGGCCCTATATGATAGGAAGTCCCTCTGGTGGCCGTCTCAGTGACAGTCCCTGGAGGTATTCCTATCAATGTAAACACTGTATTTTCTCTGAAAATACAGTGTTTACATTAGATTGCCTGCAGGGAGCTACAGATCTCACCAGAACAAATACATTAAGCTGTAGTTCAGGTGACTATAGTGTCCCTTTAATACTATGCCCCTGTCCCTAGTTCTACAAGTCTGCTCCAGTTTGCCATAAAACCATAAGCTCTCCCTTTTCCAGCACTGCGGCTTCCTCAGCGCTACTAACCTCTCCACCTCCTGTGACAGAGGAGGCATGGCCTGCTCTGTGATGGTCCAGTCTATTGTTTCTTAAAGTGTCATTGGGCACGTCATGTGCAATGCACACTGTCAAGCTTCCCCATAGGTATTCAATGCTTTACCTTGGGTTTATGTATCACGCGATAAAAGTTTTACTCAGAGAAAGCATTAGAATCATCTCTAGTGCTGGTCAGTATGATAGCCATACTTTAAATTATAGGGTTAAGAGGACAGGAAAACAACAACAACAACAACTGAATCACTCAATTGAGATTAAGTGTTCTAGGTAACTATAATGTTCTTTTAAATAAGTTTTGTCTTTTTATGCAGCCCTAGCCACACCTCTCACGGCAGTGACTCAGTCAACCAAAAAAAAAGTGGTTTCATTTTCAATCAGATGTCACAGCACAGTGTATTTACTTTAGAAGTTCTTTTCTCCTGATCGGTTAATATAACTTTAATCACACAGAGGCTCCTGCAGGCTATTAGAGCAGGAAATAAAAAATTCTAAATTAACAGAGCAATAAAGGACGTTAAAACACTAGATCTCTTTAGAGGAAATGAGTAGGTAAGCCATGCAGGGGAGGTGTGACTAGGGCTGCATAAACAATGTGATTTAACTCCTATATAAGCAGTTAGACAGGACATTTATCTATACACCAAAACCACTCTTAAGCTGAAGTTGTTTTGTTGCCTACAATGCCTCTAAAATAAAGTATTACTCCAAGCACCATAACCACTTCAGTGATTTGAAGAGCTCACAGAGCCTGTGCAGCATTTCACTCTAAAAAAACGCTGCACATATGGAATCTAACACCTTTGCTGACAGTCAGCTGATGCTCTCAGTGGATGATCGCCATTCCGCTTCTCAAGCAAAATATTGGCCTACAGCAGAGAACTGGTGCCCAGCTGGTATCCAAATGATGGGGGTAAAACAGCAGGGCCCTCACTCTGCTAGTGTGCCTCCAACTTGTCTTCTTGCAAATACTTGTCTGTTAGTTCAACGATTTTTGGCGCTCTTAATATTTACTACAGCGGCCTGTAATGGTGCGTATGGCTGGAGTAACCCTTTTACTCAACCCTACTACTGGGTTATAGTAACGTGTTAGTGATCGATAAACAGATAATGTTGAATAACAGAAGTGTTTTATTTCATAACATAAGCAAATGCAAAATCAATAATTTAGGTGAAGCAGTATACCATCTGTAAGAAAGTTAACAGATCTATTAATGGCAGTTTTAATTCAAGATCAAACATGGATCCTAACCAAGTTTAAGATTTACAAAAGAAACTCACAATTGACCAACTGAAAATTTAAAAATAGTTTGGTAGAAAATACCCCTATCAAAAAAAGCATATGAAGCAGAAACAATAAAAATGTTATTTATTTTACAAATTGTTTCACAAAAGTTCATAAATTCTTACAGCAGGCATCAATGGTACCTGCTTGGCTCTAAAGCAGACAGCTACCAATAACCGAATACATTTTCATCCAAATCCATATGTTTAACCACCACAACCATTTTCATCACTCCCAAAAATCTTTCACAGCTTAAATACAGTTAATGGTTCAAGTGGATGAAGCCGTGTTAAGTAGATTTCAGAATAACACCATGAAAAAAAAAAAATCTTAAAAAAAAATCCTTATAATAGAGGCCCTGGTGTTCCCCTGTATTTGCATATCTCCAAGCAATGGTCGATGCACAAATTCTGCCTTTTTTCAACCATGTCTTGTGCACCAAAGTTTATAGAAACTACATTAAACAGTTATTTCAACAACCTTTTAGAAAAGGTTTAGTGATGTTCAAATCTATTGCATATACTAAATCCTTTGCCCCTCTTAAGTGCTTTAGTGTCCTGAGATTAAAAGAAAATGTGGCAGCATAGTAGTTTCCCACAGCTGTTATTCGCTTTTCAAGTTCTGCTTCAATAGCATTGAGTGTCAGTTCACTCATTTAACTGTACGGTACAGAGAGCATCTTCAGCATCCATTGTTATAGATACAATAGCTCCATCATTGAACTCAAAGGATGTACCACCATCCACTACCATACAAGCATCCCAGCAACGTGATCTCACACAGACTCTGCAAAAAAAACACAAACAAAAAACCAAACACTGTTATTTCCTTTAATTCCATGAAAATACACATCATAAGCCACACAATGTCACCTTTAGTTGCACTGCTCAACTATTCCCAAGCTCATCTACAGAATAAAGTTTCAACTGTAACATGTGCGCATGATCACTTTCAAGTGGCTTTATGGATGTGAAATACACATTAAAGTACATTCTAATAAAAATGCATTCAGTAGGATCACATTACTTAAAGGGTCTTAAAACAAACCTCATTTTATATGCATGCGTTACTATTTCATCATTACTTTGCACATGTATAATGGATTGCATCCAGGTTAGCACCTTACAGGAGACCAGTCACCGCAGCAGAAAGCTGGGTTACTAATACACCAGACACAAGTTGTAGTGAGTGCATGCCAAATGCAGGAATTTAATGAGTATAGAAAGTTGTTCCAGAAGGCAGACTATGCACCCTTTGCTGTGAGTTTGTAGCCAATAGTTTTGTGTGATCCCTGAAGCTGGCTCACAGGGGTGTGAAACAGCATTCTAAAACAAAATAAATGCCAGCCTACTACACATATACTAGAAACCATGTGTTTAAGGTCATCTTATATTTTTGATCAGCAGCCTGTTTCCCAGAAGCTCAGCTAACACTGCTTTCAGGGGCTGAATACATGAGCCAGGGCCAGTCCTGGAACACTGTGTGATAGAGAAGCAGGACTCATCTATTCTGTACAAATGTACAAAGCTGCAAAAATATTTTTTTCTTTTTCCAAGGTGAAAAAACCCAAAACACAAGCATAAATTGTGTTGGTGCCATTAGAGTCTGGATTTTTTTGGGTAACCAAAGTCTTTTCAGGAATTTCATGAATGAATTATAGTTAAATTTTACCACATGACAGGAGGCTTCCTATTTTGCATTCATTTCTTTACTTAAAACTCCAGCAGCAAGTATTCATATAAAGATAAATCAAAACGGAGAAACATAGGATATATAAGGCTGAGTCCGCCCACATTCCTCCTTTTTCTTTGCTGCTGTTTCAGCAGGATACAGGTCAGAGTATTTGCTCCTGCTGTTTGTTTTTACTTTAGCTGTTTTTTTTATTTCTGTGGTGTCTTGTTGGTATTATTTCCAGTTACTGTTCCCTCCACACCTGGCTCTGCTCTGTTTGGGGTCTGTTGCTGGGTCTCAGGCTTTGGCCTCCCATTTCCTGCAAACCCTGTCATTCTGCCTACCACACGCCACGACCGGCGTTGCAGCGCTTTACTCTCTCCTCTGGACAGTCCGGGTTGGGGGGGATACGCTTGCGACCTACTGTTCACCGGAACATGTTCCCGTTGGGTCTGCGCACATGTGGTGACCATCTTGTATCTCGGGAGATCGCAAGCTTCATGGCGGCCATCTTGGACATCGTTACAGGCCGTACTACTGATGCCTGTCCTTACCTATAGCAGGACTCAGACGGTTTGCAGTTTTGTGGACTCCACACTCCTGCTTGTCCCTAGGAACATTCGATTCTCAGGTGCTTAATCTCACTGCTGTGATTGTTATGCTTACTACCACATGTACTGCAGTGTTTGCCTTTTACATTGCTATAATGCTCAGTGATACATGCATAGGCCTGCCATACTTGTAATAGAGTGTACAAAAACTTGTGAACGTTTGATAAACGCTACTATGACATTGTTGTGGCTTGTCAGTACAGACTGTCTAACAGCTGCGTGCAGGGGTGAGCCCCCATATACCCTCTGACTACCTTAAACTGGGCTTCTGTGCCACATGGGACTGGACAGGGGTAAATCCCCACATTAGCGGTACCTCTCCACTCATATTATAGGGCGAGCCCCCATTCTGGTACCTCCCCGACTTGGGGACTCAAGGACCCTTTGGCTTTCAGAGACTCAATGCCTCCCCATATTTACAAGGGTATAACCCCCTTTGTGTATTACCAGACGCTCCTTCCGATAGCCTTTTTTCTAAAATGGTGACACAACTACCTCCAGATAACATGCTTCAAGAGCCGGAAGATGCATTGGGCACAGAGGCTTCAGCAAAGGACCTCCCACCCCTGCCTAAGTGGCACAAGAAGGGCACCACGGGGCCCTGGCCCAAGGGGAAAGGACCTGGCAACAGCCAAATCACTTCCCCCAATGCCATCCTCCGATGAGGAGGAGGCTTACCAACCAGGGTCTCTTGACATCCTGCATGAATGGAGAGCAGAAGATTCCGACTGAGCAAGAGGGCTAATGGCAGGATGTGCCACTTTCACTCCACAGAGAATCATTCAAGGGTGACTCCTTCCCATCGGAGGGCGATTGACTGTTCCTTGACACCCATGGCAGTCCACTCGTTGACCCAAGGACCATCAGACCCCCTCTGTCTGAGTGGAGTCAACCGACCCATCTCACCAGATTTGTTCACTTCTGGTTCTGGAAACCACTGGACTGGGTCGTAAGGACTCGCATGTGGGCAGAATGTCCCAGGCCCTCGCTTCTGGATAAAATTGCAATCACACCAGTGTTGGGCAAAAGTGGTGGTTTTCATGTCCAGGAAGGGACAAGACCATTGAAAGGGCATTGAAAAAGGGCTCAAGGCGACACAAGATAAGTTGCTAGACCCATTAGGTCCATTGGGCAAGATCCTGTACTTCGTGGACCTTGCCATGACCCAAGGCACACAGCTCAACCCGAGCGTGATCCGAGAATGGGCCCAGAAGTGCATATGTCTACTGGGTAATACAAACGCTGCCCTCCTGCGCATCGACACCAAGTTGATGAACATGGCCCCCAAAGAACTAGGTCCAACTGCCTCCTGGTTGGAAATTCATTTATTGCAGAGGTGAAAAAGCATGTGTCATTGTTCAATACCCTCAAGGAAGAGGTGTTTTTGGACAGGCTGGTTGACAGCAGGGCACCAGCCACTTCTGGTCTTTCAGTTCCAGATTCAACCCACCATCATCCTTCTACCCATCCTCAGCGCCAAGAACTACATTCTTCTATAGGTGTGACCAGACCCGGAGGCTCCAGAGGCAGAGGACGATTTACAACAGGTGGGTCCCTTTGTATATTTTACCAACCAGATCATTTCACTGCAGACAGGCTGTCCCTTTTCTTGCAGCACTGGGAAAAAAAAATCTCAACGGATGTGTGGATTTTTACAGAGGGCTTATGTAATCAACTTCATTGCTTCTCCACGCCAACCTCACCCTCCACCTCAGGTTTCTGCAGAACATGATGCCATGATAAACAAGATTCTGACTCTGTTCTCCAAGGGCACAGTGCAGAACGCTAGAAACAAATGCGGTTTCTTCAGCAAGATCTTTCTGGCTCAGAAAAAGACCGGAGACTTCTGCCCGGTCATCAACTTGAGACATCTCAATTCCTTTGTAGTTTATCAACACTTCAAAATGGAAGGGATTCACCTGTCGCAAGATCTTCTACTAGAAGGAGTCTTGTTGGTCCTGGTCGAGCCTTCCTGTCGCAGATTTCTACGATTCCGTTGGAAAGGTCGGTCATGCCAGTTCACCTGACTCCCCTTTGGGCTTAGCTCTGCTTTCTGGTGATTCACAAAGCTCCTGATACCAGTTATGGTTCGTCTAAGATCTCATCGATCTAGGCTTCCTGATTTTCTGCGACTCAGCCGAACCTTGCAGTGAACGTCATCGAATCTTTAGACTTCATAGTCAACCAAGAAAAATTGGCGTTGGAACCCACTCAAGTAGTCCAGTTCCGGGGGTTCGAGAGACTCCAAGACTTGTGTTCTACAACTGCCTCTCACGAAAATCAAAGCCATTCAGAAGGAGAACAGGTTTGCCTACGCATGTTTGCTTGAGTCATTGGCCTCCTGTTAGCTTCCATCCAGGCGATCTATTCTGAATCCCCTACACTACTGGGCCAAGCAGAGACCGAAAGCTCATTACCTGCACTCTGGAATCTCGTACGACCAAGAGGTCCCTCTCACTTCCGAAGTACGGTCAGAAGTCTGTTTGTGGCTTCTCCATATGCAAGCCTGGAACGGGAAAGCCATATTTGGTCTATCACTGGATTTAGTGGTGGAATCGAATGCCAGCCTATGGGGTTGGGGAGCACACTGTGCAGACTCGTCAGCAGGTAGACCCTGGCAAACCGGGGAGACCAGTTTACACATCAACTGCTTGGAACTTATAGAAGGCTCCTTCGCCATCCACAGCACGTCCGATTGCTGCATTCTTCTCTGCATGGACAACATCTCTGCAGTCCACTATATCAACCGCCTGGGTGGGGTCCACTCACAGGCTTTATCACAAGCGACCAAAGACATTTACTCCTAATGGAGCTTCGTTCTCAATCTCCAGGCGCACTAATACCGATTCTTCGATGTCTTTTACCCATATTTTCCATTGGATCCTCAACTATGTGTGGTTAAGACGTTATTACTCTATGTTGAGTCTACTGCCCAGTTTTGTCGTTCTGACGGGACAGTTGCTCATTTTCTATGTACAACCTCACAAATCATACTTTAGCCAAATGGGTACGATGGCTATTATCTCTATCCGGCGTGGAGTCCTGTTTCGGCGCACATTCGGTAAGTAGCCCGGCAGCGTTAACGGATATCATGCACTCCGCCGACTGGTCACGGGAAGATACCTTCAGGGTATTCTACTTTAGTTGTCCTCCTCATGCTTTTGCTCTTCTTCCCAAGCATTAAAAAAAAATGTAAAATAGGAAGCCTCCTGTCATGTGGTAAAATTGTAGACTATGCTAATGTAGTGTACCTATTATCTTTCTTTTATTAATGACAGGAGGAGAGCATTCCCCCCCCCCCCTTCTCTCTGTCTTTGTTTACTGAATAACTGTTTTATTATTGAATTTGTGATATGTAATTTATGTTGACACGACACCATGGCTCTTGCCTTTCACTTTTGTTTTTTCCAGGGTGAAACTCATTTTCCAAGTTTGATCGTTGCTTCAGAGTCCGTCAGTTTTACAGTTTAAATTGGTTCCAATGGTTCTGAGTTCCTGTTATGGATTTTATGGTTCATCTATTCGTTTCGCATCAAAGAAAGATGAGGAATGTGGGCAGACTCAGGCTTGTATATCCTGTGTTTCCCAGTTTTGATTGGTTTATCTCTATATGAATACTTGCTGCTGGAGTTTTAAGTAATGCAAAATACTCGCCTCATGTCATTACTAAAATTAAGATTATAGGTACACTACGTTAGCATAATCAACAATTAACACCAAATGCATTCCTACCTAATTAAAATAACAGATTTTCCAAGCATATCCATGCCAGCACTAGAATATGTAATAAGCCACCTACAGCACCATAACCATTACAGTTAAGTTAGTAGTTAAGGTGCTTTGAGTGCAGTCAGCTTCCAAATGTGTAGACAAAAAAAAAAAAAAAAAAAAAATTGTTTAGATACAGGGGGAGCCCTATTTTCTTTTATCAAACCTTGGTCCCTCTGCAGCCACCCCAATAACACATACAATTCACCCAACCAAAGGCAGCAAATTACTGACTGCAAGCTGGGCAAAACTGTTCCCATAGCTTGTGGCCAATCGTTGCAGTCCAAGTTGGACATATAATGCAGACATACATCTTCTGCATTACTGGGGTGGCTGCGAGAGGGGTCTGGGTATTGGAGAAAGACCATTTTTGTATGGAATGAGTGGGAGTTGCACCAAGGGCCATTGCCATCAAAATCAGATTAAGTGGTTATCATGTACCTTCAATGCTTAATGGAAGTAGCCTTTTATAGTCTGAGAGCAGATAAAACTAACAGTATAAACATCCATGGGAACATAAATACAGATAACTTGATTGACACTTACTTAGAAGTGAACCCACGCTGACGACTACTTGAAAACACCCTATTAGCAATAGGTTCTCGAATACTAAAAAACATCTTTGGCTCCTCAGGGCTATACACGAGAGAGTCATTGTATTTCTTCGTAACTGAAACAAAAACAATGTTTAAGCACAGACATTCTATACATAAAGAGTAAACAACCACTATGCTGAATCATATGGTGGAATACTAAAAGCATCTCTACCCCTACTGTTCTCTGTAACATGTGTGTAATTTTGCAGCACTAAAAACTCCATAAATTTTACTTACTGTAAATTAATTTTTCCTTAGTATAGCGGCTGTACATGTTCTACCTTTAAGTGGACAAGTAGCATCTAAAACAAATTATGCAATTCCCCTTCACACCTTAAATATCAGATCTGGATTTCTGTAAAAATTATTGGAGCTGTGGAAAAGTCAAATGGAAGGCCTTTTAATTATAAATCTATAGTTCTTCCTGCTTTGATGGCAACTGCCATGCATTTCCGTAAACTTACGGACATACCAATGCAAAGGTAGATGTCCTTTACGCCTAAAGTAGCCATATAGTTTTGTGTAACACAGAAGATTGTCTCCATCCGGAATCTTTGATACTGAATTAACTTGTTCATAATCTTTAAATCCAGGACAGGACGGAAGGACTTTTCTTGTTTAGCACTACAAATAGTCTTGAGTAGACACCTTGAAATTGTTCTCTTTTTGGAACCTTTTTAAAACGCCTTTTTGAAGGAGAATATGATTTGGCCAGCAGATTCTTCAATTCCCTATTGATGAGACCTAAGAATCATGGAAGCACAGGAAGCCTTTCCCTTTTTTCTTCAGAGTATCTCTTCTTCCATTACATTAATAAATTCTTTAATAAATGTATTCGATACCGCCACCTGGAAACCAGAATCAGATAGTGACTCTAGACCACTGAAAAAAAAATAAAATAAAAAATTTCACCTTATAACAATCCTTGATATATCTGTCCTGGACAGATGTAGACTCCCCGGATTTAACAGCGGTTTCTTCAGAATTTTAAAGAGTTTAGGCTAGATTTTTCTCAACCAAGTTGTTTAACCTTTCCAAAAGCTTCCACCGAGTACAGATTACATATCTTCTCTTTACAAACATCAGGCAAAGGCGTGGCCCATGTTACAGGCTAGGTGTTTAGATTTACAAGACCCTTCAGTTTTGGAGCAAAATGAGTAATTTTGTCTGGTTTGTCTATCTTATCTGGAGAAACAGGACTAGACTTCAAACAAATAACATTTGTTGGAGAAAAATCTACAGATAGAAGCCTTTAAGGTTAAAAACCAAAGTAATTCCCCACACTAGAGACCTCAGAACCTTGTGGGTGCCTGGTGACATGGTATGTCTGTACTGACAAGCACCCTTGCTGTCAGACATACTCACAACTTTAATAGGCAGTAAAAATCTAAACAATGTTCTTACTGCTCATGCACAGTAGGAATCCCTGCAACGCAAACGCCACCTGGGTGTGCATTCCGCCGATGGGCGGAGAATCCTAGACTGCATGATCACGGACGTACCTCCCAGGACCGCCTCCCAATTCCTCCGTGCACAAACATCTAATAACAGAGCTCCTGCAAATGCTACGTAATTTTGACTGGCTCCAAGCTGGGAGCCATTCAGTTCACCACCCGGTGAACTATCCAGCTTATTCCATCCAATTAGCAGCCAGTGTACTTCACCATCTAAGCGGTTAGTCCAGAGACACCCGCTCTGCAAGCAGGACAAAGCAAGAACTGGAGAGTCAAATTTGGATCTGATATTAAATGTATGAAGGGGAGGAGAATTGCACAATTTATAACATTTTATTTTAGGGACTACTCGTGCACCTAAAAGCAGAACATACCTTATCTACTTCCGCTACATGCCAGGATAAAACCCAAAACATACAGTGGGACCTCGGTTTTACAAATATAATGCGTTCTCTGGGATGTTTCTTACTGCGAAACACTTGTAAACCGAAATGCAGTTTTCCATAGGAATGCATTGAAAACCAATTAATCTGTTCTGGAGGTCAGAAAAAAAAAACAAAAAAAAAGTCAAAATGAGCTGGCTTGAAAACCAACCCACAATGCAGAGCACACAATAATAGGCATGCAAATGACAAAGCTCAACTCCCTACCTTTCCACAGCTTGAGAAATGCACCAAAAAGTCCCAAAACAACTGCAAACAATTTCCAGAATGGCTCCAAAACTCGATGCAAAAGCCGCTCCAACACCTCCACACTTGACACCATGTGCTACTCACATGCTCCAGCATGCAGGGGGCGGTGCTATAAACCTCCCAGATGCAACGCATCCTGGGGAAACTTGATTTGTATTGCGGAAAAAAAAAAAATGTGTAAACCGAGGCATTATTTTCAATGGACTCATTTGTAAACCGAAAATTATGTTAACCGAGGTGTTTGTAAACCGAGGTCCCACTGTACATATACGCACACAGTTACATATACTATTCATGCTCATCATCTCATTAAAGTGCCATCTTCCCTTTTTAATAACCATCATGGTTTAATCGGGAGAGATATCGGAAACCTTGTATTAACTGCCCAGCATCATATACCCATACCATATCTCAAAAAAAGGTTCCACTAAAATAAAGTTAAAGTGTCACTCCAACCAAGTGATTACTACCACAAACACTGCACTTGCCGACTACACACTAAGGAGGGGAAATGTCTAGTAGCCAGTGCTCCCCCACTGGAGAACAAAGTGAAACTAAACAATCCTAGACTGAATGGCTTTTTTTTAAATCTTTTCAGTCCTGCAAAGATTAAAACCCACACCATAGCACTTTATTAACATGCTACAACATACCAATTTGATGAGAATGGGGCTCTTATAAATTTTGGCAGAGGTGGCACATTTTTCTTAAGATGTAAATAGAGTAGAAATGTATTTCATGTATAAGATTTAAAGGAGCACTTTAGTGTTATGAAAACAAACATGTATTCATAATGCCTAAGTGCAACACTATTTGGATGTGTCTCCCCCTCGTACATCCCTTTCAACCCATACACACATCCCTGGCTCAAGATGGATCTCAGCCAATCCAATGCTTCCTTGTAGTGAAGCATTGTGAGTCTAGTGTATACGCATGGTAAATTGTCGAGTTGTGCCAATCAAATGCTATCTATGAGCAGCATTTGAATGAGAACAGAGTCACAGGAATTTATACTCACCTCGCTCAATAAGTTCACTGTCCAAATGGAAGGGTTGATAGCTTTGAGCTGCGGGCAGAGAAAATATGACAAATTAAAGCACCACCTTTAACCTGGAAGATCAATAAACGATCTTAAATGTTATCGTTTTAAAGTGAACATATTACTTCCAATTGTAGACTGTATGTATCTAGTGTTTTTTTTTCTTTTTAAACAGTTTATAAGTCAACTTCGCTTCTGCAAGTCAATTATGCTTTCAGATCGGCAGCTTTGGCCTAAAATTTGAAATTCACTCTGAATTCTTATTTTAGTGAATAACCTTATGAACTATACACCTAAATCTCAAATAATGAGCATAATACGGTTTTAAAATGTATCAAATGGAGCTACAGAAATGCACTGTCTAATCTTAAAAGAAAATCTTCCATTTTGCATTTTTACATTTGTTAAGATCACAATTCCTATAGCTTGCAATGCACATTGACAGAAATAAAAACACTGAAGCGTTGTGTGTGCCTGGAGTGTCATTGACAGTTTATAAAAGTTCTGATTTCAATAAAAGCACTTTTACAACTGGGGACAGAAACATTCCACCAACGTTCATTTAGAATGCTAGGGAGATTGTTTTCTGCTTCCGTTAACGTCAGAGAAGTTAGGTATTCTGGGCTAGAAGCATCTGCCTTCCCCCTCCTTCTTGATAAGCTATAATAAAGATCACTGAGAAGCACTGGAAAGCTGCCACCGTAGCTCTATATGCATGTTTTTATTGGCGGTACTTGGACTAAAAAAATTAAACGGACAGTTCCTTTAAGATCAAGGTTTCCCTGGTCCTGGGAGGTGAGGAGATGGTATGGCAGTGTTCTGGTAATTAACTACTCCTGTTATTAAGTTCGGAAAATGTACAGATCATTGCAAGTTTCTATGCTAGCTATGGGAGAAACAGGACTGGGTGACCATTGGAATTAAGGGGTAGTGATCTTTTAAAACCACATTAAGTTCTAAAGACAATGAAACATTGTAAAATATGCAATAAAGCAGAAGTGTCCTCCTCACCAATGCAAAGTACTTCTTCAACAGACTGTGGAGCAATCTTATTTATGTTGTAGGACCTAGAGGAGATAGAAAGTACATTGATCGTATTTTTACATATTTGGCAAAATACAATAACATTAGCTCCATGCATTTCTAGACAAAAACCCAGATTGAAAAAAGTTAAAAATTTATGAAATTATTTTGATTTAGATAATGTGAAGGGTTTATACTTAGACAAAATCAATTCTGGCTTAAAACCATGAAAAATTTAAACACACTGTACTGTCTAGACAAACTGAAACACATACCAAAACAGACATTTTTGGATCACACTAAAGTTTGTAGGTTAAATTAGGAAGAGTCGGGGGATCAGGACCAGCAGGAGGACCTTAAAGATAAACAGACAACGGATTTAAATGCATTTTTTACAACACTATTAAATCCTGATCTCCCGAATTTGCTTTTTATCTTTTATCATCTATGTTAACATCATTAAACTATAAATTAAAAAAATAGTGGTGTGAAACCCATTTATGGAGGTTGCCAGAATTTAAAAGTGTAAAGTACATGAATAAAAACATATTCCAGTTAATAGAATCCTGTCCAAGTTTTATATTTGGGTATCCCACTTAACAGCATTAAGAACTTTCTGTAATAAAGCTGACCTACAAGCACTGTGGATGGTTGGAACAGCTTTGGATAGGTGTACATTTAGTATAAATTTAAAAAGGAACACTACAATGACCATAACCACCATATCTTGCTGTAGTGGTTATGGCTTGTAGTGCCCTGTGCCCCCTACTGTAGGTAACCAAACTGTTTCTGATTACCTGGGGGCCTAAGACTGCTGCTCCCTACCTCCACTACCAAAACCGGACAGCTGGAAGCTCCTAACCATGAACTTCCTTTAGCTATCCGAGCTAAGCTCTGAAACCCAGTACAGTAAAAAGTTACGTTAAAGTGGAAATAAGTTTGAAATGCATGAATATAGTGCAAATTTTGTTTACAGAAAATTATATTCCGGCTATACAATTGCACAGAAGAACCACCATGTCACTTTGTCATGACAGCATACATTAATCTGCAGTCAACGTGCATATATGAGCTTTTGAGAGTAGAAGATTCTGACCTAGACATACATGCAGTTTATTTCTTTTAGCCAAGAGGTAGCAAATCGAAAGTAATAATTAAACCACCAGATATACCTGGAAGCTGGCGAAAGCTAAATATATCCATCCTGGTTAAATAGGACATTAAATCACCTAGCAGGTAAATATAAGCATTTGGTAATATCAAAGTATTTTGTCACATTAAACAAAATTTTAGTTCACAATGGTGTTCTTCCCGAAGGTTTTTTTGGGGGGAGGGAGGGGGTGAGGGGGGTTGGGGTTTAAAGAAAAGCTATTAACAAGGGAATATTCCAAGTGCATAAAAGGTTTGTAAGCATGTATGTAGTGGGGCTATCAATACTCAGTTAGGAAATGCTAGGTGAAAATTTGAGTTTAGGTCTCTGGGTTCTATAAAAGATTACCCTGATTCATTTTAATGGTGGAGTGTATGTACTAAATACTGAATAGCAAAATCTAGGCGTCAATAGCCAGGTTGTGACCAAGTATTTTGACTTAACAGTACATAAAAGGACATGTTTATATGTTCCAAAAACAAGCATTATATTACATCAAAGAAATGTGAGTTTGCCCAGGTATTGAGACATAGCCAGGCATACATGGACTCAGGACTGTCATGATTTTTTTTTACAGAAGGAGGAACCTGTAATTATGATCAGTTCTATGCACACAACATTAATTGAATATTTACCAGGCTTTTGATCCTGTTCCAGTGCAAACATTCAGTCCCGAGCTCTTCTGTTTTTCCCAGGGACCATCATCAACTGAAATCTCATAATAGGAAGCCCTATGGAGCGAGAAGGTAAAACGAGGTTTGCAGGATTTATAGTTCACCCTGAATAAGACAGAACATAAGTGTATATCAGGGGTGCAAGGCACAAAGTGCCATTTAGACGGCACGGTGACACTGGGCACAACTGACGAGTATGACACTTTCCAAATTACCAACATATATATGTGAAAAAAACAAGTCTACCATCAAACCCTACCAATATAGCAATCTTTATTGCTGCAGTGATTGGGAAAACATGCACTTAGTTCTTTCATTACAGGGTGTACCACAGGGTGGGGCAATTAAAAGCATATACAAAACAAGGTCAAGGGGACCTATTCAAGGTTTGATGTGGGCTTCAAAATCAACTGAATTTAAATGCCAGTAGTGCTTATTCCACAATTAAACCTTCAATAACTTGAATTAGCAAGCACTAGATACAGCATGGAAATTAGCAAATATGCAAATCCATCTTTAGATATGGAGTATGACAAGGCAACTATTGAGACTTGCACACTTCCAGAATCAGAGGCTGAAATGTGTTATTAACCACTGTATGTTTATGGTCAAAAAAAAAATAAAAAAAAAATTTCACAACTACACTAAAAGGCCAATCCTACAAGTGTTAATCATGCCAACTTTGAAATCTGTTTATCTTGATGCCTTGCAGATTGAGATGGTCACACTATTACTATAAAGCCATTGGTTGACTTAATCTTTTCTGCCCTTCCCTAATTTCTCAATCACTCTTTCCTAGCCCTACCTCTCTTTCCATTGCTCAGGTTACTGAATGAATACTGGTATACCCATCAGTTCTACAAAACCAACTGTTGAGCACATAAATGAATCAAAGTCTGCTTAAATTTCACAACATTTATAGCAACCAAGGATGTGTAATTTTACTAAATATCTTTAAACTCAAAATTATTAAAATAAATGCATTCCTTATTGATTCAGGATCAGAGTAGATTTAAACAGCTGCCTCTCGATTTCCCTGAATGTGGTTAACATGCAGGAAACACTCAGGGTTACTTGGCACTGGTTCAGGCGCTTTCCCTGCCGACGTCAGCTGGGAGAGACCTAATGCGCATGCGCGCAGATGGCCGAAAATTTCGGCACATCCCTATCAGGCATATTGCTTCTAAGTAGCAGAGAATTAAACAGTGAAATGCAGAAGCATGACCGATACACCAAAAACCACTTCACTCAGTTCCACAGTCCCCAAATGTTATTTACAATTTTTTTTGATAGAGGCTAGTGTGTGGTGGCATATTTTTTGCAGTTGGTAAGGAGTTACATTCTGTCATAAATTCCTCCAGATTTTGGCATTTTGGGCTTTTCCAATCTGAGGCTACAAGACTCTAGCAGCTATTAAGGAGTGGATGACTAATGCTTTACCATAAAATAGAATGTTACAAATAAATTATTAAATACTTTTTGGGTTCCTGAGGTATGCAGTTATTTAACTAGAGTAGCAATTAATTCACATGTGATTACAGTGGAGAGAATTTTGGCATTCCCACCATGTACGGATTAAAGTGCCTACAAGATGGCATTATCCGCACATAAGGGATGAATTTTTGTTATTATCACCACCATTTATATAGCGCCAGATTCCGTAGCGCTTTACAATATTATAAGGGGAAGAGTAACTATAAATCGGACAATTACAAGAGAACTTACAGGAACAATAGGTGGAAGAGGACCCTGCTCAAACGAGCTTACAATCTATAGTTAAAATATATGTATTCAATTAGGAGATACCAGGAACAATTTATAGACGAATTAGGGTTCCAAAAGGAACCCAATGTACTAAAACATGGAGACTTCTGATTTGACAAATTTTGTTGATCCTTTTCATGCCGAACATTTTTGGCATGGAACGCAAATAAACCAACTTATATCAACTGAAATATCCACCACATATTTCAACTAAATAAAAACAAACTTACCTGGATGATAATGATTCACCAATAAACACTTCATTCAGTGCTCTTACTGGCAAAAGATGTGGCCCAGAAGTTATTTCAGAAGCTAAAATTACATGAAACATTAAAAACTGTAAAGATCTGCGTAGAAGTGAACAAAGCCAGCCATACAAAAGCACATAAATGGCCACCGCATACACACTTTATTTATTGGTACTTAAAATAAAAACCACATTCTAGCACATTTCAGATTCTTAGGCTCTTATTCATAAAAAGTACACATTACACTGCCTAGAAATTCAAAATTCTTAACCTACCATGCTGGCCATCTTAATAATAAAAAAAAAAACAAAAACAAAAAAAAAACACACCACAACAACCACCCCCTTCACACACTGGTTGATTTTATTTTCTAAAATTTGTTATTTGGCCTAAACATTAAAATAAGCCAGTTTGGCCATGCACAGCATATAACTACTCAGATATAATATACCATCATCATGCAGGATGCCTTTAAATCACATATATATTTGCAGCTTCATCTTACTTTGTTCTGGCCGATGTTCACTGCAGTTATGGGCCTTGCTATGCTGCTCCAGGCTTAACTGCTGATCATGCAAATCCACTGGGGTCAGATTAATTCCAGTCCCTTCAAGGTAAAGTCGAATTCGCTGCCTCCAATGCCAACTAAACGAAAAGTATCCAAAATACTCATAATGTAACAAACGCACAGGGACTTGCAAGCTAGGTAAGATTTTTCTACATGTCAATTAGATTTTATCCCCCCCACCAAATTCCACTTTCTAATTATATGATAGAATATCAGGTCTATACCCAGTGAGGAGGGTTAAAAAAATAAATAAAAAAAATAAAAAAATTCTCTCTATATCTCTATCTCAATTAGCATACATGGGCTGGGAAATAAAATAGCTATAGACCCAAAAGATGATTAACCCATTGTTTAACCCATTGATTAAAATGAAAGCAAACCAAACTTTGATCCTGTGGCTGGTATCTGGAGGCCCATATTTGCAAACCTTACCCACTACAGCAATGTTTCCTTAAAGCAGTGTCCAGGAGTTCAAACAATTATTTGTTAAACTATGAAAACTCAATCAATTTAAAAATAAAAATATTGGCAAATTGTGCTATTAGTCTTGTTAACAAATATGCACGTGAAAAGGCTCTGCTACTTAAACTTTATCAAAAAATGTATACTTCATAAGCATTTATAGAAAGCTCATTGCAAGTGATCAATAAAAAGATATCCAAGATACAATATAGAAAGGAAGCTAAAGTAACTGAGTTGTTGTCAGCAGTAACTTTTGCTATTTCACATCAGCTGTTCTTAGCAATAGCTGATAGGACTAGGTACCATCTTGCACAATCCATTATTGATGGCCATGCCACCTTATTGTGCATGTGTAAGACTAAGACAGGGTTTGACAAATTTGCTCGGACTCTAGGAGCCAGCAAAACAGTTAGGAGGCAGGTTTAATGTCCAATACAATTCTTAAAAGGGACACTACAGCCTAATGGTGTCTATAGGCTGTCCCTGCACATATTTCAATGTAAAGATTGCCTTTTCAGAGAAAAGGCAGGGTTATCATCGTTGCCTAGTAACACTTCTAGTGACAGTCACTCAAATGACCTCTAGAGTTGCACCATCGGTCAGTGCCGCACAGTATCTACGTGCTCTGCGTGGGGCCACTGAACATTACCCTATGAGGATATGCCAATTGGCTCAGCATAGCGTTTTGCCACACATGCGCAATAGCCGCCCAATGCTTTCCTATGGGAAAGCATTTGATAGGCTGAGATAATTAAGCTTAACTATCTCAGTCATGGAGTCGGGGCCAGCTGCGACGAGGGGAAAAGTAGTGAGTAAAAACCCCTTACCTATGTGATAGGAAGGGCACAGGTCACCTAAACATACACACATTGACAGGCACACTCACTGAATTTGACACTTGGTGACAGACAATCACTGACAAAAACTGACACTGCAAAAATCACACACTATTTTACTTTATTTCTTTTCATTTTAAAGTGACCACCCAGATTCCCATACTTTGGGAGAGCTGGAGTGGTTCTGCTTTCCCTGGTGTCCTGGGTGGCTACTGTCATCTCCCTGCTCCCTAGAGCGCTGCTTAGTGATGTAGGATCTGAAGTGACAGCATATTCCGGGTCCCAGCATCACTGGAGAGATGTGCGAAAGAACAGAGCAGGGAGATTACAGCTTCCTTGTTACCCGCATCAGCCCTCCATGAGCCACCAGCTTCCCTACCTGACAGTGGATGCAGGCCATCAGCCTGCCTTCACTCACATTCAGCCAGCCACCTCAGGGACTAAACGGCCGGCAAATCCCAGGCGTTCTGACAAAAGTCCTAATCACCATGCGACCTGGGATTTGCTGAGCCCTGATCTAAGATCTTGCTGGATCCTCCAGAGGCCAACTTCTCTTGCACATGTACGGGAGTACAGTAGACCCCAAAAAGTAGTAGAGCCTCTTTAAAAAAAAACATTTTTCCATTTGAAATGTTTATTTTACCTCCAGTTATACATGCAGTGGGAAAAACTACTGATTTAGAATTAATGAGAAGCAACACAGCTGCATCTCGAAGTGAGGCAACAGCATCCTAGATCTGCAGGCATCCTATAATTTGTGGAATGCCAAAGAGTCAATTGAGAGCAAAGCAGAATCATATGCACCAAACTCCTGCCTCCATGAGTAGAAAGCAATCTTCAGGCATGCAGACTCAGCACTATACGCAGATTAACCTTGACACTAACCAGATGAAAATATATTGCTTGGTAGCTAAATCCCATGCCTTGGATCACCACCAGGTTAACTAGTATCATGGCAAGATGAAACTTGCATCATTGTACATGTAAGACAAATCATACCTGAACTCACCACGAGAGAGTTTGCGCAGAGCTTCTGGAAACGCATGTGTGTATTGCACTGGCAGGCAAAGGTGTCCTTCAGATCTGAGAGTGATCGAGAAAAAAATGTAATAACTGAGAATTTGTGCAGAGGAAAAAAACAAAACAAAAGAATGTTCTTTTTACAAATCTCTAAACTTGCCATGGGAGGGCTGGCAGGGTGATATTGCCCCATAGGCCACTAATATAGAGAACTGTGGCCTGCTACCTCACAGCACAAAACTAGCTCTTTTATTGCCATTGTATTTTAGTTAGTTATTGTAGTGATAGTATAATACATTTATATAAAAACTAAGCAGGGAGTGGAGAATGGTGCAACTAAGTGCTGGTTTGGTCTAAAATGGTTGTTTTTTTCTGCCCTTAAAAGTAGCCAGCTTACCCAAAAATTGTTACATGTTCAAAGAACATAATATTCACTTTTAAGTAATATTCAATAGTTTAAGAGTACCAATACTAATAAAATTAAACTTGTCTACGTTGGCATTTCTAGCAAGTGCAACTAATTCTTAAAAAGTTACATTTATCTAAATTTATTAACCACCAGAAAACATGTTATTATGAATAGGGGACTGGGCTGAAAAGTTAGTACCAATAAAAAAAAAGGTATAGCATTTATATGTGTTTACGCATTTTTACCAAACATAAGTTAATTTATTGGTTCCCATTCATTATGGAGCCTTACCTTTCTGGATCGGTGTTAACTCCAATTACTGGCTTGGACCTGTCCAGCACTTTGCTTGCAGCAAGCAGCATTGTCCCATCCCCTAGGGAGAAACAAAGACCAAACTTACAACCCTGCTTGAAATGGAGTACAAAGGTTCCAGCAGAGATGTAGGTTTGGTCAGTTGGTCCAGGTATTGTACATAATTAACCACCCAATCAATTGCTGTAACTTTTCCATGTACTGTGAGGACAAATGATCAAAGCAGATTACTACTCAGAAACAGGAGAGGCAACATCCCTATCCCCAAAACTTAGCAAATTCAAGTGCAGCACGTAACAAGGACCAGTAGAAACTATGGATGGAGCAAATACCTTCCTTTGTAGTAGTTCTGTTGCTTGTACTGTTCCACCAGAATGCTACAGTAGTTATGGTGTCAGGTGTATCATGGCATCCTCACAGAGTAGTCAAACCATTTGTGAACAATTTGACAATTTACCAGGCGTCTACCTGGTGCCTCTGATCTGCTCTAGGCAACACCAAGGCTTTCTGCATGGAGTTCAGTGGCTCAGAGTGATCAGTTGACACTCTACCAATGAGACACCCAACACTGCAGTGCTTTGCTCAGTGGAGCTAAAGTAAACTTTGTGCTGAAGTTACCAACTGAACTGTAGGCTGTGACCAGTGCCAGGTGGACCCCAGGTTAATTGTCAAACTGTTTAAAAATGGTTTGACTACATAGCCTGGGAGCAGCCAGGGCACTCTTGGCACCATAACCACTACATGGCAATGAATTGCCAAACTAGGTTGCCATGCAATCTAGGATTTGTCAGTTTTCATTTATAAGTGGAGATTTATTTTCATTAAGGTTATCTATGCAAAGATACTTAAAGGGTCACTCCAGACCCATTAAGCACTTTAGTTTGCCGTAAAGATTTACGTGTGAAGAGTGTCACTTTTTCATTTTGCAAAAAGTGCAGATTTCAATAGAAATTGACACTTTCATAATTTAAACTGGTTACACCCCCTTGGCTTTCAAGCAGACATCAGGTAATGTTACTTCCTGGTTTTATTAGCTCAATGCAGCAATTACCCAAAGCACCTGACTTACAAAGACTTTGCAGTGAGCTGTATTGGGAAGTCTGTGCTTGGCCAGCCATAGAAAGTCTGGGCGTGGTTAAAAGGGGAGAACTTGCAAAAGCAGCAGACTAGAGAACTGCAGTTTGGGCAAGCTGATTTTAGAGATCATTAAAAAAAAAATTAAATGCATGCACGTTTTCATTTAGGGTTTATCTAGTTAACTGATTTTTATTTATTTTGTATTTGGGCAGTGGAGTGTCCCTTTATGCTATTTGACTTATGATTATGCCTCTAAAATATATGGTTTCAATTCATATAATTTATTTATTCATCGTTGATAATCATGGAATTCTACCGAAATGTTATTTTGTACATTTCCAAGAATGTTTCTGGGAAATGTTCCAAAGCAAACTTTCATTACTCATACAATTTACATCAACTGCTCAAGGAAATGTTTTATACAAGTGTCCCAATTTCATGAAAACATTTAGATTTAATAAACAGCATATATAGTCACATAATCCACAAACCCTTGAATTTTCTTCAAGAAAACTAACCTGACAAATAACTACAACCACGAAGAAAGGTTCAAGCAGATGATTTGACATAGCAATGAAGTCATGTTTCTGTGACACCACAAGCGCCTATGCCAAGACTGATTGACAGTGATTGTTTATGCTGTTTCAGTGAGCATAAATTATATCGACTGGCTAGCATTTTTCAAATTATAGCCTCTGCATTTAGAATTTAAGAGGAGAACAAATATTCTATACACACACACACACGTGGCAGAGCTAGAGAGGGCCCTGGCGCAATAATTATTTTTGCCACCTCCCCCCCCCCACCGCAGGAGTGGCGAAAAGATAGATCCTTATCTGTCATACAACTCTCATGATGCTATGCCAACTGAAGAGCTACCATTTGCCCATCCTTGCAGGGTTGTATTTGTGAGCAGTGTTTGTGCTTTTGAATATAAGCATGTGCACATGTAGGAGTGTATTTGTGTGTACAGTTACCATTGGAATGCAGCGGTGTACTTGTGTGTAGTGTTTGAATGCAGGGTGTGTTTTTAAGTAGTGTTGCCTTTTAAATGCAGGTGTGCGTGTGTAGTGTTGGTGTTTGCACAGACTATTAGCTTTTTAATAAAGGGGGGTGTTTGGATGCAATGTTTGCATTTGAGTGCATTGGTGTGTTTGGATGTAGTGTTGGCTTTTAAATGTGGATGTACAGTTGTGTATAGTATTGATGTGTGAGTGAAAGTATGTTTGTATATAATTTTGGAATTTGACTCCAGAGATTTGTTTGTATGCTGTGTTGGGTTTGCCGAGATGTATGCACATATACTGCCACATACATTAATACTTACACAAACATTGATATACGCACTGACACATACACACAGATAGTGAGGTAGTCTGACTGGGATTTGAAACAGAGTCTCTGTACTAAGGCAGTGACATTACTACTGCTCTAACCAACCGATTGAACATGCAAAATCCAGCACACGCACTCACTAAACACTAACTTCAATTTCAAATCTCACAAAATGTAATAGATTTTTTCTTCCTTTCTTAACAACTTATTTAAATGGACACTAGGTTACCAAAACCACTCCAACTTAATGTGGTGGTTCTGGTGTCTATAGTGTCCCTGCAGGAATTTCAATATAAACAAAAAAAAAAATGTTTACATGGCTGCCTAGGAACACTTCTAGTGGCAGTCACTGAAATAGCCACTAGAACTGCTTCCTAGTCCAGTGTGTGGAGCACTGGCATTCGGCATCCCTGCATGGAGACATTGAACATTCCCCATAATTGATGCATCCCTATGAGGAGATGCTGATTGGTGCAGTGCGGCGTTGTGCCATGCATGCACAATAGCCTCCCGATGCTTTCCTATGGGAAAGAATTGGATTGGTTGAGATCAAGATTGAAGATCTCAGCCGTGGAGGAGGGGCCAGTTGCAACAAGACCGACGTGAGAGAAAAGGTAAGTAAATACTTTGAGAGCGATTTGAGGTTGGCCAGTGACCTAAATAGTTAGTTTAACACTATGTTAGTAAAACAGGTTTGTATTCCTGACATTATATAGAGTGTTCCATTAAGCATAAAGAATGGGATTTGGCTACAGTATGTCATACATTGAACAACCCTACCACAAGGTCAATGTACCTCATTCTTAGCAGGTCCTATCCTAGCAACTTAAAGGACCACTATAGTTTGCCAAGACTACCAAATATATTTACATACAAGAGGGCTGCGTTCATCTGAACATGCATACATTATAAAAGCGCTGAGACCAATTAAAACAACATACAAAGTCCAGCACACTCACTCAGATATACATAATATATAGACACAGGCATTAATTCATACTGGACAAGATTAAAACAATTCTGAAAAACAGTAGTCCTCATATTGCAATTTTTTTTTTTCAAAAACCAAAAAAAAAAAAAAACGCAGACATATTTACCTCCTGCTGAAACAACAGCATCAGCCCATCGTACAGTATCCTCATCATAATCTCTCCTCTTAACAACACGGACATCAATGCCTTCATTCCTAAAATAACAAAACGACCAAATTAGGCGCTTTTTTCCTTACACGTCCCATTGTAAAGAGGACAACATACATGAATAAAGCAGTAGACACATAAGGACTTTTCCAGAACCGATACAGAAACTCATGCCACTTACAAAACAGGAAAGAATACAGGACAGGATCTTACCTCAAACACTGTACAATATTTTCAACATTTTCTGAGTGGATATTGTGTCGGTGTAACAGACCATTGTAGCTGGATCCCTTTAAAGCAAGCTGTAGAGTACAGACAGAAAAGAGACACTGCAATAATAATGCACAATACAACATTAAAGTGAACTTATACACATTTAAAATCAGTAATATTACTGCATTCTGTGGTTTCTGATTTTAAAGACACAAGACTCCTTTAGGGGTTAACAAGACTGTCTCCTGTCTTTTTTGGAAAAGTGCCAATTTCAAGAGAGCTTGGCACTTCTATAAAACAAAAAGGCAGGAGGGGCTCCTGTCTCGTTTGCTATGAGAAGCATTATACTTGTAAAGTGTGGCAATAACATATGCAACGCAAGACTAGAGATAATCAGTAGTGTTGGCTGAAGTGGTTCTGGTGAAAAGAGTATCATACCTTATTATCTTTGTAGCGTAGAGTGTAAATAGTTAGTCTATAATTCACCAGCCTCTAGTGCAGAGGAAGACAACTTTTGGCACTCCAGATATTGTGGACTACATTTCCCCGATGCTTTGCATCATCAGGGATGTAATCCACATATGGAGTGCTGAAGGTTGCCTATCCCTGCTATAGTGTTTATGGGTGCTTTATCACCATTACAATAATGATTAGCGAGTATAGATAGTGCTTTGTAAATACCCATAACCTAGCTATTAGTGACTATAGAGCTCTAATCTTCCTAGCCATAGTGGCTATAGATGGAGCTCTGTAATCTCCCAGCAATAGTACTAGTGATTCTAGTTAGAGCTCTGCAATCTACCTAACCATAGTACTAGTGACTATAGACAGAGGTCGGTAATTTCCCAGCCATAGTACTAGTGATTAGTGATTCTAGTTAGAGCTCTGTGATCTCCCAGCCATAGTACTAGTGATTCTAGTTAGAGCTCAGTAATCTCCCAGCCATAGTACTAGTGATTCTAATTAGAGCTCTGTGATCTCCCAGCCATAGTACTAGTGATTCTAGTTAGAGCTCTGTGATCTCCCAGCCATAGTACTAGTGATTCTAGTTAGAGCTCGGTGATCTCCCAGCCATAGTACTAGTGATTAGTGATTCTAGTTAGAGCTCTATGATATCCCAGCCATAGTACTAGTGATTCTAGTTAGAGTTCTATGATATCCAAGCCATAGTACTAGTGATTCTAGTTAGAGCTCGGTGATCTCCCAGCCATATTACTAGTGATTTGTGATTCTAGTTAGAGCTCGGTGATCTCCCAGCCATAGTACTAGTGATTCTAGTTAGAGCTCGGTGATCTCCCAGCCATATTACTAGTGATTTGTGATTCTAGTTAGAGCTCGGTGATCTCCCAGCCATAGTACTAGTGATTCTAGTTAGAGCTCTGTGATCTCCCAGCCATAGTACTAGTGATTAGTGATTCTAGTTAGAGCTCTGTGATCTCCCAGCCATAGTACTAGTGATTAGTGATTCTAGTTAGAGCTCGGTAATTTCCCAGCCATAGTACTAGTGATTAGTGATTCTAGTTAGAGCTCTATGATATCCCAGCCATAGTACTAGTGATTAGTGATTCTAGTTAGAGCTCGGTGATCTCCCAGCCATAGTACTAGAGATTCTAGTTAGAGCTCGGTGATCTCCCAGCCATATTACTAGTGATTTGTGATTCTAGTTAGAGCTCGTTGATCTCCCAGCCATAGTACTAGGGATTCTAGTTAGAGCTCTGATCTCCCAGCCATAGTACTAGTGATTCTAGTTAGAGCTCTGTGATCTCCCAGCCATAGTACTAGTGATTCTAGTTAGAGCTCTGTGATCTCCCAGCCATAGTACTAGTGATTCTAGTTAGAGCTCTGTGATCTCCCAGCCATAGTACTAGTGATTCTAGTTAGAGCTCGTTGATCTCCCAGCCATAGTACTAGTGATTCTAGTTAGAGCTCTGTGATCTCCCAGCCATAGTACTAGTGATGATTCTAGTTAGAGCTCGTTGATCTCCCAGCCATAGTACTAGTGATTCTAGTTAGAGCTCTGTGATCTCCCAGCCATAGTACTAGTGATTCTAGTTAGAGCTCTGTGATCTCCCAGCCATATACTAGTGATTCTAGTTAGAGCTCTGATCTCCCAGCCATAGTACTAGTGATTCTAGTTAGAGCTCTGTGATCTCCCAGCCATAATACTAGTGATTCTAGTTAGAGCTCTGTGATCTCCCAGCCATAGTACTAGTGATTCTAGTTAGAGCTCTGTGATCTCCCAGCCATAGTACTAGTGATTCTAGTTAGAGCTCGGTAATCTCATAGTACTAGTGATTAGTGATTCTAGTTAGAGCTCATTGATCTCCCAGCCATAGTACTAGTGATTCTAGTTAGAGCTCATTGATCTCCCAGCCATAGTACTAGTGATTCTAGTTAGAGCTCTGTGATCTCCCAGCCATAGTACTAGTGATTCTAGTTAGAGCTCTGTGATCTCCCAGCCATATTACTAGTGATTTGTGATTCTAGTTAGAGCTCGTTGATCTCCCTGCCATAGTACTAGGGATTCTAGTTAGAGCTCATTGATCTCCCAGCCATAGTACTAGTGATTCTAGTTAGAGCTCGTTGATCTCCCAGCCATAGTACTAGTGATTCTAGTTAGAGCTCGGTGATCTCCCAGCCATAGTACTAGTGATTAGTGATTCTAGTTAGAGCTCTATGATATCCCAGCCATAGTACTAGTGATTAGTGATTCTAGTTAGAGCTCGGTGATCTCCCAGCCATAGTACTAGAGATTCTAGTTAGAGCTCGGTGATCTCCCAGCCATAGTACTAGTGATTAGTGATTCTAGTTAGAGCTCGGTGATCTCCCAGCCATAGTACTAGAGATTCTAGTTAGAGCTCGGTGATCTCCCAGCCATATTACTAGTGATTTGTGATTCTAGTTAGAGCTCGTTGATCTCCCAGCCATAGTACTAGGGATTCTAGTTAGAGCTCTGATCTCCCAGCCATAGTACTAGTGATTCTAGTTAGAGCTCTGTGATCTCCCAGCCATAGTACTAGTGATTCTAGTTAGAGCTCTGTGATCTCCCAGCCATAGTACTAGTGATTCTAGTTAGAGCTCTGTGATCTCCCAGCCATAGTACTAGTGATTAGTGATTCTAGTTAGCGCTCTGTGATCTCCCAGCCATAGTACTAGTGATTCTAGTTAGAGCTCTGTGATCTCCCAGCCATAGTACTAGTGATTAGTGATTCTAGTTAGAGCTCGTTGATCTCCCAGCCATAGTACTAGTGATTCTAGTTAGAGCTCTGTGATCTCCCAGCCATAGTACTAGTGATTCTAGTTAGAGCTCTGATCTCCCAGCCATAGTACTAGTGATTCTAGTTAGAGCTCGGTGATCTCCCAGCCATAGTACTAATGATTCTAGTTAGAGCTCTGATCTCCCAGCCATAGTACTAGTGATTCTAGTTAGAGCTCTGACCTCCCAGCCATAGTACTAGTGATTCTAGTTAGAGCTCTGATCTCCCAGCCATAGTACTAGTGATTCTAGTTAGAGCTCTGATCTCCCAGCCATAGTACTAGTGATTCTAGTTAGAGCTCTGATCTCCCAGCCATAGTACTAGTGATTCTAGTTAGAGCTCTTACCAGCTCCCTGAGTTCGTCCTCTGACAGCTCGGCATACAGGTACCGCTGTTGCTCGAACTCATACCGTGTGGTCTTGGTCACCACAGCCACCTTCTCGGGTCTGAACCCCGCGGGGCCCCCGGGAGCGGAGGGGCGGGAGGAGACCCAGCGCGCAGGCAGGGTGCGGGGCACGAGGTTCCTCACTGCGCCCGCGCACCGTGCGCACAGCAGGCCTCGGCACGAGCTCATGGCAGGACGCCCTGACTGCCCGCGAGACCGGGTGCCAGGCGATAAACCCCACTATTGGTCACCTAACTCCAAAACGGCAACTTCCGGCCTGCGTGCCCTACTTCTGACGGCGAGGAGGCGGGGCTTGGGGGCAGACGTTTTGTATCTAGCCCACTCTGGGAGTTGAAGGCGGGGCCCTGCGTCATGGTGACGACATGTCTAGGCGGGGCTTCAGAAGAAGCTGGCTCTGCTGGGTAAAATACTATCGGGGGCGTAACCATGGCTACACTGGCCGCTTTTATAGCAGTAGCAGGGGGCGGAGCCTGTTAGTGTATTGCCGCCTCCAGGTGGGTACAGAGCCTATCAGAATAGGGTTTACTCCAGCTGGGGGCGGGGCTGTCTGTGTATGGCTGTCTCCAGCTGGGGGCGGGACCTGTCTGTGTATGGCTGTCTCCTGCTGGGGGCGGGTCCTATCTGTGTATGGCTGTTTCCAGCTGGGGGCGGGGCCTGTCTGTGTATTGCTGCCTCCAGCTGGGGGCGGGGCCTATCTGTGTATGGCTGTCTCCAGCTGGGGGCGGGGCCTGTCTGTGTATGGCTGTCTCCAGCTGGGGGCGGGGTCTGTCTCTGTATGGCTGACTCCAGATGGGGGCGGGGCCTATCTGTGTATGGCTGACTCCAGCTGGGGGCGGGGCCTGTCTGTGTATGGCTCCCTCCAGCTGGGGGCGGG